GATAGCAAACCAGTCAAGGACAAAGAAGGAAAGACAATCACAGAGATTCAAGAACAGAGGAAAAGATGGGCAGAATAATTCGAGGAACTGCTGAATAGACCAGCCCCATTGAATCCACCGAACATCGAAGCAGCACACACTGACCTTCCAATAGATGTCACTCCACCAACGACCGAAGAAATCAAGATGGCCATCAGACAAATCAAAAGTGGGAAGGCGGCAGGACCTGACAATATACCAGCAGAAGCACTGAAGTCAGACAATAAAATAACTGCAAACATGATTCATCTTCTATTCAAGAAGATTTGGAAAGAGGAACAAGTGCCAATGGACTGGAAAGAAGGATACCTCATCAAGATACCAAAGAAAGGAGATCTGAGCCAATGTGAGAACTACAGAGGCATCAGTTTGTTATCAGTACCAGGAAAAGTTTTCAACAGAGTGCTGCCGAATCGGATGAAAGACGCAGTAGATGGTTTGGACTTCGCAGATGACCTAGCCCTCCTCTCTCATACACACGAACAAATGCAGATGAAGACAGCAAATGTAGCAACAGTCTCTGCATCGATAGGCCTCCACATTCACAAAGGAAAAAGCAAGATTCTCAAGTACAACACGGAGAACACCAACCCAATCACACTTGATAGCGAAACTCTGGAAGAGGTGGAAGCATTCACGTACCTGAGGAGCATCGTTGATAAACAGGGAGGATCGGATGCAGATGTAAAGGCGAGGATTGGCAAAACAAGAGCAGCATTTCTATAATTGAAGAACATATGGAAGTCAAAACAACTCTCAACTAATTTCAAAGTCACAATCATCAATACGAACGTCAAGACAGTGCTACTGTATGGAGCTGAAACGTGGAGAACTACTACGGCCATCATCAGGAAGGTACAAGTATTTATAAACAGTTGTCTACGCAAAATACTCAACATCCATTGTCCGGATACTATCAGCAACAGCGTTTTATGGGAGAGGACAAACCAGCAGGTTCCAGCTGAAAAGGAAATTAGGAAAAGACGTTGGAAGTGGATCGGACATACATTAAGGAAATCACCAATGTGCATCACGACTCAATTCCTAACTTGGAATCCGGAATGGAAGCGGAAAAGAGGAAGGCCAGAGAACACACTACTCCGGGAAATAGAAGCAGATATGAAAAGGATGAATAGTAACTGGAAAGAACTCTAAATGATTGCCCAGGACAGAGTTGGATGGAGAATGCTGGTGAACGGCCTATGCCCGAGGGGTAACAGGAGGGTAACAGGAGTAAGTAAGTAAGTCTAAGCGAACTTGACTGATTTTTTGTCTTTTAGGCATTGGAGAACCGAAAAATACAATTAAAATTACACATCCAAGCTCTATGAGATAATCGGAATGCAAACGTTTAGCATAAAACTGCGTGCTTCTTATGCCTTGTATTGTCTTTCATTTCGGCATTGTTAAAATGTGCTTGTTATGAGGGTCAACCTAGAAGGCGGCTGCTGGTCAGTTGACTTTTTATAGTCCATGGTGTCATAAGTGTTTCAGCTCTGATGGGGGTTTGATAGTTAAACAAAACCGTATCCAACTCAAAATATTTGAATTATTTAAAGGAGTAAGACTGGTTACATATCTTGAAACTTCATATGAGACATGTGAACTACTCACATCACTTAGATAATTCCCTTTTAAAGGTATCCCAAGTCGAAAACTCTCTAGCACTATTTAGACACTATTATCTCAAGTTTTACGCCGCGATAAAATGACTTTCTAGCAAACCATGCAGTCGTGGTGGTAAAGCACGAGTTTGACAGTAAAAGGTTCCACCTATTCCTTAGCATTTTTCTCGGTGAGACTACAATTTATGGACGACCTTTGAGCAACGCTAAAGTAATCTTGAAAAGTTAGAATTAGGATTTATGGCTGAACGTTACGTTTAGGAATTAGATTTTATGTATTCATCAGCTATAATGCCAAAATGGTATTCAGCCTAATAAGTGAATGGATTTCACGTTAAAATCCAGGATATGCTATCTTAGACCTGATTGATTCGCCCATTAATTATAGTCTCTTCAGTTTTAGCTCCAATCTGCAGGAATAGAAATTTAGAACTATAGTGTCTAATAAATGACTGCTTTTTAGTTGATTTAATTTATCAAATCAGACTGTTGGGTGGTTGTCACTATGCTTTCAAGCAGAAGGTTCAAGTTATCAACTTAGTATAGACATAGGTAGTTAGCTTGGAAATTATTAACTTCGATTTCATAAGATTTTGTGCATTCACTTTTGAGAAGCCCAAGAGAAGCAGATATGCGAAGTCTCAGTTTACTACTAAATTATTAGAGGATTGCAATTCAAGTCGTTTCATATAATAGCCGAAGGATGTTTATTTCGGTTGTTCTGACGTTATTTCAGAATCCAGAATCATTTTCGTAACTTTTAGGCGCTTTCTCAATAGCGCATAACTTAGTCATCAAGTCACATGTCCATATTCATATCTGCCTACTGCTATTTGGCAGGTAGGTAATCACGTCGGCCATTGCAGTAAATTACGGATGAAATCTTGTAGCAGTATACATCATGACTTCCTGCCTTAAACGTTTTTGATTTCGTCACAAATAATTTCCTGGGAATAACTTTTTTCCACCCTGATTTTTAAGGATTGCAAATCTCGAAATTATATCACCTTTTAGAGCACGGATAATATGTTTGGGACTAGTAAAGGTACTGAAAAAATAGTCCTCTGAATTTATTGTGTAGCAACACGAGGATGTTTGCGACATTTCCTTTTCTCTAAATATTAAATGTGGCTTGCTGCTTCTCGACTTTCTGAATAAGGATCATATGTACTATGTATTATTTGCAGCATAATTTCTGCAACGGTCTTTAAACTGATACCAATCAGTCAGTCACAACGTAGAACTTCGTACGTACACACATTAGTTAGAGTTGCCATACCATATTAGCACAGAGATGCAGTTGGCGATTCAAATCCCATTGTGGTAGAAGTAGTAAGAGTATAAGCAGTAATCGGAAAGACTAGGGTTTTATGTTATTCAAGGAGTATAATGCAGTAAAATAAATTTGGAAAGAGAAAAGGATAGAGACATGAAGAATTTGGCAGAATACAAAAAGTGAACGCAACTTGGCCATTGCAAACGATTTTGAGCCATGTCATTCAAGGTCTCTAACCATCGGTTGCTATCATCTTGCGGATCCCAACCAGGTAGTCTACACCTACCAACATGGCTTTATCCAATTGTCAGTGACTTCATGGATTTGTGCCACGTTTTGGTCTGGCCGCCTCTAGCTTTCTTCCAACCTACTCCTACACCATAAAACATCGCACGTCGGGGCAGACGGCAGTTGGGTATACGTAACACGTGTCCCAGTCATCTCAACTGATGAAGTTTCACTACTCCATCAATCGATTTGCCATCCTTACCTAGTACCCGTTTCCTATCAACTGCATTACTTACCCGGTGGTCCCAGGATACACGAGCAATGCTTCGAAGACACATATGGTCGAATACTAGTAGCCTAAGAATATCCTCTACTCTTATCGGCCATGTTTCACTGCCATAAAGTAGGACGGAACAAACTGACGCACAGTAAACCCGTCCTTTGGTTGCTAGATGGATATCTCATCTACGCCATAAATGACGCAAGTTGGCGAAAGCTAGACGAGCCTTCTGTATCCGTGCTGAGGTTTCGTCGAACACCAGAACACAAGGGCTGATGAGACTCCCAAGATAAGTGAAGTGGTCAGCACGCTCAACCACTTCACTCCCTATCATTAGTTCAGGTGCCGATGCAACCCAATCCGGAAGTAACATTTTTCATTTCGAAGGGGAGAATGGCATCCTAAACATGCCTGCATAGTTGTTTATAGTGGTCAGAAGACTCTGCATTTTGTCAGCGAATGTTCAGCGCCTAAAGCGGTTTGGAAAACCCTGATTTCGAACCAGTGGTGCACATGGGCTCCAGGATCCTGAGAGGACAAATGGAGTACGAACCTATTGTTGGTCACCGGTTACCATGGGACTGCGTCTAACATTGCTTCATTGCCTTGTGGATTAAACCTCTAGGTCAAAGGCTCGGTGGCGGGTGGGCCTCTAAAAAAACCACCTGTTTCGGTTTGGCGACCTGAAAGTAATCTCGGCTCACACGCCAATTGAATGATGACTACTTTGTGCGGTATATATATATATATATATATATATATATATATATATATATATATATATTGGTCGCCTTTGCATCAACGTTTTCGTGTTTAAGTTAATGATAAAAATACTGAGAAGCCTCCTTCAATATCCAGTCTATGAGTGACAAAGTCACAAGTAAAAATAGCTTGTCAGTCCGTGGTTAACCTTTTTTACCTGTAGAGTAGATGATTCCTTACTATTTGAAGGACAAATATACTTCTGAGTAGTTCGATCTTTAGTACCTTGTTGCTGTATAACATGATTTTCAGAGGTTGCAGACATCTATGTCATTACTACCTCTCTTAAGAAACCGGGTATTATCATTACAACTCAAAAACATTGGGGCTTAAAGTTGGGGACACAAACTTGTAATTTCTAAATGAGTCTCTTGTCTTGGTTCATATTTATAAAGTCACAAGGTTAAAATTCTAGTCGTATCTCGTCTTCAAGTATCGAATGTTACTCCTGGCTGTTAACTATGTTACCAGATTAGCTAGGTCCTCCAACCACAATTAAGGTATTCAATGAACCATACTAGACAGAAGTTTGATTTAATAAGTAAATAATGTTTTTAAGGAAATAAATGCTTATATTTACTTAGAGACTACTCTTAGACTTCGCTTCATACGCGATTGAGTAGATTATATTCGTTGTAAAAGCACAATAATAACGCGCTGTCTACGTTTTTTTTATTCCTTAGTGTTTTGGGACTGTAACAACAGAGGTCTGTTATGATTTTTTCCTTTTTTGGATTATTGTGAATGGGGGAGAATTTATACTATTATTAGTTTGGAAATATACATTGAAATGTACTCGTTTGAAGGGAATTACAAATCTAAGCGGTCATTAGTGTTTGATCATACTCAAAAGGTAATGTCTTATTTATGTATTTATTTACTTATTTTAACAAACATAACATTTTCGGTTTGTGATAAATTTGTTTTATTTCATAGAATCGTTGTTGGCTACATACCAACTGTATAAGATGTATTCATTATATAAAAAACAAATGTAACTCATAGGATAGCACTATGTTCCCCATGTTTTGTTTGCAAAACATGGATAAATACTTGTTAGGAGTCCCATACTATGATGAAACATGTCCAGTGCTCCTTGGTTTTCAGTTACTGTGGGATTGTAACATGTATTTGAAGATGTCCAGCAAGCTGACGGGACCCGAAAATGATCTCAGTAATTCTGGTATATCTGTTATGTATCCTCCTCTCAGAGTCTGAATCTTGATTTTAGTGTGCGAGTTGCTACACCACATAATTATGGTGAGATGAAATTCTCAAGAAAAATTCCAGGATGATAAGAGTAGTACAAATATCAGTAGTAGAAAACACTAGGCTTAGAAAATCTGATTCTAAAAGAATGAAGGATAAGTTCACTGAATAGACTGTTTTGGATAACGTTGAAACTCAAGATCCAGTACAAAGCAGAGTGAATCCACCTGTATTATCGCAAGTGCTTCTGAGTTGTATCATTCAGCGTCTTCAGACATCGGTTATTGCGTTTGCACAGATTGCAGCCAGTTGGTCTCCATCTACCAACACGGCTTATTCCAGTTGTCGATGACTGTGAATTAATGCCAATCTTTATTTTGTCTTACTCCTACACCAGCAAATATTACGAGTCGAGGTTGTCAGTGACCGAATATACACGATAAATATGCCAACCACCACAATCGATGAAGGTTCACTATATAATCAAGTGATTTGCTATCTCCACCTGGTACCATGCATCTAATCTCAACCTTGGTCACTTAGTGGTCTCAGTGTACACGAGTACTGCTTCAAAAGTATCTATGACCACATACAAGTAACCTACAATTGATCATGTCTGTTAATCGTAAAGTAAGAAAAGATAATTCACCACTCTTGTTTTGTAATAGAGTACTTATGGTTCCTAATTTTCATATTTTAAGGCTGATTACTATTATTATTGGTCAACTTAATTAAATCCCTAACAACTATATTTAATCAATCTTTTTTATTTGATACATTTTTTTCCTCCTTACACCTTCACAGTTGTCAACCCATGCGCTTGTTCAAAAAACGCGTGAAGAACGAAGGTCACGTGAAGTAAGTATCATATCATACAACTTATTTATTTAAAACAAGATATGAAATTGACCTTATATTTTGTTATACTTATTCATTGTTTCGTTTATATACGAACCAAAGTTGTACATTATCCAGTTGAAGACAGCTGAAATGACTTAAAAATGACTACATTAGCAAGAACTGGTTCACAATGTTTTGTTTAGTTACTGAATACCCACTTACTGTATATTTTTCTTATCCCCTTCACTCATGGTTTCCTTGTTGATATGAAGCATTGCTTGTATATCCTGGGACCACCGGGTAAGTAATGCAGTTGATAGGAAACGGGTACTAGGTAAGGATGGCAAATCGATTGATGGAGTAGTGAAACTTCATCAGTTGAGATGACTGGGACACGTGTTACGTATACCCAACTGCCGTCTGCCCCGACGTGCGATGTTTTATGGTGTAGGAGTAGGTTGGAAGAAAGCTAGAGGCGGCCAGACCAAAACGTGGCACAAATCCATGAAGTCACTGACAATTGGATAAAGCCATGTTGGTAGGTGTAGACTACCTGGTTGGGATCCGCAAGATGATAGCAACCGATGGTTAGAGACCTTGAATGACATGGCTCAAAATCGTTTGCAATGGCCAAGTTGCGTTCACTTTTTGTATTCTGCCAAATTCTTCATGTCTCTATCCTTTTCTCTTTCCAAATTTATTTTACTGCATTATACTCCTTGAATAACATAAAACCCTAGTCTTTCCGATTACTGCTTATACTCTTACTACTTCTACCACAATGGGATTTGAATCGCCAACTGCATCTCTGTGCTAATATGGTATGGCAACTCTAACTGATGTGTGTACGTACGAAGTTCTACGTTGTGACTGACTGATTGTTTATATGAATGTACTTTTATCCTACATTTTAACAGTGATGCTTGTCAGCCTGGTGTACTTGCATCGTACTGTTGATGTTTTTACTTGGTCTCAATCTAAGTATTGATTGCTTCAAACCTCAAAACGTTAATCATTATGTTGTTTACTCATGGTATTCACAGCTTGTTCAGTAGTTATTATTTATTACTTTTGTTGTCAGTATTTGAACTGTTGTTTCATTCACCAACAGATTGAACCCTCAACTTCCTGTTTTCACGGAATGTTGCTTCAGGGACACTGTAAATAAATACAAACAAAAAAATCCACGTCTAATAATTTCATTCAGCGTTCCTGTTAATTTTGACCTAATTTTTATTGATTTGGATTTGAACTAACAATTATGCTTATAGTATTGTGGTGTACGCTACTGATATCGACAGATATAAGTAGTATATATCATCAATCGAAAGTGAGATACTTGACAGCAGAAGGTTAATAAAATTGAAAAGAGAATGAGAACAAAGAATAGTTGGTGTGGAAACGAAAGAACAAGGAAATCTTAGACGATTGATTAACGTTTTGCAAACGAAGTATTTACCGTATGGTTCTCAGATTTTACTAAGATGTTCTTTAATTTTGTATTCAAATACATTCGATTGTTCCCACTTGTGTTCTCGTTCACTGCGGTACAACAATAAGTAGTATTAAACTTGTCTTCTCACAAAAATTGTGTTGATATAGTTTGTTTTTCATCAAAGTAATATGATATTGTTCTTTCACAACTCCATTATTTTCTATATGTATCTTTGATCAGAATATGGTCAAGCAAGAACGTGCCGCTACTAAAATTCAAAGGTGTATTCGAGATTATGTTGAACGAATTAAAGTGGTAAGATTTCAAACTTAACCAATAACTTGCATTTTTAAAAAAAAATCAATAAATATTAAGTATTGTTTTGCTCCAATGATATTGTGGTCTTTGTAGCTGGTTGTTGTTAGTTTATAGGATATCGAGCTCATTATTATGCGGATTTGATTAGTTGTCAACCAATTTAGTCTGTTAATCTGTACATTATGTGGAATACAATAAATATACAGAAGCGTGTAGAACTGAGTAATAATGCCAGGATGTTGGGGATGCGTTTCTCCCCCTCTCAATGTAAATTGTTACTCCAGGACTGGCCTGCGTCAACACCTGAACTAAGGATAGGGAGTGAAGTAGTCGAACACGTCGACAACTTCACTTATCTTGGAAGTCTGAACAGCCCTAATGGGTTGGTATCTGACGAAATCTCTACACGGGTTCAAAAAAGCTCGTTTGATTTTTGCCAACTTACGTCACCTATGGCGAAGACGAGATATCCGTCTATCAATTAAGGGACGAGTATACTGCACAGCAGTTCGCTCTGTTCTACTTTACGGCTGTGAAACGTGGCCATTAAGAGTAGAAGATACTCGTAAGTTACTAGTATTTGATCACAGATGCCTTAGAAATATTGCTTGCATGTGCTGGGATCACCGTGTATGTAATAGTGAGGTTAGACTAAGGGTATTAGGGAATGATGGTAAATCAGTTGATGAGGTTATGAATCTTCATCGACTGATATGGTTGGGTCACGTGTTAAGTATGCCTGAACACCGATTACCACGACGCGCTATGCTGACTAGTGTTGGAGACAGATGAAAAAAAGATAGGGGTGCTAAAACCAAAATGTAGCATTAGTCCATTAGGTCACGAACTTCTAGTCTGAACCATGTTGGTAGATGTAGACTACTTGGTTGTAGTCCACGTGACTATCGTAACCAATGGTTGGAAACTCTGTGTGACATGGCTCAGAATCGATCACAAACCTTGAGATTAAAGTTGCTTCATATCTGTCTTTCTCCCTGTACTATGTCCTTATATACAACCTATCTTTTATATATTACCACCTCTAAATTAACTACTTCTATGAATTTGGTGTTCTTGTGCTAACGAAGTGTGGCAACTTGGACCGATGCATATATGTGCCTGGTCCTACGTTGTAGCTGACTGACTGACTAAAAGCTGGCAAGAAATAGGTATACTGGTGTTATGTCTGGACGAGAATAAAGGAATAGTAACCGTTAAGAATTATTTATGGACTAATCTTATACGAATATTTTTATTGTATGACTATTAAGTAACTATATTATGTGTATTTCCATATTCCCTTCATTATGGGCTTTTATTTGATCTATTGACTATTATTATATGATTTACTATTGTTGAGATATTGCCAATTTATTAGTCCCAATTTCTCACAATCACAATCACTTTCGGCCTGATATTGTATAGTTGTTATTTTCTATTTTATGGTATGATGTGATCTGATTTATTTATATATAAACTCAGTATGTTTGAAATATATGATTCGTACCATGAAGGTTGAGATTGGCGTTCTGGACTTGACAGTCAGGGCCAGACAGAAAATAGGACTAATCAGGACTCTAGACTGCTCGTGCTGGTGTATAAGTCAGCTTATCTAAATTTGGCAATCGTATTTCGAGATAGTTGTATAAGTTAAGGACATAACAACAGGTTCAATGGTTTAATTTAGTTGACATTAAATTATTTAAGACTATAAGATCAGAAACCCGTATCTGATAAACTTGCTACATTATCATGAAAGAAAAACCTAGTTCATATAAGTACTACATTATAATTTATCAAAATTATTCAATTATATTTGGAATATTTAAAAGTTCACAGGTCATCATTTCAGTATTTTTATCAAACAAAACTGCTTTGTCTGTATAATTGAAAAAAATTTTGATATTGTAAACTAAATTATCAAAGTTTAAAAGTAGAAAATATCATTTCTATAGAAGTGTTGACTTTCAACAACGAGTTTGTAAGCCTAAACCGGCCTTCCTACATACATTGACTTATTTAACTGAATTCTATTTATAAAGGTCTTTCAGAACAAGAATTGGATGTAGTTCAATAATGAAATTTATTTTAAAAGTTAAGTTTGAATTTCATATCAAATTTATATTTCATAAACGGCTGAGAGTGGGGAGAGTCCGCTCCCCCTCTCGAAATGCTCTTACACGGCCACGCGTATACAGTCTCTGTTAGGGAAGTCCTATTCTCTGCCTTCTTGTGACATTATTGTTGTTTACGAAATTGAGAGGACGAAAAGCGATTGTCCGGCGCTCTACTCGGGTTGGTGAACACAGAAAGTCTACATAGGGTAGTTGGGAAACCCTGATTCCAAACCAGTGGTGCACATGGACTGATACCAGTATCCTGAAGGAACAAATGGCGTATAAATCAATCGTCGGTCACCTGCTACCGTGAGACTGCATCTCCTTACGATGCTCCACTGTCTTGTGGATCAGACCTGTAGGTCAAAGACTCCGGGTGTGGCCCCCTTCATGAAAACAACCCGCTTCGATTTGGGAACTCGGGCAGTATCATATCCCTTACACAATTAAATGAAATGACAATCTTTTGTGTGGCGCATATATATCTGGTGCCCCATTGTACCAATATTTATATGTAAATATATTTACTCAGTTTCATCAATCTTTTTCTCTCACCGATGAACATTCTTTTTTTAATTTTCTAGAAACGTTACTTTATTGAATTATTCAATGAATTATCTAATCAATTAAATGATACAATAAATAAATCTGATTTCAATGTAGAACATGAATTTGAACATAAATTAATGAAGTTACTTCAATGTTTCAATACATGCTATCGCTGTAAAAGTCCAGATCAAAGACATCTTGTAAGTCAGAATGTATGTATTTGTTGTTGTTGTTGTTGTTGTGTAAAAAAATAGTCAAATGTGAACTGGAACGCTGTTTCATTCTGTTTACAACTCACCTTTGTCATAAATACAACTCAAGTAATAGAGTATGGAATTATGTTACTCAGCTTTGAAATACACTTTTCCATGAGGACCAGTTGTACTACTTTGGATTGTTAAACTCAAGTAGTTTCTTTTCGGAATCGAAGCCTGAACCATAATGGTTAGAAGTTTATTGCGTTGAACAGTAAGCCACTGTAATCCACCAAATTGTTGTTAGAGATGTAATGGATGTTGTCACTTCTCGGTTGGCCACACCATGGAAGAATACTTCTTGAAAAACCCTAAAAGAAGACTGGATTATTAATGGTATTAACGGCTTTTGAGCGTGTCTGCAGAGCACAAGACAACTGTCTGAGGCCGGTCACGCACTATATTTTAGCAAGTAGTTCACTAGCCATGTGGCTAGTGTAGTCTGCCATTTTTGAGTCGGAAAATCTTTTAAGCTCATCCTCCCATTTTTGGAAGGAAATATTACTTCAGATACTGTGATAATGAGGTATGGCAACTTGAACCGATGTACATCAGTACATGTTCTATGTTGTGAATGACCACTGTTTGTTTGAAGGAGACATCCTGATACCGTCACACCTTAGTACAGTTGGTATTATAACTTTTTCAGTTCTTAGGTTTGCTGCTTTCAACATTACCGATTTCCAGCCGACTAGCCTGTAGTGATAAAACTTATAGGAACCAATTTTCTAACTAATAAACCTCAATTGGGTCATTATGATATGATAGCCTAACAACACAACATCAAAGTATTAACCACAGTCGACACCATAATCCACTAAAACTCTTTGAATACCCCTTAATCTAGTGGATATTGACTTCAATCTTCGGTAAATCATTCCAAGGTAGATACGGATGCATCCTATAATAATCAGTTCCAAATAGGAAAAAAACAACAGAACCTGCTCAAACCTTATGGGTTATCTACTTTACAACTGTGAACTTCTATTCATACTTCTTTAATATTCTTAAATTAAATTGGTTATAAGATAGGAGAGATATCTATTTCGTCCTTGTTTGGTGCTCTTCAGCAGTATGTGCTCAATTTTATTATTTTCTTTTCTTTGTATTCATTCCCATAGTTTACTGTTTGTCGTTTATTATTGTCTAAATATGGGAAAGATGCACAAATCAGTTGGTTAACTAATGGTTCTATGGATCATATTTTCACATTAGGGAATTCATTATTAATCAATATCAAGTAAGTTTTTATCATATCTGTTTCCATGAGACTGTTTTTTTAATGTTTTAAGCTTGTATGTATGATGTAATGGTTAGTATTAACAGTAGGTTTCATTTATATTTATCAGTCCATACTAATAATGAGGTAACTTGAATTCTTTAAATTCCAATTTTATTATATGTGATCAGTTAGGTTCCTTTTTTTAGAAGCTCTTTGAATTTCTTTGTAAATGTATCTTTCTGCTGCCTCAGTCATATTGTTCTTTAGGAATTTTAACGAATCATCTAAGATCATTTATTTGAACACATAAATATTGGTACAAAGGAGCACCAGATAAATATGTGCCACATAAATCTCATTTGATTTGTGTGAGGGCTGTGATACTACCCGGGTGCCCAAACCGAAGCAGGTGGTTTTCCTAGGGGGCCACATCCGGAGCCTTTGACTTAAACGTCTGACCCACAAGGCAGTAGAGCATCGTGAGGAGATCCAGTCCCATAGTAGTCGGTGACCAACGATTGATTCATACGCCATTTGTTCCCTCAGGATACTGGAGTCAGCCCATGTGCACTATTGGTTTGGAATCAGGGTTTTCCAACTCCCCTAGGTGACCTTTCTGTGTCCACCAACCCGGTTAAAGCGCCAAACATTCGCTTTTCGAGCTCTCACTTTCGTAAAAACCAGCAATGTCACGAGAAGGCAGTGAGTAGGACTTCCCTGACAGAGGCTGTATACTCGTGGCCGTGTAAGATCATTTGGAGAGGGAGACCGGACTCTCCCTACTCTCGGCCGTATCATGGCATTTGGGAGCACATACTTGTCTTTGTTCATTGTAATCACACCTCAGTCGAATAATGATAATGTTTTCACTTTGCATTGAAATCTGAAAAGCTTCTTGATGATCTTTAGATAAGACTTTTGACTGTGGAATTTAAAATATCTTGTATGGATTATTAATATCAAGAGATTTTAATTAAATTTGCTTTTCTTTATCCATTAGTTCTGTTGCAGAGAATTGATAATATAAATTCTCGAACTGAGTTTCTGTATCGATTCTGTCAATGTATCTTCTTGGAATGTAAGATTTTAATCGAATTGAAAGTCCTTCCATCAATTCAAGACTAGATAGGTTTCAAATAAACTTCCCAAGATTTTCATGAATACTTTCGTATAGTTAATCTTTAAAAAGGGTTTTTAATGATGTTTATAATGAGGTTTATACATACTTCTGTATAGATATCTCGGAGGAAAATTTAAAACTCGATTTCATGTTTCCTACTTCCTAATAGTGATCAGAGTTTACTATTATTATTAGCTTTATTCAATATCAATATAGATTTCTCGGTACAAAGTATTTCAACTAGTTTCCGTCCCCTATTTATTGATCGATCTCGACGTTAAATATTGAGTGATCGCCAATTAAATGTTAGCAGTTCAGGAATCGAAATCTGAATAATGTGCATTATTTTCTATGCATATTGCCAGAAACCACGATGTCTCTACTTGGGCCTTTTTGTAACTTGTACAGCGAAAGGTAGCAGGTTTTTCACAAACGCAACTGAATAGGTTTTGTAATTATTTGACATAATGATCTGTTAAAACAAACAAAAAACACAACTTGTTAAAGCATCCAGCTAGATGACAGGAACGGGTAGCCCAGATATTCAAGCAGGCCGCCTGAACAGCTGTGAAATGTGTTAGTCAGTTGTAACCCAAAAAGGTGTTCCTTTTAGACAATTAGCATTTGCAACAATGTTGCTCTCCCACAATGTAAAGATGGGTGTTCGAAAAGGTCTTCCCTAAAATAGTATACCTCACCTTTTCAATACTATATCTTTTCTGGTATCCGTAGAATTATCCTTTCATGATGTAGGCAATCAGGAAGTGATAATCGTTCACACATCTAACACTCTCTGCTAGCATCTGTAAATCTTGAGGGATCCCTCGATATTGTCTAAATAGGACAATATGCATCGTGGATTTCACTATTTACTAGCCATAATCCAAAAATTTATCCAATTTTAATTTATAAGCTATTCGATATTGTTTGATGCTGTAGTGAACGAAAACTCAGGTACGGTAAACCAATTTATTGTTTTATTCAAAATCAAACTGTGCCTTTGTAAAATATAATGATCATACATTAAATACATTATTTGCCTATCTTCCTTGGGTTGTTCTTTACATACTCCACCATTCTTCTAATCCTGTTTCTATTTCAATTGCTTTGTGTTTTATTCCCTGTTTTCTTAATTTCAATCTCCTACTACTTAAGTCTGTCCGCACCACAATGTATTTATCCGTATAGAGATTAATCAGATTTAGTCTCGAATATCAACGATTGGATGATAAAAACCCTTACATGTAAGCAAGTTGTACACTATTTTAATTCAGTGGTTTAGTCGAAAATATATTGACATTTGAAGAGACAGGTACTGGGTTCGAGTCACAGTGGCAACATAAATACAGGGATAGTGTTATATTCATCTGACGATTCCCAAATGAGACAAAACTCACTTCCAAGATTCCATTTCTAACCACCATCTAAAGTGTATATATTCTGTTTTAAACATATACAGTTCAAAGACCCTAATGTGCAATCCTTTTCATCCTATACAGCTTTCTAATATACACATCAGTTTTTATATGATTGAATTCCTTTACGTGTAAAACACTGAAATCTCTTTTATTGTTTCATTTCCCCTCTTCCTATAGATATTTATCAAACCTCCCATCATTAACACCATCATCAAACTATACATTACCAATTCGTATATTCGAGGAATTATTCAACATCTTCATTGGAACATCATCATCTACAAAAATCTCTTTATATTCAAAACAGTTATATTTTAGTATTGAATGGATATGTCGATATTTATCAAATCATCATTATTTTAATTATTTAGCTTATTTTATTGATCAACAATTACCAAGTACAGTTGGTTACTTTCAAGATGTCATTACACAATCACGTGTATTTGAACTGGTGGAATTTTTTAAATTACCAAAAGCTCGTGCTTTTATTAATCTATTAATTGCACCATTGAAATGTGCTTCTAACCTATCTGGAAATGGTAGTCAATTTTCGGTAGGTGATAATTTCTGTTTTTTTTTAATCTTTCATTGACATATATACTGATTGAATATTCTATTTTATTTGATAGACTTGAAATCTGATACAATTTGACACTAAAACTAAGGATGCACCAGTCAAGACCACAAATGCCCTGGTACGGCCGAGAGTGGGGAGAGTCCGGTCTCACTCTTGAAATGTTCTCACATAGCCACGCGTATATAGCCTCTGCCAGAGAAGTCCTACTCACTGCCTTCTCGTGGCGGGGGTGTTGTCTACGAAATTGAGAGGACAAAAAGCGAATATTCGGCGCTTTACCCGGGTTAGTGGACACGGAAAGTTCACCTAGGGTAGTTGGAAAACCCTGATTCCAAACCAATAGTGTACATGACCTCCAGGATCTTAAGTGAACAAATGGAGTGTGAATCAATCGTCGGTCACTGGCTACCATGAGACTGTATTTCCTCACGATGCTCCACTGTCTTGTGGATCAGACCTTTAGGTAAAAGGCTCCGGTGTGGCCCCCTAGGAAAACCACCTGCTTCGGTTTGAGCACCTGGGCAGTATCACAGCCCTCACACAAATCAAATAAGATTTGTGTGGCGCATATGTATTTGGTGCTTTTTTGTACCAATATTTATGTGTTCAAATAAATAAATAAATGCACCACTCAAAATTAAAAGAAAAGAAATTGAAAAAGCAAAGCAGGAGAGGAAGGTGCAGTGAAAAAAACAACTGAACAACAATAAGAGATAAAGCTTGGTTAAAAAATACAACCAAGAAAGACTTCTTTCTGTTATTTAGAGGCTGCCAAACCAAAACGTAGCATCAGTCCATGCAGTCACTAAATTCTGATCTGAGCCATGTTGGGAGATGTAGACTACTTGGTTAGGGACCGCGCGATTATCGTAATCAATGGATGGAGATTCTGGGTGACATGGCTCAGAATCGATCACAATGGTGTCGGTGCATACACTGTTTGTCTTCCTTTAAACCTTGAGATTAAAATTACTTTATATCTTTCTTCCTACAAACTCATTCTTTCTCCCTGTATCATATTCTTATATACAGTCTTTTTTTATATATTGCTACCATTGAAGCAACTGCTTCTGTGAATTCAGTGTTAATCTTGTTGTTCTAATGAGGTTTGGCAACTTTGACCGATACATGTGCTTGGTTCTACATTGTAGCTGACTGACTTCTTTCAGTTAAGGAAGTGCCTCGCCTTTATGAAAAATCCTTAAGTAAATCACATCAGGACAGCTAATGGCTTTTATTCCGATTTATCTTTAATGACATCTCAATCCATTGAGTAATATCATTTTTAAGACGACCCCAACCAGGTAGTCGTGATGGAAAGACAGTTGCCAGTATTGTAAAGCTTTATTTTGTGCCACAGCATCATATCATAAGTTGATCACCTCGCTGCTTTTTCCACCCAATCTAACTGTCGACAAATAATACATGATGTGAAATTCATTAGGGTGACATTCTTGACACATCCAAACCACTGAAGGTAGTGTTTTTCCAAAAGGCAAAATCTGTGAACTTATCGTCACAGTTACCGGACACACCTTATTACACTTCCCATATTACTAATATAATGTTGTCAGTTGATGTAGATATTATATTACAAATTAGAAAGTACTCTAGGTTTTCTACAAAAGCTTAAATTCCCTGAAATTGTTATACTCATTCTGTGACAGAAAAATGGTCACCATTCTATCTTGATCTAGATTTCTTGAGGGAAAAAAGAATGTTCTAGGAAAATGAATGGCTTAATCATTACTTAACAGGATTTAAGGAAATCAATTATAATTTTGGCCTCAGTTGTGTAGAGGTTGATCTTGAGAGTCAAACTTAGTCAAGGTCATAGATGCAAATCGTCTACATTAATCCCCCCCAATGATATTTGGGATAGTTGTAGGTTGGAAGAAAACTATGCTCCACTAAACCAAATTATGTTATCGATCCATGAAGCTACTGATTATTGAAATGAACCATACGGGATGGTTCAAACTTCGTATTTATCGTATGTGCGATGAACACATTCAGTGATTAAAGATATTTAATGATATGGCTCAAAATCAATCACAGTAGCACAGATGTACTCACTATTTATATTATTTATTTATTTAAACACATGAATATTGGCACAAAGGGGCACCAAATACATATGTGCCACACAAATCTCATTTGATGTGTATGATAGTTGTGATACTGCCTAGGTGCCCAAACCGAAGCAGGTGGTTTTCTGAGAGGACCACACCCGAAGCCTTTGATCTAAAGGTCTGATCCACAAGACAGTGGAGCATCGTAAGGAGATGTAGTCTCATGGTAACCGGTGACCAACAATTGGTTCATACTCCATTTGTCCCCTCAGGGTACTCGAGTCCATGTGCACCATTGGTTCGGAATCAGGGTTTTCCAACTACCCTAGGTGGACTTCCGGTGTCCACTAACCCGGTTAAAGAGTCGGACATTCGCTTTTCGTCCTCTCAATTTCGTAAACAACAGTAATGCCATGAGAAGGCAGCGGGTGGGACTTCTCTGGCAGAGGCTATATAGGTGTCGCCATGTGAGAGCATTTGGATAGGGAGACCAGACTCTCCGTTCTCTCAGCCGTACCAGGGCATTTGATGGCCACTATTTATATCCCATTGGATCTTGAGCTCCAGTCTTGTTTCATACACACCTTTCCATGTCATTTTTGAAACCATACTCCCGGTGTTTTTTTAAAAAACTTGCTCGCTATGAATGATACTACTGTGGTGTGGTCTACTTATGTCTATATAAGTAGTATGTGGTGTGGGTCAAACATAGAATGTATTTTCGCAGAAGACCGATGAGGAAAGAACTGAAATGAAGCGCAATCGTTTGGAAAATGCATGAGCAACGGAATTAGAGAAGAAACAGTAAAGATTGAAACAATTGGTTGTTAATTTGCAAATTGACTGTTCATTGTTTGGTAATCAGAATTTACTGAGATAGTCTGTAATCTTTGCTTAAATACATTCGATTGTCCCCAGTCGTGTTCTGTTCACAACACTACAATTGTTTTGATTTGTTTACTATTCATTTTGTTAATCACTTCTTGTTATGCTAATATACTATAATAAAATTCGACTGATACATATTTATGCTAGACCCCGCTTTGATTGGATTGTTTCTTTTTAACAATAATCATCTACCATATTCCAGTTTTGTTATAAGTTGTTTGAATGAGATAAACCTACTTCACTGTATTTTAAATGGAATAGTTCAAGTTTGTTGACATTATAGATCCACTGAGAAATAAAATTTTTACAGTAATGTTACTGGAGGCTGGGGACACGAGTTTGAAACTCGTTAAGGGTATCAATTCCCCCAAGATATACTTTCGTAAAGTTTAAACAATAAGATTTGTGAGATAAGGTGTATTCATTTCATGTCGTGTGCATTAAATCCCTTACATACGTACTGATTCGTATCAATAAATAAATCAACAAAATGTTACAAAAATGTAACTTCGTGTTTACTATGCATTAAATCATTCAGTGCACGAAGTTCAGTTTAAAGGCAAACAATATAATCAAGCGAGGGAGAGAGAAAGAGAGACAGTGACCCACCCGAGTAATTGTGATAATACTAATGATGGTAGCAGTTAAAAGGGGGTAATGCAAAGACACAAGTACTCGTATGTGAGAGATATGGAGCTCACAAAAATGAAACGAATTCACGACATCTTACAATATATATCATTGTTAATTTAAAAAAAGTTTATCAAGGGAACCATTTAGATAAAATTCCTCAAGATAACAGATACACCGTGTCTGTAAGTGCCAACTGTGATATGCTTATGCTTATATTGCTTATATTCTCTTCTCTCCTGCCTATTGACTAGGGTAAAATGTCCAGTTTTGTATAGAAGCTTTCTTGATAGAGACCTTAGAAGAATTGAATCACATTGAGATGTATTCAATTATGTGTAGATTGATGAATGTTAAGATTGATTTTTTCCCCTTCATACTTTATATTCAAGAATGTCACATTCTCAACAATGTAAATTAAAACTGAAAAGAAGCAGAGCTCTACTATTAGTATGGGTAATACTTATTTAAATGTATGAAGTTTGTTCAGGTGATTTATGACTTCAAAGTGGATTCCACGAATATTATCTACCGAGATTCAATACAAAGAAAATCAATTTTATTCTACTCATACAATTTTCACCTAACGGCTGAGTGAACTTCACAAACATATTTTATATAGTTGAAATCATGAGTCAACTGAAGCTAGACAACTATGGAAAACCTGGAAGCACTGGATGGCCGTTTCGTCCTATTATGGGACTCCTCAACAGTCCTCATCCACGATCCCGCTCAATTTCGTGGATTGGTTGGGGTTAAACATTAACACCGCTGGATGCCAGCTCAGTGACCCTAGAGGTTAAGCTCTCTCGCGTGAGACCGATAGATCCTGCGTTCGAATCTCGCAATGCGGGATCGTGGGCGTGGACTGCTGAGGAGCCCCACAATAGGATGAAAGGGTCCTAATGCAGTGCTTCCAGGTTTTCCATGGTGGTCTAGCTTCAATTGACTCATAATTTCGACTATATATATAATTACTAAAATCTCCACAAAACCCTCTTCTAATAAATATATTTTAATTCGATTAACAAATATTACTGTCCTATTGTATTTTCTCATTTTTTTTTCTTCTAAATTTCCCTTTATTCATTATATTTAGAATCCAATGGTTGATTTGTATCGTGAACTTGTTTTCACAGCATTAAATGATATTCTCACACCAGCCATTGATGATCACAATACTTATACTATCGGTGAACGTGTTGTACGCAGTTTTGGCATAGAAATATTCAAACTACCTAATCTACATCAAATTGTTATTAATGGATGTTTAACAGAGGTTGAGAATAAAAATAGCCAATTAAATACTGAACGACAACGACAACAACCACATGATGGAACTATTTCATTGATTCCTTCTATCAGTAAGTACGTTGTAACTTTTATATGTTTTGTTTTCATAATAATCATCGTATGTGAATGCCTTTCTTTGCTATCAAGAATTAGCATCATTTGTAAGGGCTCTGGCTCGAGACTGGTAGGTCCTGGATTCGAATCTCGCGAGTGCCGAATCGTGGATGCGCACTGCCTAGGAGTCCCATAACAGGACGAAACGGTCATCCAGTGCTTCCAGGTTTTTCATGGTGGTCTAGCTTCAATTGACTCATGATCTCAACTCTATAAAATTACTAAAATCTCCACAAAACCCCTTCTCATTTGTAGTAGTTATAAATGTTGTTTCATGCATGTCTTTGGCGGTTAGTACTTGTTTACATAACTAACTATTAAATCGATGTATAGTTCTCTCCTTTTTTCAATAACTCTGTAGGTCACCTCTGTTCACTAATTATCTTGTTCCTTGCTCTTGGATTTCTTGACATTATGCCCTAAACTATATGTTGGGGCTTCTATTTTTGAAGCCCAGTTGTTATTATCTATGATTTGGGGTTTTGTTCATTTGAGCGTAAGGCAATTTCCAATCACAAACTATTAAGATGTCTTCTAATATGAACATGATTTAATGCTAACTCTGTAATGCATCCAGTGATATATGACAACACTTTGAAGTTAATAAGCAATAAAGAGGATCGAACTCTCAGGATATTACGAACAGAAGTCATAATTGAATTAAAACAACTCTGTACATATGGCAACAAAACCTTAGGACATAAGAAAATTAGCAAATTAAAGGGGACAACAAAATCAATCAGAAAACAGATATGCTGATGCCGAAATATCAACTGGACAAGTTTTATCGTTACAAGAAGGAAATCTACGCTTATCAACAAAAATGAGTTAACCTATTTAAAACCAAATAATTACTACTAGAAAAAGCTCTGACATTTTATACAATCCATGGTTTGCGTGTTTCTGAAAGCCACACTATTCATGCATCAAGTAATTAAATATGTGACTGCAACTTCTGTAGTCACATAAGTTAAGGTATTGCTTTGGGTTCGAAAGGGGGGGGTTTCTCATTTCTTAGCTGATATAGTAGTCTGTGAGCTGAAAGGTACCAGGGTAACCTCCCGTAAAATGTTTGTAATCTTTTATCGAAATAATTGGTTACTATCTTTTGGAATTGTTCAACCATTTCAGATTTATCTATCGTATCTGGCAACAGTAATGACTGATTATTCTGATTAATTTACACAGAACCACATTTAGATACGGCTTTTGAGTTCTAATAAGTAGATACAAGTGATCGTTCTATGCAATTTCACTCTGACAATCGCTAACTCCTGTAAAGATTTCAAATGAGTTTTCTAATAATATGGTAACCGTCATTATGAACTCTACGTTGAGTACTTTTTTTTATCGACCTTTCAGTCAGGTATCAGTGGAAGGGATCAGTTGAGTCGCTGATGATTTTAAAGTATATGTTTGGAATGCAACTGTACTTGGGATAAAGCACGTGTTTTTGCGTTGTAGTGGCGCTGAAAAATTTAAGGAAATAATCAAAGAAAGCTATAGTGACTTTCCAAAAGAAATAATTATTCACTCAGTGGAATTTGACGAAAACTTTCATTCCGAGGTATTTTGACACATGTCAATAAAGTCTGTTATCCATTCGAAGAATAGTTTAGGGAATATCACTGTACTTTTTCAGTGTCTTCCGAAGTTATGGCTGCTAGAAAATACATTCCAGCATGATACGAATACAACTATCAGCGAAAGTTACTAGGACAGTTTACGCAGCGAATATGGACATTGCACAGCGACGATGCCGAAAAATAAAGTGGATGATAGTTCTAGGTAACCTTAGATTGTTGTCGAATGTTATCAAGAAGAATCAAAAGTTGATTCCAATTGCTTTCACACCAAATAGAGTGTAACTCAGTGCCAAGTGCACGAATGTGTACCTTATCTGTGCTAATGAGGTGTGGCAACTTGAAACGACTGATAGATGTATCAGGATCTACGTTGGGTATGACTTCCTGACCGACTGAAGTATTCGATAAAAGTAAATATCCCAAAATTGTTTTTAAATCTATCCATTGTTTTTTATTATCAAAACAGATTTATTACACCTTTTTGTGACTGTGGCTATACCTGGCATGTTAGTAAAATGTGATCCAACCACAACCACATTAAGTTCAACTGTTCATACAGCCGAGTCATCAATGATACAAGATACTGATGAAGATGATGATGATGATGATAATCATGAAGAAGCAGTGACAGAGGAAGAAGGAGGTGATGAATCATTGCCAGTTCTGTTAGCTACTGAATCTTACACACATTATACATGGTCTGGTTCACCTTTAGAAGCTGCGATAATTATACGTTTTGTTGCTTGGATGTTTATGCGTTGTTTAACGGAACCTCATCTGCCTATTGTTCGTCCAATTACTAATCATAAACCGTTACAACTACGAAGTGGACAAGAAGAAGAATTATCAGATGACGATGATGACAACAAGATTGATGATAATCATAATACAGTGAAGGGAGTGGGAATCAATGATCAAGAAATGAACATGTCAGCTGAATTTACTAGAAATACTAATATTATTTCAGAGGATCTCTCGTTCCAACCAGTATGGGTATATTTCTTATCTTTGTTCCTCTTCTGTCGAAAATTTGTTTTTTTTCTTTGAAGGTTTTGATTGTGTTTAAATAAATAATAAGTAAATTCAAATGTCCTGGCATGACCGAGAGTGGGGAGAGTCCGGTCTCCCTTTCCAAATGCCCTCACATGGCCATGCGTATATAGCCCCTACAAGGGAAGTCCTACTCACTGCCTTCTCGTGGCATTATTGTTGTTTACGAAATTGAGAGGACGAAAAGCGAATGTCCATCGCTTTAACCGGGTTGATGGATATGGAGGATCCACTTAGGGGAGTTGGATAACCTTCATTCCAAACCAATGGTGCACATGGACTCTAGGACCCTGAGTGAACAAATGAAGTATGAACCAATTGTTGGTCACCGACTACCATGAGACTGCATATCCTAAAGTTCCTCCATTGCCTTGCGGATTAAACCTTTAAGTCAAAGCCTTGGTATGTGGCTCTCTAAGAAAACCACCTGCTTCGGTTAGGACACTCGGGCAGTATCACAAAAATTTTGATTATTAGTTGATTCATACATGAAATTCACTAACGAGTTATAAAAAATAGTGAACTATTACAGGTTCAAAGACAATACCTGGCGAATGCAAAAGCAAAATATTTCTACATTCATCGACAGTGCAGTCGATGTTTGTAGCTTACCAAATACCATGCAGATGAAACAAATTACTAACGAATTGCAGGTTTCTTCTTTATTCCGAGGCTTTTAATGATAATGTTCTTCAGGAATACTATGAGAATTTCGTGAATTTGTCTAAAAAAACATTTAACAAATTTAGTTTTGTCTTCTTGCCTTTGAGTTCCACATTATATGTAAGAACTGTTGATACTATTTTAATGGCCAGACCAAATGTATGCGGAACGGGATTCGAACCTATCACAGCGGTAGCACTATATACTGTTATATTAATTTTGGTAGATCTAGTGGCCTAAAAAGTCACAAAAACACTAATAGACAGCATGTGACAGGCTAGGTACTCTGGGCAGCAATGAGAAATACACCATGCAGGACTCACATGCATTGTATAATTCTTAGCAAATAAACTAATTTTATAGATCTTGAGAAATACATTTTAACCTTTATGTGTTCAGAGAAAAATTTTATTATAAAGTAGTCAGTTTGTGACCCCCAAATGCCCTGGTACGGCCGAAAATTGGGAGAGTACGCTCTCCCTCTCTAAATGCTTTCACATGACCACGCGTATATAGCCTCTGCCACACAAGTCCTACTCACCGCCTTCTAGTGGCGGGGGTGTTGTTTACGAAATTCAGAGCAGGAAAAGCGAATGTCCGGCGTTTTAACTGGGCTGGTGGACATGGAACGTTCTCCTAGGGGAGTTGGAAAACCCTGATTCCAAACCAATGGTGCACATGGACTCCAGTAGCCTGAGTGAACAAACTGCGTATGAATCAATCGCCGGTCACTGGCTACCCTGGGACTGCATCTCCTCACGATGCTCCACTGCCTTGTTGATCAGACCTTTAGGTCAAAGGCTCCGGGTGTGGGCCCCTAGGAAAACCATCTGCTTCAGTCTGGGCACCTGAGCAATATCACAGCCCTTAAACAAATCGAATGAGATTTATGTGGCACATATGTATGTGGTGCTTCCTTGTACCAATATTCATGTGTTTAAATAAATAAATAGATAAGTCAGTTTGTGGATAAGAACACTTACCTACCTGTTAAGAATCAAATTTTGGCAATTCAATTCATTAATAACCAAATACTAAGTTTTACATTTCGCTTTGAATTTAACCTATTGTATGTAGTCTAACCTCTCTTCTAAGTACTACCAATTTAAAATATAACAAAATGTATAAACACAGTTAATATAATAAATATCAAGGCATCTATTCATTTGACCCATATGCCAATATAGAAGAGGTTAACCAAATTCATTATTATTAAATATTAACCATGGGACAACCCGAAGCCTTAGTAGTAATAATAAGGAGGTCATGTAGGACGATTGCTTAGTGGTCATAGTCCTCGACTTCTGGCCTTTAATTGCCGGGGTTAGAAACTTGCTCTGATTATTTCAGGTTAGTCGTCCTCTTTGATTAAGATTTATAGTTATAGTTTCTAACTCAGATTCTAATGGATAATTGTCAAACTAGCTAATAGGCAATAAAAATTCAAGACTTTATCTTTACTCTATTATGAAGATGAATGAAGAAGTTTTTTAAGTAAACATTGTTTATCTCTTTTTTTTCTTTAGATTACTCAACTGAAAAAAATCTCTGTATCACTAAGTCATAGTTTACCGGCGCTAGCAGCTAGCGCATTGTCTACAGTGGAAAATTTCACTAGGGATTTAGATAATCCAGATAAATTAGAATTGATTCATTCTTCATCATACCTACATTATTGCCTTTCTCAAGTATGTGGTTTGTCTAGAACATCATTAATACGGTATGTTAAATCATTTGGTTAATATTTTGTACTCTATATATGTTTTAGACTATCATATATTCAGGCATCTATATTTCGTACACTTAGAATCATTATTACAAAGTATTGATTACACAATATTATTGACAATTTGTAGTCAGACTATTGTGAACTGATTAGGTTCGATGATTTATTTTCATCAGAACTACTCCTAATCATTTGTCTCTGTATTGTATTTCTCACATGACCTCTGCAAATAGATATTCCCAAGTTACTAGTATTTAATTATCCACGCCTTTGAAACGTGTATTAACACTGTGGAGTGAGTTATGTTGAAATTACACACAGCGTACAAGATATAAAGTAGCAAATTAGTTGATTAGATTCTGAATTTTCACCAATAGAGGTACCTAAGACCTACATTGACACACAATGTCCACTTGTATAGGAATAGATTTTAAGAAAGCTACTTGCAACCAAACATGATAATTTAGCACCAGTTCTTAAAATTTTTAATTGTTGAACTAGTTTATACCGGTAGGTACAAACCACCTGTTACTCCTGGACTGGTCTGCGTCAACACCTGAACTAAGGATAGGGAGTGAAGTAGTCGAACGCGTCGACAACCTCACTTATCTTGGAAATCTGATCAGCCCTAATGGGTTGGTGTCTGACGAAATCTCAGCACGGGTTCAAAAAGCTCGTTTGATTTTTGCCAACTTACGTCACCTATGGCGAATGGGAGATATCCGTCTATCAATTAAGGGACGAGTGTACTGCGCATCAGTTCGCTCTGTTCTACTTTACGGCTGTGAAATATGGCCATTAAGAGTAGAAGATACTCGTAAGTTACTTGTATTTGACCACAGATGTCTCAGAAATATTGCTGGCATCTACTGGGATCACCGGGTAAGTGATAGTGAGTGAGGTTAGACGTAGGGTATTAGGGAATGATGGTAAATCAGTTGATGAGGTTATGAATCTTCATCAACTGAGGTTGTTGGGTCACGTGTTACGTATGCCTGAACACCGATTACCTTGACGAGCTATGCTGACTAGTATCTCCCTTTAAACCTTGAGATTAAAGTTGCTTCATATCTTCCTTTCTTCCTATACTATATCCTTATATACAACCTTTCTTTTATATACTACCACCACTAAATTAACTACTTCTATGAATTTGGTGTTCATCTTGTGCTAACGAAGTGTGGCAACTTGGACCGATGCATAAATGTACCTGGTCCTACGTTGTAGCTGACTGACTGATCTGCTTGAAATCCATGTTATGATCATTACCAATAGTTGGAAACTTTAAATGACATATCTCAGAATAATTCATCATGTTACTAATGTCTGTATTTCAAAATATTTTTATTCCACGAATTTACCTTACCCTTTCTTCTTCAATCACATTATATATGTCTAATCATTTCTACGACCAGTAATGAATCATGTTACTATTTTTCCAATTCTGGTATTTATCTTGAAATAATTTTGTAGTGTGGTCTACTTATATCCATATATAAGTAGTATATGGTGGTGGTCAGACATGGAATGTATTTTGGCAGAAGACCGATAAGGAAAGAACTAAAATGAAGCTCAATTGGTAGGAAAATGCACAAACAATGAAATTAGAGAAGATGGATTGATATTTACAGAAGGAACAATGAAGATTGAGACAATTGATTGTTATTTTGCAAATTAATTGTTTACTGTTACTGGTTGTCAGATTTTAGTGAGATGGTCTGTAATTTGTGCCTTAATACATTAAGCTGTCCCCAGCTGGTGTCTTGTTCATTACAATTTCATTTCATTATACTGGTGTAGTTTGAAAACGTGAACTGATCCACAGGTTTATGTCAGATTCTACTTACTTACGCCTGTTACTCCTAATGGAGCACAGGCCGCTGACCAGCATTCTCCAACCCACTCTGTCCTGGGCTTTCTTTTCTAGTTCTTCCAGTTTTTGTTCATTCTTCTCATGTCTGTCTCTATTTCTAGGCGTAATATGTCCTTTTGTTTACCTCTTCTCCTTTGGCCTTCAGGATTCCATATGAGGACTTGTCTTGTGACACAATTGGTTGATTTGCTCAAAGTGTGCCCAATCCACTTCCAGCGATTCTTCCTGATTTCTTCCTCCGCTGGATCGAATCTGGTTTGTTGTCTCCCAGATTCTACGTTTATTATTATTATTATTATTATTTTTTGTAACTAACTGACATGCTATTTATATATGATTATTTGAATGTATCCTTTTTCTCTTTTTATTGTTTTACAGTATTAACTCTATTTATTCACAACATACAATCTATTTACGTTGTTTATGGAAATTAATTGAAAATACTAAATGTTCAGATAAATCAACAATATTAAATTATTCAGATTCTAATATGTATTCATTATTAAATATTTTATGTTCTGGTGAATTACCATCACATTTAATGGAACTTCAAAGGTTAGTTAATAATAGTAAGTAAAGATTTGTATTCCATGTGGACTACTACTCCGCCTGTAACCCCTCTGGGGGGGGCTACTGCCGGTCCCAAGCCTGAATAAAGTAGGAGGATTGAGCATGGGATTGGCGACCCCATCTCATAGAAAACTAAGGCGTTAAAAAAACGTTAACCAGAAAAACTATTTACAACTGCCAGGGAAGTTTTACTCACTGCCTTCTCGTGACATTACTGTTGTTTACGAAGTTGAGAGGACGAAAAGCGAATGTCTGTTGCTTTAACCGGGTTGGCGGACACGGAAAGTTCACCTAGGGAAGTTGGAAAACCCTGATTCCAAACACATGGTGCACATGGGCTCCAGTATCCTGAGTGAACAAATGGCATGTGAACCAATTGTTGGTCACCGTCTACCATGGGACTGAATCTCCTCACAATGCTCCACTGCCTTGTGGATTAGGTGTTTAGATCGAGAACTTCGAGTGTGGTACCCTAAGAAGACTACCTGCTTCAGTTTGGGCACCCTAGGCAGTACCATAGCTCTCATACAGATCGAATGAGATTTGTGCGGTGCATATGTATTTGGTGCTTCCTTGTACCAATATTTATGTGTTGAAATAAATAAAATAAAATTAATCGTTGAAAAAGAATGTTGTTACCTCTTCTAAAATGAGAGTGCCTCTATATTTATCTATAGTTTATGTAAATTAGATTTCCATTACTGGTTAACAGTAGAATACACTTTGGTTTTTGTTTTTCGTCTTAGTGTGGGATGAGAATTGGCTTTAGTATTTGTTATATTTCATTTTGGTGTGCAATTTTTCAACAGTGCTTCCTTTCCCTTGCCCCTCGTCTAGTGATTGGATGCTGTGAACTCAGTTGTAAATTATTGTAACATTGACTCAGCAACCAATGTATTCGGGTTATAATGTTGAATTAGATATAGTGAAGTTTTTATCAAATGAATTTCTGTATATTAGAACCTATGCCTCCTAGATGCATCCACCAATATTCCTTACGTGAATCTTAAATAGATTCTTGTTTTTCTAGTGTCATTTCCTTGATATTTTTTCCCCGACTAACTGTCATTTATTCATTTATTTAGTAGCTAGTAATCGTTGCAAATTGATCTCATTTGTAGTGCTTCAGAACAGCTGTTACGTCCTAGTGCTTCTACTTGACAGTTGACACCCACAACCCACCAGGAGTCTAATCCAGGAATTTTTTATCTGGCGTTGAACATCCAACCACTAGAACCACTTTGTTGGTGTCCACTAGTACCGTTTTCACACCAACCGACTTGGAACAGCATAACAATCATCCATGTTGGAAGTAAAACAGTTGTCACTATTGACTTTGGATGGTCGTCGCTGTCTTTCGTCACTTGATGAAACTTGGAATGATATTATTGGATTTAATTATTTCAACGATTATTTATTCGCTGAGAGATCCGAATGTCCTGAGTTCGATCCCTAGTGGAGTTTTGCCTGCGCACTGTCAAGGTGTCCTAAATTGGGACAAAATAGCTGTTCAGTGTTTCCCTGATATTTTGTATCATTCCAAATGTTATCAATCTGTGACGAACACCACGTGTAGGTTAAACCAATCTCTTCAAAAGTCATTTAAATAACCTGGGTTCGAATCTCGCGGGTGCGGGGTTCGGGATGCACACTGCTGAGGACGAAACGGCCGTCCAGTGCTTCCAGGTTTTCCATGGTGGTCTAGCTTCAATTGACTCACGCTTTCAACTATGAAAATACTGAAATCTCCACAAAACCTCTTCTGATAACCTATTTGTTTTTTTTATTTAAACAGTTACCTTCCACTGATATTTACATTTGCTGATTGTCTTCATCATCGCTTATTATGTTTAACTGATTCGGAAATCTGTGATATCTCATCGGAAGTGAACTACACCAACTCCGACGATTATCGTCATCAGCAGTCAATCAATAATAATAGTGAACCCTCACGAGGAGGTTGTGGTTTTCGTGCGGATGAATTATTGCATGTTGGTACAAGACTTCGTGATCTTATGCTCGGCCTAATTGATTTGTCACATCCTGATCAAGTGCCGAAAAGAACTCGTAATTTACAAACATATACACATTGTACAGAATCAATGGAACAACCAAATTATGGTGCAGTATTACGTAGAATAAAACAATGGGTTGAGATGACTGATCTTGGTAATTCACCTAGTGGTGATCTATTGATGCGAAATAATACAGAATGGGTAAAGCAATTTCTTAATTGATTACTTCGTTATTACGTTTTCGTGGACTGTCATTAACAAATATTTTGTAAACCATTTCATTCAAGTTCGAATCATACTAGGTAATCTGAATTCTCTCACAACTGACACAATTCACTTGTGAGTGGAGTGTGTCAACTAGCATTATACACACTCGTCCGCAAGATGCTCATTTTAAATCTTGAAGAGACTAGTATTCTTCATCGGATTCCAACCCCATCTCTTATTTAAACGTAATGCGTCCAGTGTTGAGTCAAATGAAAACTTGTTTGGTAGAAGTCATTCAACACTAGTCAACTAGCCAGTCAATCATAAGCAAGGCAAATCCTGACGCAGATGTGCATCGATCTAAGTTGTTACACTGTGGTGTGTGCTACTCAAAAGATTTATCGTAAGTATTATATAACGAAACGTAGCGTCGAAGTTGCAACCGTCGTCAGACGAAGAAAAAAAGATCCGTACAGCGAAACTACATTATAAGTGGAACACTTGTAAATCAGACGAGAAGGTAGTTCGGATTGCCGAACATACCAGAAGATGCAAATAGATTACTTAAAGTTATGTATATGTATTATATAAATGCTATGTATTTAGAGTATTTTCATTATTGCAAAATTTGATGTACCGTATACTTCTCAAAATAAGTGTTTTATAACTTCAGCCTATGTATTTATTGGATAAATTGGACAAGAAGTTATTGATTATGCCGGGCAATATGTTAATTACAGAAATCATTATCTAGTTTTTTGTTTGTGAGGTGATAAAGTTTTTAAGTCGATGTTGCATCACATCGTTTGATTGTTTTTTTATATTATCAACTGGATACTGTTGTAAGTGTATATACGCGTAGACATGTGAATGAAAGTCTTATATAGAGAAAACGCTTAACAAGAGACTGGATAGCTCTCATATTGTGAATTCGGGTAACGTGAGTTTGAATCCTACAGGAAACATCTTTTCCCTCGATATTGTAGACAAATCTTACTGATGAGTACGAAACCTTGGGTCATGCAGGGTTTCGTTTCGACTAGTTTGAACTACTTAACTTACTAGTATATTATATCCACGTGCTGTATTATTTACCTTAATATTTATACATATTTATTAACTCTTTAACCAGGCTCAATTACATGTACTTGGCCTTGAACTACTCTTCAAGTTTGAGGGCTACTAATACTGAGCGACTGGTCAAACCGAAGTAGGTGGGGCATGTTTAAACCAACAACTTAGTAGCTGAAAGTTGAAATTCCTAACCACCAATTTACCTTTCCAGATTTATGCAAGATTGTGTGTGTATTTATGCGTATAGGTGAATTTACCAATTGATTAATCTCTCTCTCTCTCTGTATGTATAAAACTATTGTTCTTTTTCTTTCAGTCTATACCAGATTTACGTGTTTTACTATATTGTTGGTGTAGTTTACTGCGTCAAATTGAACGATTAGTATTTCAAATCTATGATTGGGATCGTCGTTGCCGACGTCAGCAAGATACTGGTCTGCCTGCCTACCTTTTACACAATCCACAGATTACAACGACAACAACAGCGACATGTACAGCTTCTACAAATGCATCATCTCCATTTTCATCACCATCATCCTCAATAACTGATATTACACGTGTAACAGATTCACCACGCCTACCAATCGGCACACCAAGTGTTAGTCAAACATTTTGGTTAAAAGATAACTTGTTTGATTTATTAAACACTACAGAATCACAATCGTCATGGTTTGAAAATCGAGGTTATCAAGATACATTAGCATTAGCTGATGCACCGTTTGGTTATTATAGTATTTTAAATCCAGATCGAAATCAAGGTTGGTGTAGTGTTATGTATTGGTTATAATGTTTTGATTAGCGGCATTGTTGACTGAACTTAGTTAGATAATCATTGAAAACCAGTATGTACTGTAGTGTCGGTTGATATGTTAAGCCCATATACCTTATTTTAGCTTCAGGACAATTTAATTTACCTACCCATCATGAGTCAAATTTTCACCTTGTTAATTATTCACTTATTAACCCTGACTATTTTTTATGTGAGCGTATATGTGTACACTTCTTTTCCCATTCATCACATATCTGTAACTTATTCATGCCTGACCATAAATATTGATTAACGCTTGATTAAAGCGAGTTGGATTATCCGCCATCTCCAACTCGTGTTATTTTTGCTTCGCTCTCTTCTGTTCGCTTCATCCCCGTGATTTCCTGTCCAGATCAATTAGTGTACAAAATATATGTATTGAAAATCCATTCTCGTATTTGGCTTATTTAACTCCGTTATTCATCAACGCGGATTAAGTTATGTATTACATATGAGGATAGACAGGATGTATATTTTGACAATCAATCATTCATACGATCTAAATTGGAGTCAGATTAAGGCCTCCACAGTACTGCATAGCTGTTTTTTCTTAGTATGAAATTCCTTAGCAGTACACATTACGAATTACACTGAGGATTGAATCCAAAGTGCTCTAGTAAGAAGTCAGGACTCTTAGAGTTTAGATATGTAAGGAGTTAAACAGTAGTTACCAATGACGTTGGAAGGGAATTAAGCAATATTATGGACTGATTAAAATTACAAATTTAAACCATTTATGTCAATGCAGTGGTCAGCATGTTAAGCGCTCGCTGCGTGGTCTGAAGCAATTCTCCACAGTAATTAGTGATCACATACTTAAGTGTTTTGAAAACCCATTGACCAATTAGTTCGTTCAGAAGGGGTTTTGTGGAGATTTCAGTATTTTCATAGTTGAAATCATGAGTCAATTGAAGCGAGACCACCATGGAAAACCTGGAAGCATTGGGCGACCGTTTCATCCTATTATGAGACTCCTCAGCAGTGCACATCCACGATCCCGCACTCGCGAGATTCGAACCCAAGATCCACCAGTCTCGCGCCAGAGCACTTGACCGATAGACCACTGAGCCGGCATCCAGCGGTGTTAATGTCTGACTTCAACCAATCCACGATGTTTGAGCAACCGTTCACCAATTGTCTTCAGTGAGTTGATATTTCTACGACAGACTTGGTAGAACTCCACTAGTCACTGCTTCCCACTAGAACTCAAGGAAACATCCCTTGAAGTCAGTTACTTATGAGCATATGGTTATAGATTAGAAGGGGTTTTGTGGAGATTTCGGTATGTTCATAGTTGAAATCACGAGTCGTTGGCTTGTTCTAAATAATGATCACCCATATTCAACTTCGTGCAAATAACTTTCAATCCTAAAAGGATTCAAGTGTAACCTATGTAGCCTTCAGCATGTAAATGTTTCTGACATTCAGACTGAATTAAGCGGGTTTGTGAATTCTAAAGAGATTATCGATTTCCCAAAGATTACAGGTACAACTTATTTAAAAGAACCAACTAATATAAAACCCTAGGTACATTCTCCCAATTCCCTTCAGCCCTATAATGACACTTCTAACACTCTTTGTGTGTGTGTGTCAATTAATCTTTCTTGTAGGAAACGATGATTATTTATTGTTACCGTCTCAAAGTGTTTCTATAGCAAAATAATTTCTGATCATATTTGTTTTCCATAGTTGAAATCTTGAGTAAGTTGAAGCTAGACCACCATGGAAAAACTGAAAGCACTGGACAGCCGTTTCGTTCTATTATGGGACTCCTCAGCAACGCGCATCCACGATCCCGCACTCGCGGGATTCGAACCCAGGACCTACCAGTCTCGCGCCAGAGCACTTAACCGATAGATCACTGAGTCTGCATCCAACGGTGTTAATGTCTAACTGAGGAATCCCATAATAGAACGAAGCGGCCTTAAAGCAGTGCTTCTAGGTTTTCCATGGTGGTCTAGCTTCAATTGACTCATGATTTCAACTATGAAAATACTAAAATCTCCACAAAAACCCCTTGTGACATATTTGTTTGTTTGTTTTTCTTTTAAATGTCAGCGGTACTAGAATCGTTTTCTTTATCTAATCGTCAAATACGTCAAATCTTATTATTGAAAAAAGTTCCATTTGTTATACCATTTGAAAAACGAGTTAAAGTAAGTATATTGTGTATGTAATTTATTTTTTTTAAAATTTATTTAAACACATAAATATTGGTAAAATGGAGCACCAGATACATATGCGCCTCACAAATCTCATTTGATTTGTTTGAGGGCTATGATACTGCTCAGGTGCCCAAACTGAAGCAGGTGGTTTTCTTAGGCGGCCACACATCGAGCCTTTGACCTAAAGGTCTAGTCCACAAGCAGTGGAGCATCGTGAGGAGATGCAGTCCCATGGTAGCCAGTGACCAACAATAGGTTCATTCGCCATTCGTTCCATCAGGATACTGGAGCCAACGTGCACCATTTGTTCGGAATCAGGGTTTTCCAACTCCCCTAGGTGGACACTCCACATCCACCAACCCGGTTAAAGCGATGGACATTCGTTTTTCGTCCTCTCGCTTTCATGAACAACAGAAATGCCACGAGAAGGCAGTGAGTAGGACTTCCGTGTCAGAGGCTATATATTCGCTTGGCCATGTGAGAGCAATCGGAGAGGTAGAGCGGACTCTCCCCACTCTCGGCTGTACCAGGGCATTTCGGGTAATGTACGTAATGTATACTTTTGATTGCCTGTTCATTACATTGTTGGCATTGATTTAAGCTATTCACCTATTAAGGACTATTTGATTGTCGAATTGTTTGAAACAACTCTTAGAACCAAAGTATTGCTTCACGTTGAGTACATGAATCGGTAAATGTGTTACTTCGACAGCAATTGAAATAATAACATGATGATGATAAATTATGATCTTCCTCTGGCTGGGAACTTCGCAGATCGTATAAGCTTTTATTTATCGAGCACAATATTGAATAAAACCATTAATATTAATAATACCCACTTGGGTGAATTCAACACTTATGTGGCCTATTAATACTACCACTCGGATGTTCAGTCCAAAATTGATGTGTCCGGGGTTTAAAACTATTTCCAAATAGTTGGAAAAAATGTGCTGTAAGCATCAATCAAACACCTTATGTATTGTATAATGATTCATTTATGTATATGAAGAGAATCATATCATTTATTGAAGGGAACTCTTAATAATTCTCTTTCTTCTTATATTTACACTTTTGGTACGGCCGAGAGTGGGGAAAGTTCGCTCTCCCTCTCCAAATGCTCTCACATGGCCACGCATATATAGCCTCTGCCAATGAAGTCCTACTCACTGCCTTCTCCTGGCATTACTGTTGTTTACGAAAATGAGAGGACGAAAAGCGAATGTCTGGCTCTTTGACCAGGTTGGTGGACACGGTAAGTTCACCTAGGGGAGTTGGAAAACCCTGATTACGAACCAATGGTGCACACGGGCTCCAGTATCTTGAGGGAACAAATGGCGTACGAATCAATAGTTGGTCACAGGTTACCATGAGACTGCATCTCCTCACGATGTTCCACTACCTTGTGGATCAGATCTTTCGGTCAAAGGCCCTGGGTGTGTCTTCCTAAGAAAACCAGCTGCTTTAGTTTGGGCACCTGGGCAGTACCCCAGCCCTCACACAAATCGAATGAGATTTGTGCGACGCATATGTAACTGGTGCTCCATTGTACCAATATTTATGTGTTTAAATAAAATAAAATAATAAGAATATCTAAGCTTCACGAATAAAGCATTTAGCTCAAAGAATGCAATATTACAAAAACAAATAGACTTAGGAATATATCTGTATCCAAGTATTTATATTCACATCTAGTCTCAAACACAGTACCTTTCACTTTAAAAGTTCAACATGCTGTTATCCGCCGAGCTACTAAGTCCATATAACAACTATCTGACTTATTAAACAGGGTATAAATTCTATTTGATTATAGTTGTTATTATGTAGAACTGAGTAATAATGCCAGGATGTTTGGAATGCGTTTCTCCCCATCCAAATGTAAATTGTTACTTCAGGACTGGCCTGCGTCAACACCTGAACTAAGGATAGGGAGTGAAGTAGTCGAACGCGTCGACAACTTCACTTATCTTGGAAGTCTGATCAGCCCTAATGGTTTGGTGTCTGACGAAATCTTAACACCGATTCAAAAAGCTCGTTTGATTTTTGCCAACTTACGTCACCTATGGCGTAGACGAGATATCCGTCTATCAATTAAGGGACGAGTGTACTGCTTAGCAGTCCGTTTTGTTTTACTTTACGGCTGTGAAACATGGCCATTAAGAGTAGAAGATACTCGTAAGTTACTAGTATTTGACCACAGATGTCTCAGAAATATTGCTGGCATCTACTGGGATCACCGGGTAAGTGATAGTGAGTGAGGTTAAACGCAGGGTATTAGGGAATGATGATAAATCAATTGATGAGATCATGAATCTTCATCGACTGAGATTGTTGGGCCACGTGTTATTATTTATTTATTTATTTATTTAAACACATATATATTGGTACAAAAGGGCACCAGGTACATATGCGCCACACAAAATAATGAAAGTAGGAAGAGAAGGGATGAAAAGATAAGGCGGACTAAAATGTACAACCAGAAGACTCTTTCAAATAGGAAAGTAAGAACCATACTTTATGTAGAAAGTAAAAGAATGTTGCAGCAGGATCGCCACTGGTTTCTATTCTGAGCCATATCTGATAACGTCTCTAGCCACTGTGTTGCACCATCTCTCGGACCCCAACCAGGGAGTCGTGAAGGACCAACGGAAACTAGCCCTTTTCAGCTCTCTTTCATGCCACGACACCATGTCATACACTGACCTCCTCTCCGCTTTTTCCAACCAGTCCCAGGGTCGGCAAATAATGCACGACGTGGAAGTCTCTGGGACGACATTCGTAAAACATGTCCAAGCCACCGAAGTCGGTGTTTCAAGATGGTGACACCAATTGAATTATCGTCTCTGTGCCCGAACACACGATGCCGAACCTCTGCATTACTAACATGGTGTTGCCACTGGATGTCAGCAATCCTTCGGAGACAACGATGATCGAACACAGAGAGACGTCTAACATCCTCAACTCGGAGAGGCCAGGTTTCACAAGCATAGAGCAAAACTGCTCTCACCGACGCGTTGTAGATCCGACCTTTTACAGCCAGACTAACATCACGAAGGTGCCAAAGATGGCCCAGATTAGCATAAGCCGATCTGGCTTTCCTTATACGTGCATCAATCTCATCACTCACGCCACCACCAGCACTTATATAGCTACCTAGATACACGAACTTCTCAACTACTTCGATCTCCTCACCATCCAGGGTGAGTACAGGATTAGAATCCTGCCAGTCTTGTAGAAGTACTTTGCACTTGGAGGGTGCAAAGCACATGCCGTACCTGCGGACACTGATTGCCAACTGATTAAGTGCGGATTGCATGCCTTGGGCATTATCGCACAGTAAGACAATATCATCCGCATACTCAAGGTCGAGAAGTCGTTCTCCAGGCAACATATCCACACCGCCATTACTTACATCCATCAGAGCTGTTTCCAAGATGTCGTCGATGGCAAAGTTGAAGAGGAATGGTGAGATCGGGCAACCCTACCTAACCCCACTGCTCGAATGGAACAAGGGAGAAAGGTGGTTGTATGCCCTCACTCTGCCTGAGGTGTTCGTGTACAGGGCCTTTAAGATGTTAATGAACTTCTCAGGCACACCCTTCTTCAATAGACAATCCCAGAGAACAGTCCTGTCCAACGAATCGAAGGCAGCCCGATATCAAGAAACACTACGATTGTTGGCCTGCGATAAGTATGACGGTGTTCTAACATTTGGCGGAGGGTGAAGATGTTGGAGTTTCTTGCGGACTTCCGCCTCGTTTGGTGGATCAGTCGTCACCGGCCATGGGGGGCAGGATAAACTGGTTGATGTTGCCGGAGCAGCAGACCAGTTGAACTGCCCTTCGAAAAATTCCGCCCATCGTCCAAGACGTCGACAGATGTTAGTGATTGGCATCCCGTCATCCTCATAGATTGTTTCACTCACACCAGACTTCTTGCTGCCAGTGGCTCGGATGAGTTGGAAGAGCTTCCGGCAGTTACCAGATGCAGCTGCTGCTTCCATCTGATTAGCACGCTCCGACCACCAGGCTTCCCGGTCCTTACGCAAGCTTTGCCCAATTTCATTACGTAACAGCCTTCGTTTGTGGTCAAACTCACGGTCACCCGGAGTAGACCGACGGGCTTCCATCAGTTGTAAGGAGCCAGAAGAAACCCAGTGCTTGTAAGCGGGACGTTTCGCGAAGCCGCAAGCGGCTTTACTCGCCATTTTCATGGCGTCGTGAAGATGCAACCAATACTCATCTATACTTTTCGGTGGGGTGTTAGCTAGCCTAGAGGTTAGCTCCGCTCGGTACTTACTTGCAACAGGAGTTGCAGCCAGTTTACTAATATCAATCCGTTGGTGGTGGTCAATCCTTCGGCCACTGAAAAGTAAGGTGAGATTGGCGCAGACCAGTGCATGATCAGACTCCAGATAGGTACTCCAAAAGGAGCGGCAGTCTTGTACACAACCACGCCAGCGGTAGCTGATCGCGATGTGATCAATCTGAGTCCAGGCTTGGGATGCAGAGGGAGGACGCCAGGTGGCACACCGGCGATGACTGTGCCGGAAGTTGGTGCTGGCCAGAAACAGGTTGTGGTCTGTGCACAGTTGCAGCAAACGGTCCCCGTTATCTGTCCTGCGACCAACAAGTCCCCATCGGCCACCTAGACGACTCTCTTCTGTGCCTAGACGCCCGACCTGTGCATTCAAGTCTCCGGCTAGTACTACAATATCTGTCGAACGCGCTTCCTTTAGAAGAACTGTTAACTGATGGTAAAACTCATCCTTGATTACATCCGGGCTGCAATCTGTCGGGGCATAGGCGGAGATGACGAAAAGACACCGTTTCTCACGCCGGTTTCTTCTCAATTTGATGGAACTTTCTAATCTAACAGCACATAACCGACTGTTAATGGGGATCCAATCGATTAGTGCTGCCTCAGCCCTAGCGCTTAGTGCGACACCAACGCAAGCAAGACCAGACGAAAATGCCACAGGGTCCCCGGATAAGCGCACGTGGAACAAGCTCTTCGAGGTGACAGATGGAGAGCGGATTTGTAGTACTTCACTAGAGTCTTGAATACGGGTCTCGGATAGACAGCAAACATCAACATTAAGACCTTCCAAAGACATAGCCAGCCCTATCTGTTGTCTGATCTGCATTAGTGTGCGAACGTTGAAGGAAGCCAGCTTGAACGGCGTACGTGGTTTCAGAAAGACTGCCTCAGTATTCATTATCGGTGGAAGCATTCACTTTCAACCAGACAGTGACTGGAGATCGTTTAGATAGGACAGATTTTCCACCAAGAGCGAGCTGCTGCATAAGTTGAAGAGTAAGGTTACACAAATTGGGGGTAAAAGGGGGTGAATTAGCGATATGGTAAGTAATAATAATAATAATAATAATAATAATAATAACGTAAATTGTCTTGCTTATAATATGAGCAGGAATAGAATCGTCAATAGAGTTCGTCATTTCATTCATTTGTGTGTGGGCTGAGATACTGCCCGGGTGCCCAAACCGAAACAGGTGGGCCACGTGTTACTTATGCCTTAACACGGATTACCACGACGCACTATTCTGACTAGTATAGGGGATGGTTGGAAGAGAGTTAGTTGCGGTCAAACCAAAACATGACATCAGTGCTTGAAGTCACTAACTTCTAGTGTGAGCCATGTTGGTAGATGTAGACTACTTGGTTGGTGTCCACGTGACTATCGTAACCAATGGTCGGAGACTGTGGGTGACATGGCTCAGAATCAATCACAATGGCGTAGGTGTATTCACTCTTTATCTTCCTTTAAACCTTAAGATTAAAATTGCTTGATATCTGTCTTTGTGACTGACTGACTGTTATAATGTTGCAATTTATCTTAGTTTTTGTTTTGTTTTACATTTTTAAAAATAGTTATTTAAGATTCTTATCAATGATGATAGTACGTATAATCGTAATCCATTTCGACGTATATATAATATATCTAATCAATCAAGTGTTCCTCTTATTGTTCGTCGAACTCATCTATATGAAGATGGTTTTGAGAAATTATCCAAAGAAAATGGTAATGTTTATCTTGGACAGTTTGTTTCATTATTGTCATTTAATTACAAAGTTGAATAATAATGCGAACATAGGATGCGTGTTTCGTCTTATTTACGACTTCTCAGCTGGATATGTACCCATCTCAGTTCTAATACTGGTGTTTACAGGACAAGATTACTTGGTTTGAGTCTTAATGTGAATATCAACACTTAGATCTAGGTATATCCAGCTGACGTGTTTACAACGATTAACCACGTTCATGTGTAATCATGATTTGTAAATGAGGTTATGGAATAATAAGGATGTCTACTCTCTCCCTTCCTTTTTCTTCTGGTGATTGACTGGATTATGAAGAATTCAACATCTGAGGGTAAGCACGGAATACAGCTGGCATGTCAGAATCAATTAGACGATTCGGACTTCGCAGATGAACTAGCCCTCCTACCCCATACACTCGAACAAATACAAATGAAGACAACAAATGTAGCAGCAGCCTCTGCATCAATAGGCCTCAACATACACAAAGGTTAAAACAAGATTCGCAATTACAACACGAAGAACACCAACTCAGTCAAAATTGATGGGGAAACTCTGGAAGGTGTAGTAACATTCACGTACCTTGGAAGCATCATTGATGGACAAAGAGAATCTGGTGCGGGCGAGGATTGGTAAATCAAGGATCGCATTTCTACAATTAAAGAACATATGGAACTCAAATCAACTGTCATACAGCATCAAAGTCAGAATCTTCAATATGAACGTCAAGACAGTTCTACTGTATGGAGCTGAAACGTGGAGAACTACTAAATCCATCGTCGAGAAGGTTCAAGTATTTATAAATAGTTGTCTACGTAAAATACTCAACATTCAGTGGTCGGATACTTTCAGTAACAGCGTTTTATGGGAGATGACAAACCAGCTTCCACCTGAAGAGGAAATTAGGAAACAAAGTTGGAAGTGGATAGGACATACATTAAGGAAATCAACAAACTGCATCACGAGGCAATCCCTAACTTGGGATCTGGAAGGGAATGGGAAAAGAGGAAGGCCGAAGAACTCATTGCGCCGTGAAATAGAAGAAGATATGAAAAGGATGAATGTTAACTGAAAGGAACTGGAAAGGATTGCCCAAGACAGGGTTGAATGGAAAATACGGGTGGTTGGTCTATGCTTCTCCACGAGGGGTAACAGGCGTAAGGTAAGGTCGTTTGGGTACTGGCTAGCAAATGACTCTGTAAAATAGAAAATAGCTAATGTAACGCTAACCTATATTACTTCATCACGACTCCTTGGTTTTGATCCTGTAGGCTCCAGGCATATTTCAGCGTGTAATTTAGATACGATTCCAATGTTGCCCTCTATTTCATGCTTCACAATTTTAAGATTCAGGTTTTCTTAATAAAACTAAATCTGTCGGTTGCTTTTTTAATTAAACTATTCAGTCATCTGTTGATTATGTACGATCTTCAAATGAAACATTGTACGATCGATGCATTCGATCCCGTATTTAAAAAACTAATACAAATTGCTTAGCGAGGTGACTTTTTCTTCCCGATTCATCATCTGTTGTTTTTAAATTGGTTTCAGCGTTCGACTGTCACTGGACAACCGTTTTTTCTGAGTGTATTGCCCTTTGCTAGTATGCATCTACAACCCACAAAGGATCGTACTCAGGAATTCCAGATCTCACTTGTACTGTAGTAAACAGAAACACGAGTGGAGACAATCGTATGTATTTAGGCACAAAATTCTGATAACCATACAATAAACAGTTAATTTGCAAACATCTCGATCAATTGTCTTAACCTTAACCGTTCATTCTGCAAATATCAGTCTATCGTCTCCAATTATTATTGTTTATCCATTTTCTTACCAATTGCGTTTCGTCCCCGTTACTTTGTTATCGATCTTCTACTGAAATACATTCAATACCCGACCATCGTAATATACTACTTATGTGGATATAAGTAGTTCACACCACAGTACTCTTAAATGAGATCAATTTATAATGAATACAACGTAAAAATCAAACCAATTTCCCCAAAACGTCTTCAACCTAAAACTTTTTTTTTTCCTATTTTTACAGTACCCAATTTACATCAACGTTTAAAAGTTACCTTTTTAAATCCAACTGGTTTAGCTGAAGTTGGTATTGATGGTGGTGGTTTATCAAGAGAATTTCTTACTGAAATTATTCGTGCTGGTTTTGATCCAACTAGAGGATTTTTTATTTATGCATCAGATAAAACTTTATATCCAAATCCACAAGCATCTGCAATCACTTCGAATTATTTAAAGCATTATTATTTCTTGGGAAGAATATTAGCAAAGGTATATTTATAATACTTTATGAGTATTTTGTATATTTGCTTAATGTAATGTTAGAAATATTTAAAAGTTTTTACATTATACATCCTAAGGAAACAAGTGGCATATGAATCAGTCGTTGGTCACCGGCTACCGTGGGACTACATCTCCCCACGATGTTCCACTACCTTGTGGATCAGACCTTCAGGTCAAAGTCTCCGGATGTGACCCCCTAAGTAAACCACCTGCTTCAGTTTGGGCACCTGAGCAGTATCACAGCCCTCACACAAATCAAATGAGATTTGTGTAGCGCATATGTATTTGGTGCCCCCTTGTACCAATATTTATGTGTTCAAATAAATCAATAAGTAAATAACATTTTTATACATGTACTGAACTTGTTAGTATTGTTTGTTTGAATTTTCCCATTTATGTTTTAGGACTGCAACTGGTCAGTCTCTTATTAATGGCATATGTACATACTGTGCGTATTGACTCGATATTGCCTTAATTCACAAGCATTATAAGCAAAGATGGTTAGTGGTTAGCAGTAGAAACCATTTTGACACGCGTTTCGTTCTATTTGGGACTTGTCAGATGGATGTACCTGCATCTCAGAGTTGATGTTCACCCTGGGACTTGAACTTAGTATCGTTCGCTTCATACGCCATCGCGTTATCCACTCAGCTACTGAGTCTTTACAGCCACTTACTTGTGCAAAAGGGTGAAGTTTTAATTCACTTAGTATTGTTTGCTTGAACATGGTTTTTTGTTTTAATGAAATAGGATCCATTTCAGGTTTGTTATATTTTATATATTGTATACTAATTTAAGTTTTATATTCTTAGCTTTGAGCTACAATTTAGTTGTGTGAAGTATAATATAGTATACTGTGTTTGATCAGCGTTGTTACTAAAGGCCTACTGATATCCATCCATTGACAACATCATTTTAATAATTCAGGAGGTTCCTTTGACATTAAGGGAACATCTTTATTCATTAATGATTCTGATGATCCATTTATTCGTTATTTCATTATCTTTCTGGTTGTCCTCTTGTTATGTTTTCTCTCATTATGACCTAGCTACTCCTATTGTTTAGTAATCTTGGACACTACTTCACTCGACAAGTCCTCAAATCATTACACGGTTGAATACGAACGTAATTATATTCCAAATAAAAATGGTTGGATTGAATTAGGAACCCCTCCAAGAAGTACTTTAGTATATTTATAGTTTCTTCATAAGAAGATTCTAGAGTCTTCTCCAGGTCTACGCTTGTACCGATTGGTTAGGGAATAACCAATCAGAGTACCCCGACATAATTCTGCCCGGGACATACTTTAATTTAATCTATATCCTTCTAATACCTTAATTATCTTGAAATTTATTGGGTTAATTTCAATGTTTTTTTGGCTTCTAATGGTTTTATTAATATATTTTCTGTGTATACCCACTTATACAATTATAGGCAATTTACGAAGGTGTACTTGTCGATCTTCAGTTTGCTTATTTCTTCTTGGCTAAAATTGTTAGTCGAAGTGGCGGTGGCGGAGTTGGCTTTGATTATCTGCATTCACTTGATCCACAATTGTATAAGTAAGTAGTTTGTTATGAAATAAAAGTAAAAAAAATATTTTTCATTTAAAGCAAATTTACTACTGATATTAGTATCCTTTCCATATCGGTCTAAATACCAAGTTTGCTACTGATAATCCCACAGATAAGTAATCACACTAATAATAAATATAAAACCTGTTTCATATTTCCCTCATGGTTTCGTTCAAGTGGCAGTCATCACCTCGCAAGTCATTAGGACAGATATGCTTAGTGTACAGGGCGAGACTATAATTTATGGACGACCTTTGAACGAATTTAAGGAAACCTTGAGAAATATTAGTCAATCAGTAAACAGTCAGCATAGATTAAAAAATATATTATACAAAATCAAATAATTAAAATGGATACACTTCTTTTATATGCTCCAACAACTTGTCAAGGTTAGAAAAAAGTTCCGAAATCTTAATGCATAAGGTAGAGGAACTCATCCATATGGCTCCATAATAGTTGGTCTCTGGAACCATAATAAAGTCATAAAAACCCTCTCAGCCTCAACCACATAGCTTCAATATTGTTTGTGTGTATTCTGGTTGTGTAAGTTTATTATTTTTATTATGGATATGTCCCTACAATACTCATACTACTGAATAGCCGAAGCTTCAGTAACATCTGCGATCATTGCAACCAATGATCTACACAAGATCTACAAGTCATTAATTACTCGTAATTACAAATACAGCAACTTCTTAGTAGTTTCAATTGTTGTGTAGCCGCTTAATTGTCAAGTCTTCTCTAAAATTCTCTGTCAACCGATCGTACATGAGCACCAGGTATTGTGATTAGCACAGAAACCTTAAAATCCCTCAAGCGCTTCTGAGTGGCTCCTTCATAAATTATAGTCTCGCCGTGTACAGAATATATATCAACCTGAAGCATTTTGGTTACTATACTAAGACTTGCAATTACTACTACCCAATAAATGAGAAATGCATTAGAACTTTCTTCTATTTAAGTAGTTAGAAACAATCGAAGAACAAAATCTTGAACTTAGGTTTTGAAGTATTTGTCATTCTTCAGAAAGGCTTATCTTTAATCTTGAAGGGAACCGTTTTCGTCTCTACAAAATGATCGATATAATTTAGTCAACACTTAAAGACTAGTCAAACTAAAATTTTGTCAATACTCATTCAGCTGTGTCTGTATGTAAGCTGATACTCCTCTCTGTGATATCTAAATTTCCATCAACACAGTATTCCGAGATATGCCATTCAATGTTGTCAGTGTTCTTTACAAGCTTCACCTGACCTCCCTTAGTATCCCGATCACTGCTACTACCTTGACGTGATGGTCGGACTTGCCTATCATGATGAACCAATCGAGCTATACTGACTTGAACAATCGTTCCTCAAAGTCCTACCATGCCATATAGGTCAGTTGAAGAGCGGTAAGACAAAAGGGTGCAGTTATACTTCTGATTGTATAGAAGTGTTTCCCTCAGACAAACAGCATAACAGCGATGCTGCCTTCCAACAAGGAGGGGTGTGGTTAGTAAAGGTCAACCATATAAATGCACACCTCACCTTATCCCACGGGCTTCCATCTCCGCCAGTAAGTTCCCAACAACTACGGAGCTAACATAAAACTCACAAAAAGGTCGTGTGTAACCAGCCTCAGTCAGTTGTCCCTTGGGCTCTGCAGTCACACTCTTAGGCCACTAAGAACAACTAAATCCTAATTTCTTTTTCAGTTACCTCTAGAAGAACCCTTTCTCAATGTGAGCAATCGAGAAGTGGTAACCACCCTCATATTTTTTTCATATTTTTTTCTTTCTCATTAGACAATTATTATTTCTTAAAAATTACAAAGGGGATGTAAGAGATTTATCATTAGATTTTACTGTGGTTCAATCAATTTTTGGTCAATCTGAAACAGTCGAACTAAAACCAGGTGGAAAACATATCCCGGTTACTGAAGAAAATCGTGTTGAATATGTACATTTAATTGCAAATTATAAATTAAATAAAATGGTAAGTTCTTTGTTGTTGTTGTTTTTGTTGTTGCTACGTCGACATAAAATTATCCAGCTGATCAAATCAAATGAGATTTGTGTGAGGGCTGTGATTGTGCTCAGGTGCCCAAACCGAAGCAGGTTTTTTTTTCTTAAGGGGCCACACCCGCAGCCCTTGACCTAAAGGTCTGATCCACAAGACAATGGAGCATCATGAGGAGATGCATTCCATGGTAACCGGTGACCAACTATTGATTCATATGCCATTTGTTCCCCTAGGATACTGGAGTCAGCCATGTGCACCATTGGTTTGAAATCAAAGTTTTCCAACTCCCCTAGGTGGACTCGCCGTGTCCATCAACCCGGTTAAAGCGCCGGACATTCGCTTTCCGTCCTCTCAATTTCGTAAAGAACAGTAATGCTACGAGAAGGCAGTAAGTAAGAATTCGCTGGCAGTTGTAAATAGTCTCTGTCAGGGAAGTCCTACTCAAGAGTTATGTAGTTTGACTGAAAAGATTTAATGGGAATCGGTCTAATTTATAGCTTGCTTTGCGATTATCTTGTGATGAGAGTATCCTAAGCCAACTTTTACGAAATTACTTCAAATGAACTATTAGATTCAGCTGAGTAGTGACTTTAATATGATTATAGAAGCTCTAGTAAGAAGTAATAATTTTCATAGTGCAAAAACGTTGTAAGTGAAACAGGTATCACACATAATAGTACTGAATAATCATCGAGCTTCATCACTTATTGAAGTTAGAGCTGCAATACCACGGAACATTTACTAAGTATTTGTAATAGTTAAGTATCCTCAACAAAACCCGAAGGTTTACAGTGCGAAACATTCTCATAATAAAACAAAGTAACTGTTTAGTATTCTTTAGTTTTCAATGGTACCTCAATCAAAATCAATATGTGGTAAATGTAAACTACAAGTTAGTATTATGGAACCTGAAAGTTGACACTATTTAAACAACTTTTAAAAATTAACAAAGCTTTACTCAGTTAAAATTTATATACATTCATTCACCTGTGACATCAGATAAATATCATACACTGTTGGATTTGAAGTGACTGTCTAGTTATGATGTCCTTTTCACTTGATCGTTGTTGATATTCTATTTAAACATTTTCTAAAGTCTATAATTCCGTATTAAATTTGAGTAGTTTTGTGGTGTATGCTACTTATGTTGATAGATATAAGTAGTATGTAACACCTATCAGAAGTGAAATGAAAAGACTGAACTGAAGGGACCAGGAATAAAGAAACGATGAAATTTGTGAGAGACAACTGATGGAAGGTATGCAGATGATGTATTAAATGTATGGTTTTCATACTTTATGAACATACACTGTAATTTTGCATTGGTCTTCACCTAAGTTCTTTGTTCACTACAATTTGAAATTACAATAGACAAATTTATGTTTAAACTGATATCACTTAGTAATGTAGTGAGTTACTTCAGAGGTGTCTGAAAAAGAAATAGGGTTAGAAGTGGTCTTAATGACCTGAGAGTGTGACCACAATGCCCAATAGATAACTGCTTGAGGTCGGTTACATACGACCTTTTCGCTGGTAATTTTTGTGTTAGCTCCGTACTTGTTGGGACCTTACCTCCGGAGGCGGATATCCGTTGGATAAGGCGATGTGTGCATTTTTAGGGTCGACCTTTTCTAACCCCACTTTTTCTTATGGGAAGGCAGCATCGCTGTCATGCTGGTTGTCTGAAGGAAACACTTTATTGCTGTCACACCTCTGTACAGTCAACAGAACGACTTCGGCAACTGGGACCGATGCATATATGTGCCTGGTCCTACGTTGTACCTGACCGACTGACCAAGCAACTTCAGAATATTTATCCCATACCTTCTGCATTACCATTTCAATTGAAAATGATACAAATTCATTATCGATTTGTTACAGTTACCACGTATTTAATAACTATGAATAAGATAGATTAGTTTTTTTATGTTCTCTCAGCTTATATGTATCATGAAATGAGTTAAACATATATGATAAATATTCAGTCAACACCTCTTTCTCTCTCTGTCTCCTGGCAAGTTAGTGTTGGTCATTAGCTTCAGTAACTTGAGATCAAGTGAGCTATTTTTAAATGTTAGTTGGTTGAAAGATGTCAGACAGAAAACCTTGAACTTAGTTATCGTGATGCCTGGTACTCGCCAACTCATGATACCACTGGTCAATCAATTATAACAAACTATAACCTAAATCAATCTCATTCGAACACTTCAAAATTAAATACTATTTTTATGATACCTTGAACTTTAGATTTATCCACAAGTACGAGCTTTTACTGCTGGATTAAACGATGTCATACCAATTGATTGGGTACGTCTTTTTGATGCAGAAGAATTACAAACTCTTATATCTGGAGCTGATATGGTAATCGATGTGGATGATTTAAGGCAGCATACATTCTACATTGGAAGTATGTCACAATATATTAAGTTATCTGTTGTTTTTTTGTGTGTATATGTATATATGTTGAAATGTTATTAAAGCAATGATTGGTGATATTGATTTACTGGTTGAAGTACTCAATTTTCACCGAGCTATGCTTTTACATTAAAACAATAGTTCAAGAGAGAGCAAGCGGAAATAATAAAAAAAATTGTATTGGCGACACAGTCAGAATAACAAGCGGTATATTACCAATCATAATAAGAAAGATTAGACGGTATACAGAATATAAATGTATCTACTTCTATTGTGACCAATTTTTTAACTGTGTTATTAAAAGTCTCCAACCATTGATTACAATGCCAAGTTTCTTACTGAGTCGATCCACTCAGTAAGAAAGAAAGAAAACTATTCTTTGACTACAGCGATTTTTATTATCTCATCATAAATTCAAGTAGATCACCCATCTGTATGCATATAGAGTTTATCATTATTGATCTTGAAATGTACATTGAATCAATGAACACATGATAAGGTTAATAAGTCAGTCAGTCACAACGTAGAACTTCGTACGTACGTACATCAGTTCGAGTTGCCATACCACATTAGCACAGAGATGCAGTTGTCGATTCAAATCCCATAGTGGTAGGAGTAGTAGGAATATAATCAGAAATCCAAAAGATTAGGGTTTGAAGAAATTATTGAAGGAGTATAGTACAATGAAATAAATTTGGAAAGAGAAAAAGATAAAGACATGAGGAATTCAAAGACTAGAATTTCGTAGAACACAAAGAGTGGATGCATCTTCGCCATTGCAAACGATTTTGAGCCATGTCATTCAAGGTCTCCAACCATTGGTTGTTATCAACTGACGAATTCCAACCAGGTAGTCTACACTTACCAGCATGGCTTATTCCAATTGTCAGTGACTTCATGTATCTGTGCCACGTTTTGGTCTGACCGCCCCTAGCTTTCCTCCAACCTACTCCTCCACCATAAAACATCGCTTTTCGGAGCGGTCGGTGGTTGGGCATACGTAATACGTGTCTCAGTCATCTCAACTGATGAAGTTTCACTACTTCACCAATCGATTTGCTATCCTTACATAGTACCCGCTTGTTAACAACTGCATTATTTACTCTGTCGTCCCAGGATATACGAGAAATGCTTCGAAGACATCTATGATCGAATACTAGTAGCCCACGAATATCGTCTACTCTTACCGGTCATGTGATAAGCTTAATGAATCCGTAGGATAAGTGCCAAAATCATTCCAGATAATGTAGATTAGTTAGTGAAAGTTAACTTGTCACTATAATTATGTTCTTTTTTGTTTGAATTGAAACTCAGTAAAATGACAGGGTTAGTAGTAATAGCTAGTGTAGACCTTCCATTTTGAGTATTGAGGAAAAAAAATATTTTAATTCATTCATTTATAAGGGTTTGATTGATGTTAACAACTACAATCGATCTGCCTCTTCTTAACATATATAGAACGTGATCAAATTATCTCAGTAATATTTTTAAACAGATTTTTGATTATAGTAGGTGTTTGAACTGAAAGGCATTGGTGTCTTAGTCTTAATGTGAACATCAACACTGGACTCTACTACTAGCAACTATTGAAACTTTACTTAGAAATCAATATTTGTTTGAAATTTTAATCATTTTCAGTTTTATACAGATATATTCATTCAAGATTAGACATCATAGTTTATGAAATTAAGTTGTACATTCGATGTGGTGAAAATCAACATTATTCACCTTCGCTAAACGCATCCAATACAGATACCCACATTTGATTGAATAAATAATAAATTACGCGAAACGACTTTTAATCACTAATTTTTAAAAAAAAAGAGTTGAATATTCAGGGATGAAATACCAGTTGTTTCATTATAGTTTGATGAGACTCCTCAGTGGTAAAATAAAAGTTACACATGTGATTCAATTCAGTTAATCACTATTTGTATTAATCAACTTATCTAATCTGCCTTCTAATAGTGATTAGATAAAAATGTGGACAAAAATGTGTTAGTTACTTGTTAGTAGTATAACTTGATAACATTTCATAAATGTTAGTTTTTTTCATAGTTGAAAACATGAGTCCATTGAAGCCAGACCACCATGGAAAACCTGTAAGCACTCGATGGCCGTTTCGTCCTATTGTGGGGCTCCCCAGTGGTGCGTATCCACGATCCCGCACTCACGAGATTCGAACCTGCTGAGGAGTCCCATAATAGGACAAAACGGTCGTCAAGTGCTTCCAGATTTTCCATGGTGGTCTAGCTTCAATTGACTCATGATTTCAAATATGAAAATACTGAAATCTCCATAAAACCCCTTCTGATCTAAAATGTTATTTTGTCAACAAATATGCGAAAAGGACGAATATAAAAGGAATGTGTAAACGTTGATATAGAAGGATTATTATAGGTTAAGATAATGTAAATATGTAAGACTGACAGTTTTGGAATTTGGCAGGTCTAATAAACGTGAAAGTAGTCGAAGACAATGGATACTCAAAACTGTAATTGATCACTCTCTTCTTATTGTATATGTTTACCACAAACAGGTGTTTTTGTAGTTTTCAATTGCAAGTTCTTGATGTATTTGATTTTTTCCGAACACTTAAAACTAGAATATGCATTTGGTTCTTCTTGTGACTTATCAGTTGGGTGGGGAACATTTTACCTAATCAGCATTGACTAAAAGTTTCTCAGAAACATCTAAAAAGTGAAGAGTCACATTTCCTATTGGATGATTATCTATCCTGTTACTATATTTACTAGGGTTCCATAAGCCCAAGACCATCCGAAATGCTATAAATACCTTCAATTTCCTGTACATAAACTAATGTTAAAGTAAAGCGTATGCACCACACAAGTTACTTGATTTGTGTGTGGGCTGTAATACTGCCTAGGTACTCAAACCGAAGCAGATGGTTTTCTTAAGGGGTCACTTCTCCCCGAACTTTCGACCTAAATGTCTCATCCACAAGAGAGTGGAACAATATTAGGAGATGCAGTCACATGGTAGCCTGTGCCCATGAATTTGTTCATACACCATTTGTTTGGAATTAGGGTTTTCTAACTCCCATAGGTGGATCTTCCGTGTCCACGAACCCGGTTACAGCATCAAACGTTCGCTTTCCGCCCTCTCAATGTCGCAAAGAACACCCGTCCCGTCAAAAGGCAGTGAGTAGGACGTCTCTGGCAGTGACTCAGTATGCTTGGTCATGTAAGAGCATTCAGTGGTCTTGAGTGCTGCTAGAGGTATGAGGGTAGTTATCACTTTCCAGTTATTCACACCATGGAAGAGTTCTTCTATAGGTACCTGAAAATAAAATTGGGTTAAAAGTGGTCTTAATGACCTAGGAGCGTGACCGCAGTGCCCAAGGAACAACTGCTTGAGGTCGGTTACACACGACCTTTTCGCTGGTAATTTTTGTGTTAGCTCCGTACTTATTGGGACCTTACCTCCGGAGACGGATATCCGTTGGATAAGGTGAGGTGTGCATTTTTAGGGTCGACCTTTTGTAACCCCACTTTTTCTTATGGGCATGCAGCATCGCTGTTATGTTAGTTGTCTGAAGGAAACACCTTACTTCTGTCACACCTCTGTACAGTCAGCAGTACGACTTCACCTTCAGATCTTGGGTTTGCTTCTTTTAGTCTTACCGCTCTTCAACCGACCTGCCTGGCATGGTAGGACTTTGAGGAACGATTGTTCCAGCTAGTATAGCTCGATTGGTTCATCACGATACGCGTTTGGAGAGGGAGACCAGACTCTCCACACTCTTAGCCGTATCAGGGCATTCGGGTGCGATTGAGTCAAGTTTTTGTTGTTGTTATTGTTGTTTTTATATGTGATTGTTATATCCTTCCATCATCATCATTATGAAACTATTCCTTCTTGATACCTTTTTCTTTATTTTAGATTCAATGAATTATACTGAAACATTAGATTGTTTTTGGTCAGTATTAAAAAATTTTACTGAATCAGATAAACGTTCATTTTTACGTTTTGTTACTGCATGTTCACGTCCACCAATGTTTGGTTTTCGTGATTTACAACCACCATTTTCTATACAAATTACTGATGAAATAGAACGTTTACCAACAGCTAGTACATGTACAAATTTATTAAAATTACCAAATTTTCGTAATATTCATATATTACGTGAACGTTTATTATATGCATTAAATGCAAATGCTGGTTTTGAATATGGTTAATAACATTTCTCTTTAGTTGGTTACTTGGTTGCTGGGTCGCTTGGTTCCTTTTTTGGTTGCTTAGCTGCTTGTTTATTAAAAAGTGTATATCTATTTTTTTTTTAAAAATATTTTTTTTGTTTTTCGGTTCTTATTATTCTTATAGTTTTTTTTATAAAAAATAACATTTCATAATTGATTCATTGAATGTTTCATTTCCATCCCCCACCTCACTCCCTCCCTACCTATCCCCCTCCCTGTTTTTTTTCTTTTAAAATTAATGTATCCATACATTTACCATGTTGATATTTTTTTCTTGAATTTATAAATTCAGTTGAAGATTTCCTTTTTTTTCGTTTTTTTTTAAATGAAAAAAACGTTTTTTTTCACTATTCTTAACCATACTACTATGTACTTGGACAGTACTACTAACAGTTTGGTTATAATTATTTGAATATAATTAATAATAATATGCATATAGTTATATATATATGAATATTGGTGAAATATGAGTTTTTTAATAGTTAGATTCATGAGTTGATAAGCATTGAAAACATTAAAGCATTGAATGATTGTTTGTAGTTTAGATTGACTTGTGAATTGAATTGTGAAAAGACTACAATTTTCATAAGTTGTTCCCATATTGTTAATAATCATTTATTTGTCAATGACTAACTTCAAGATGGGGGCTTCTGGAGCTCTAGTGAGAAGCCAGTAGAATCCGATCCGTGTCGAGTCAGTCACTCAGCTACAACACAGGACCAGACTCACCTATGCATCGGTCCAAGTTGCCATACCTCGTTAGCACAACAAGATGAACATCGGATTCATAGAAATAGTTAATTTAGTGGCCATAGTATTTAAAAGAAAGGTTGTATATAAGGATATAGTATAGGAAGAAAGGAAGATATGAAGCAATTTTAATCTTAAGGTTTAAAGGAAGATAGAGAGTGTATACACCTACGCCATTGTGATAGATTCTAAGCCATGTCACCTAGAGTCTCCAACTATTGGTTAAGATAGTCACGCGGACCCCAACCAGGTAGTCTGCATTTACCAACATGGCTCAGACTAGAAGTTAGTGATTTTGTGGACTGATGCTACATTTTGGTTTGGCTGCCCCTAACTTTCTTCCAACCATTGCCATTACTAGTCAGCATAGCGTGTCGTGGTAATCAGTGTTCAGGCATACGTAGCACGCGACCCAACCACCTAAGTCGACCAACTGATTAACCATCATTCCCTAATACCCTGCGTCTAACCTCACTCACTATCACTTACCCGGTTATCCCAGCAGATGCGAGCAGTATTTCTGAGACATCTGTGGTCAAATACTAGTAACTTACGAGTATCTTCTACTCTTCAAGGACATGTTTCACAACCGTAAAGTAGAATAGAGCGAACTTTTGTGCAGTATACTTGTTCCTTAATTGATAGACGGATATCTCATTTTGACCATATGTAAGTTGGCAAAAGCCAAACGAGCTTTTTAATCCCGTGCTGAGATTTCGTCAGACACCAACCCTTTAGAGCTGATCAGACTTCCAAGATAAGTGAAGTTTTCGACACATTCGACTACTTCACTATCTGTCCCTAGCTCAGGTGTTGATGCAGGACAATACCGAAAGAACAATTTGTATTTAGAAGGGGTTAATTGCATCTCAAACATCCTAGCATTGTTCGTCAGTGCTACCAAAAGACTGCATTTTATCAGCGTTCTCCAAACAGGACTTTGTCATTTGCATGTTCCAAGTCGCTTAGTGAAGCCCCTGGTAGAAGATCAATTCCCGAAAATTCAGTCGACAAGAGTGTTATTTCCAGGAGTTGGTGTATAATGAAGTTAAAAAAAGGAGATAGTGGACAGCTTTGTCGGACAACACATGAAGTTGTAAAATCAGATTACAGTTCGCCATAAATTCTCAGTGGACAGGTTGTGTTCGATTAAAGAGCCTTCATAAGGTTTATATATTTCTGAGGTACACTTTTCAATGACAGACACTGCCACAGAACCTCTCGGTCTACAGAGTAGAGACAGATATGTATCTCAGACAATGAATGAAGGATTGCACAAGATCATGTTTCGATTGTAGTTAGATAATAACACCGTTGGATAACTAGTCTGTCTAGAGGTTAAGCATTCGTCCGTGAGGCCGAAGATCCTAGGTTTAAGAGAGAGGAGAAATATTCCTTTCTGGGCATTTTCAGGTGAAAGTTGTTGTTCCATGGACGAAAATAATCTTTCATGAAATTATCCTTATTGAAACTGTATTGAAGAAATGAAATAGACAATATGTTATGATTTTATGTCCGGCTTTTATCATGTGAATTATCCACAAATCGAAATACGACTTTTCCAATCTTAACAGTGTGCCAAATCGATGACGTACAACCGGTATGAGCAGTCTTTCGTCCTTATTGATCCCTTAACCGCCTAGCCCTTCCAATTGAGTCCAGAACACCAATTACGGCTTCAGCTATGTGAATTATTTATTTCAAGCATACTCGGTTTATATACTAGACAGACAGACCACATCACATCAAATAGAAAATAATATTTGTACAATATCAAGCCAAATGTGACTGTGAACGTGGGAGACAATAATCAATGAGCTGAATATAATTTAAGAACAGCATATCGTGCAGTACTAAGTCTTAGGTCAAAATGAAGCTTATAATAAGATGAATGTAGATATACATAATCTAATTACCCAATAGTTAAACCGTAGGAATATATATAGAATAATAGTCCATTAGTAGGTCCCAGAAGTTACACGTACTTTCATCTTCACTAGGATATAACACAGCATCTCTAATTCATTAAAGCATCCGATAACTCAACATACAATATATGTATTGCTTGGTTTGCCTGATGATGATGATGATGATGATGATACTGTAAAGTTTATTCAGTGGTTCGGCTATTTAAATCAGTCTAGAACATCGGATTCTTAACGTAGTTTATAGAACAGTCAATATGAGAGTGTGATTAGTATATTTATTTTAAATTATTAATATGCGATTCAGAGAAGGAAATTCTCTTTTTAACGATGCCGTTTACTAAAGGCGATGCAACGAAGAACATTCTCTAAACAACCTTATTTATAGTTAGTAGTATTAGTCTTGAATAAAGTAAAATGACGTTGGTCAATGAAAAAAACAACTTAAAGTGATGTTTTAGCATGGATAGTTTACGAAAATCAGATATTGAAGAGAAATTATGTAATGATTGGGTAGTGAATAGTGGTAAGGTGATTATAATTGTCCACTTAATAGGTAACAAGTATATAGTAATTATTAGTTATGAAAATTGTTATAACGTGTGCATGCGTTCTTGCCTAGTTGATAGATATGACGTTATGAGACCGCCTATGAGAGATCTATTGATCACCCAATGATAAACAAAAGCTGTTTGAGCAGTCTTGAGTACTTATCAGCCCTGGTTTCTGCCTAGCCCCGTCTGTTAAATCCAGAACACCAATAACTGCCTCTGCAATATGAATCATTATTCTCAAACATACTGGGTTTATATACCAAACAAACAGACCACATCGTACCATAAAATGAAAAATAATATTTGTACAAGATCAAATCGAATGTGACTTTGAATTGGGGGAACAGCAATTAATAGACTGGGTATAACTCAGGAACGGTAAATCATGCAGTAATAGTCGATGATTCAAAATAAAGCTTATAATAAGAGAAACATGAATATGAACAATTGAGTTGTCTAACAATTATACAATAGAAAATATACATATCATATTGATCCATAAATAGTTCTCAAAGTTACCATTCATAATCTTTATCGAGATAATAACAAAAAGTAATTGGAAATAAGTACAAATAGTTTTTTTTTTCCCCGAAACAATCGATTCAGGAAGATAAAAAGGAATATCAAGACCATGGAAGAATGATAGACTGAACAAACTCTTTCTTATAAGCAAAGGTTAGATTTAAATTAGTGGATAGCTGTAAAATATAATCTGATAAACCATTACCAAGTTAACTGATAGATGTATATTAATTTGTTACAAACTTTACAGCTTATCCTTCACATAACTACAAATCATAAGTCGATTAAGATAGATAAAATGAAAATAGGGGAAATATAATGTTTCTCTCAGAGATCTTAAAAGTTTGTTTCTTAGAATTACTAATACAGTATCTCTTTTAAGTTCGATTATACTAAGTTCTTCATTATCCAAGTGTAATTATCTCATATTTATCTTAAAAGTAGAACAAAATGTTGACTACCAATATTCACTGTCATTTAAAATAAATGAACTGAATGAGACTCCTCAAGATAGTCATTAATTATGTAGTGATATTGTATAGTTGAAGTCATGAGTCGATTGAAGCTAGACCACCATGAAAAACCTTGCAAGCACTGGACGGCTGTTTTGTCCTATTGTGGGACTCCTCAGCAGTGTGCATCCACGATTCCACCACGTGAGATTCGAACTCAGGACTTATCAATCTTGCGCGCGTGTGCCTGACCTCTAGACCATTGAGCCGGCTCGTGATTTCAACTATATAAAATTACTGAAATCTCCACAAAAAACCTCTTCTAATATGTAGTAATACACACTAGAATATTAAGAAAGTAAACCATACCGATTATCTCCAACTACGGAATAGTAATCAAATGAAATGGACTAATACATATTAATTCTATTTGTCAACAGTTGTTGTTCATTCATATTTATAGCAGTTGTTAAGGAAGTTAGGTCCCCAGAACTCACTTGGAAATAGTCCTTATTTTATTCTGTAAATGTGAATTTTGTTTTCTCACCAAGAAACGCTTATTTGACCTACAGCTTAAATTTCCCACTCGCGAATCCTTGACTGTCATTGGTTGACGGATTTTTTTAGTCCGCTATTTTGTGGCTCTCCCAAGGGCGTTTCTGTCACTGTAAGCTTGGTTTGTATGCTCAGTGACGTCGTATTTTCTTGGTGCTTGTAGAATACATTCTTCTACGCTTCATCAAGAATTCTTGATCTAATTAGCAGGGCCGGAGAAAACAGGTTGGAATCACCTATCATGTCACTGTATCATTGATATTTGTTCCGTTTACCGAGTAAGGTGAACCTGTAATATCTTCAAGCATATCAGCAGTTTGATATGAATATGATGCAATTTAGATGTAAAAATTAGATTTTTTTTACTCATTATGATTCTTGCTCAACATTACTTCCATTTTTGATTCGAATTGCGAATAGAATAATGTTATGTAGTAGCGAAGACATAAGTACGGGTAACTTGCAGGACCTACTATTGGACTATCATTCTTATTGTATAGCTATTCGGTAACTAGATTATCTAAGCTTTATTTTGACCTATTGATTATTACTATATGATTTACTGTCCCTATGTTATACTCAGTTTTATTGATTATTGTCTCCCACGCTTACAGCCTCATTTGGCCTGGTTTTGTACAAATATTATTTTCTATTATATGGTATGATGTGGCCTGTCTGTCTGATATATAAACAAAGTATGCTTGAAATAAACGATTCGCATTACAGCAGCTGCTATTGGTGTTTTGGACTCAAGTGGACGGGTTAGGCGGATAAGGACCAATAAGGACGCTAGATTACTCATACTAATCGAACGTCATTGTCACAGTGTGAAGGTCGTAGAAGGCGTATTCTATTGGTGGATAATTTACGCGAATTACGTCCTTGTTAAATTCGTAAGGTCATAACGAATCAGCGACGACCTTGATCAAGTCATAACAATTGGCTACCGCCTAAGTCAAAAACATAACAAATTGGCAACGGCTAGGTCAAGTCATAACAAATAATGATATTGTGTTCTTTTTCATATGAATGTTGGAAAAATCATCATGTATAACATGACCCATATACATTAAGATCATATAAAAGGATCGTTCAACCATTATGTATATCCATACGCTTCAATATTCTCATATAATGTAGGTGTTAGTAGTGTTGGAACAGATCAAGTCAACAAAGTCACATTATTTGTAACGTGAGTACATGAAGGTGTAACATTGTTTTGTGGAGGGAGGAGGGAGAACTATATATGCATTGAATACAGGAGCAATTCAATGTAGCTGAAAAAGCCAACTGGAAACTGGAATACAACCATATGACCAGTAGGGTTCTCAAAGAGTACGAAAAAGAAAAAAAAACAGTTACCTTTTGAATAGACTCTCCACTGAAAACTTATTCTTACGTATTCCATTATTAAAAGAAGATGATGTAATATGAAGGGATTAAAGAGTAAAAATTAGATTCTTTTATTCATTATGATTCTTGTTTAACATAACTTCCATTTTTAATTCAATGCGATTAATATGCAGTGCAGTAACTGTTTTGTTTTTCCCCATGCATGATGTTCAACATGATATACACCATGCACCACCACCACTACCACATCAAACAATAATTGTTGTCATTGTGGTGTATACTAATGATGTTGACAGATATAAGTAGTATGTATCATCAAATAAAGATGAAATACCTGATAGTAGAAGGTTAAGAAGATCGTAGACAAGAGAACAAGAACAAAAAGATGATTGTTGTAGAAATGAAAGAAAAATGAAGTCTGTGATACAATATCGAGTTATACATCAAGTTTCCGTTTCTTACTTCTTCATCCTTCCTAACGATAAATATTGAGTGATCGCCAGTTAGAAGTTAGCAGCCTAGTCAATCGACATCTGGATAATATACATTCTTCTCGCTGCATATTGCCAACAACCACGATATCTCTGATTAGGCCTTCTGTAACATTTATAGCGAAAGGTCTTACACTTTTTCAGAAACTCACCTGAATAGGTTGTGTGATCAATAGGCATAATGATGTATTAAAATAAACAAAGATAGATAAGTTGTTGAGATATCTGGATGACAGGAATAGGTAATCCAGATGTTTAAATAGGCCACCAATTTGTTATCGATCAAATTTTACAAATAAATGTACTTTAATAAGAAAAAACAAACAACACAACCTTTTTAATAACTAATTCAACGATCAATTTTCATATTCGTCATATTTTCTGTCAAGGTCAATGTTTTCACTCTTGTAACCATAGCAACAAAAATTCTGATTTATAATTAATTCAAATATTCCTCATTTTTTCCACAAAAAAAATAAAAGAAAACACATCTCATTGCTAATTTTCTTCATTTCTATATAATTCTTAATAGTTCAATAGTACAATACACTCAAAGGATTATGAGTATAATCCATCTATATTGAACAATAATAAAAGAAAAACAGTAAGTATTTAAAGTATTCATTGAATTGAGATTAATTTTCTTTATCCTTTTTTTCTTTTCTTTTCTTTTTTTCTTCTTTTTTTCTTTCAAAATTAGGAAGGATAATCAATAATGAATCCCAAACTATTAAATCAAATGGATTTATATCGAAAATCAAAAAGGTAATAAGTTTTATGTTGTAAAACAAAATACAAGGGGGGGGGGTTTGTGGAGATTTTTGTAATTTTATATCGTTGATATCATGAGTTAATTGAAGCTGGATCACCATTGAAAACGTGGCCGCTTCATTCTAACACATTTGGATGCCAGCTGAATGGTCTTGTGATCAAGCTGTTGCATGCAAGACTGATAGATTTTGGATTCGAATCTCTCTCGCAAGGTGGGATTGTGGATGCGTATTGCTACTGAGGAGTTCCACAACAGGACGAAACGGCTGTTCAATGCTTGTAGGTTTCATGGTAGTCTAGCTTCAATCGACTTATGATTTCAACTATATAAAACAGAAACAATTGAGTAGAATTAATAAAACTATTTTTAATCTTTTAAGATATAATGAAAATTATTTTTATGAATTTAACAGTTGAATTCATGAGTTAATTAAGGCTTGACTGTTATGGTAAATCTGGAAGCACTGGATGACTGTTTCATTCTAGTATTGGATTGGTGAGACGTTGCGCATACACCACCTCACATCGTGAGATTCGAACCAAGGCCACGCGCACGAATAGCTAACCTCTAGACCACTGAGCCGGTATCCAATCGTGTTAATGTCTAAATTCAACCAATCCAGGAAATCGCTTCACCGTTTCTATATTGATCATTACTGTTTAGTTGTAGTCAACGTCTAGTTATAAATAATGATCCCATTGATTGATACTGGTTCGAATCGTATGGATAACAATATCAAGTTCTTCAAAAAGGTGTTATATCTAGATGAGAATAATGAATGGTAACTGTTGGGATCTATTTATGGACCAATACAATGCAAATATTTTTATTGTATAATTGTTAAGTAACTAAACTATGCATATTCATGTTCTTCTTATTATAAGCTTTATTTCGACCTATAGACTAGTATTATACGATTTACCCTGCTTGAGTTATGCCCAGTCTATTAATTACAGTCTTCCACAATCACAGCCACTGTTTGGTTAAATATTGTACAAATGTTATTTTCTATTTTATGGTACGATGTGGTCTGTTTGGTTGGTATATAAACCCAATATGTTTGAGAATAATGATTTATATTGCAGAGGCTGTTATTGGTGTTCTGAACTCAACAGGCGGGGCTAGGCATAGAGAAGGACCTATAAGAACTCTAGACTGTTCGTACGGGTTTCATACGTTATTGGTCCGGTCGTTAAGTTCATGTATTCTAATTGGCGGTATCATCACATTGTACATTACTATGACACAAGGTCACAGAAGGCAGTTATGTTTTGTTGATGATCGTGAATTAAGAGGATACTCAAATTAAAAATTGCTTGTTAATTTCCTCTAATTATATCACATGCTAACCTACCTAATTATAATCTATAAAACATTCACTTCATATTTAGTGTTGTGAAGTGCTTTTTTGTAAATCTTACATTAGGAAACATTTAAAACCCTACACAATAATGAAGCCAGTTATTTATTAGAGATATTACATATGACTTTATAAAAAAAATAAGACATATGCCAATTCATTATTGATCATATGTCCAGCTTTATATCACGTGAATTATCTACGAATCAGAATACAACTTTTCCAATCTTAGCATTGTGCCAAATCAATGAGATTCAACTAGTATGAGCAGTCCAGCGTTCTTATTGGTCCTTTGTCCGACTAGCACTTTCAATTGAGTCCAGAACACCATTTACAGATTCTGCTATGCAAATTATTTATTTCAAGCATATTCGATTTATATACCAGACAGACAGACCATATCACACCATAAAATAGAAAATAATATTTGTACAATATCAAGCCAAATGTAGTTGTGAACGTGGGAGACGATAATCTATAAACTGAACATAATTTGAGAACACTAAATCGTATAATAATAATCCATAGGTCAAAATGAAGCTTATAATAAGATGAATATAGATATACACAATCTACTGACTTAGTAGTTAAACAGTAAGAATAAATATAAAATAACCGTCCATTAATAGATCCCTGAAGTTACCCTTACTTATGTCTTCACTAAGATATAACAATAGTAGTCGATGATTGAAAGTATTTTAAAAAGGATTCACATCTCATTTAGTTCAAATTCAGTAGTCCCATTCCAAACCTAGATTTCCAGGTTCTAAGTTTCATATGAAGTCATTAATGTACAATAATAAAATGGTTCACATTATTATGTAAGTAAAAATATTCCTCAGTTATTAAATGTCACTTGGTCACAATGTTTCTTTACCATAATTTGTAAATAAGTCATTGTTGTCATGTACAATCATTGTAAGCATGAATACCAACCGTTGGTAAACAAAAAAAGTGTCTACCCTCCAATATAGAGTAAACAAGCTTCAAATTTAAACCAGATTTCTAATCAAATAAAGAAAAGTAGTGAACTGAATTATTCATTAAAATTAATGGAATGTTTTCGGACATTTGATAAGTATTACTAATCATTATCTGGGAAATACATTGTGTTGAGAATTGGAATCAGACATCAGGGTAATGAACAGCAACTGGAAAAGATTGTCCAGGACAGTGTTCGATGGAGAATTCTGGTGAGTAGCCTATTCTTTCCCATGATAGGTTACACGCATAAGTAAGTAAGCACTAATCATTAGCTATCTCACTGTATAGCCCTAGATAAAACATTAGTAAAGTATCAATGATTTTAATGATATTCCATTTAAAAACAGTGACATCAAGATATCTGTAACAATCCACGCATCCTTACTGATGTTTGTTAGTCTAATGATTATATGGTGTGTGCTACTTATATCGACATAAGTAGTATATAGTGCTCGTCAGAAATAGAATGTCTGGCAGCAGAGTTTCGCAAAGATTCAGAAGGGAAAAACGGGAATACAAATCAATTGGTATGGAAATGAAGGGACAGCAAAGTCAGAAACGATTGATTGGTATTTTGAAAATGAATTGTTAACTTTATGATAAGCAAAGATGGACAGTGGCTATCAGGAGAATCCAGTTTCACGAGCGTTTCGTCCTATTTAGGACTCGCCAGCTGGATGTAACTGAATCTCAGAGTTGATGTTCACTCTGGGACTTGAACACAATATCTTTCGCATCAAACGCCATTACGTTATCCACTCAGCTAATGAGTCCACTTGCTTGTACGGTATGATTCTCAGATTTTACTAGGCGATTCTGTAATTGTGTTAAACTACATTCGATTGTAATCACAATTGATTGATCACTGGGTGGTGATCATTGTCATGCATGTCAAGTCCTCCTTAGTGCTGATCGAATGCTATCGACCAAGTTGCAATGTATCCACCAGTCTAGGTGGCTCGACACTGCTTGCACTATATATTGAGATAAGATGGTGGTTGGAGGTGGTCAACAGGAAACCCTGTTTATACGGGATACCCTGGTCGCGGCCCGAATAGCTCAGTGGCAACGTCTCTGACTGTGAAGCTGAGTTACACAGGATCAAATCCGTCAGGGAGTACCAGTTCCCTCAAGATTACAGGTACACCTTGCTGACGAGTGCCAAGTAGCACGAAACCCGGGTCCAGGGGTTCCTGTTGACCACCTCCGACCACCATCTTACATTCGATTGTCCCTCACTCGTGAATGTATGACTCAAATGAAAGTTTTTCTCGATTATCCATGATGTACCTTACTCTACATTCTTTATGTGATTAGTATTTTAGGTCCAAATGAAACTCAGCTCACTATGAAATCATTACAAATTGAAGAAACACAACGACAACATTTCTTACGCACTATAAACCAAAGAAAACATCAATCATATCCAATAAATTTTCATTATGATCAATTACTTGCTCAATTAATTAAAGAAGATGGTCATATTGAAGTGAATAATTTAATGATTCCTAAATCGTAAGTGACAACATAGAAACTCTTCATTGATTATCAGTGTTTCATTTGATCAGTTATATAATCTATTCAATAATATCGATTAAAGGTTATCGACCATAAGTAATATATAACGATAGTCAAGAATAGAATGTCTAGCAACAGAAGGTCGAGAAGATCTAGGAGAAAAGAACGGGAACAGAAAGTAATTGGTATGAAAATGTAGGAACAATGAAGTGTAAGACGATTCATTGACATATGCAAAAGGTACAGTCAAGTTTACGACAATCGACTGACATCTTTCAAATGAAGTATTTACTGTATGGTTCTCAGATGTTACTAAGGTGTTCTGTAATTTTGTATTCACATGCATTCAACTGTGCCCACTTGTGTTCTCGTTCATTATACTATTATTTAACTATATGATACATTTATTAAATTATATCTTAGTAGATTGAAATTAGTTGTTGAGAAGTGTTATAACTCATGACTGCCAGTTGTTATATCTTGTGCTCGTCTATTAGAGAGCATCGAGTTATCGATTGGAACAATGACACACAAAACCCGTACAAGCAGTCTAGAGTAATTGTTGGTCCTGCTTTCTGCCTAGCGCAGCCAGTTAAGACCAGAATACTAATAACAGCCTCTGCAGTATGAATCATTATTTTCAAACATACTGGATTCATATACCAACCAGACAGACCACATCGTACCATGAAAAAGGAAACAACATTTGTACGAGATTCCGCTAAATGTGGCTGTGAATAGGGTGAACAGTAATTAATAGACTAGGGATAACTCAAGAATGGTAAATCGTACAGTAGTAGTCTATGAGTCGAAATGAAACTTATAATAAGAGGGATATGAATATGAATAGTTTAGTTACTTAGCATTTATACAATAGGAAATATACGTGTCGTATTGGTGCATAGATAGTCCTCAAAAGTAACCACTCATAATTGTCTTCAGGATATAACAAGAAACTGTATGTTAAGCTCAATAAGTAACTAAGGAATGGTATCTAAGAATTTAATAACATTGAAGGCTAGGTAGTCTTCGAATCATAGCTCTGATATCATGAAACTATTCAGCAGGTAAATTCATTTAGTATTGTTTGTTTGAATCTTCCCATTGATGTTTAGGATTGTGGCTGGTCAGTCTCTAATTGGTATATGTGCATACTGTGCGTATTGTTATCAGGACTCAGTGACCGAGTGGTTAACGCGATGGCGTTTGAAGCAAACAGTACAGGGTTCGAGTCCCAGAGTGAACATCAACTCTGAGATGCAGGTACATCCAGCTGACGTGTCCCAAATAGGACGGAACGCGCGTCCTGGATTCTCCTGCTAGCTACTATCCATCTTTGCTTACTATTCAGCTGGTAGTTATGAGGTTAAGCATAAAATGATGAGTAAAGAGATCAACTTATGTGATGACGTTGTAAACTTTTATTTACTGAGGTAATTAGGACTTATTTTAAATAGTCATAGATTTTCTAAAATTTTAGTAGGTTAGAAATTAGGTAAAAGAAAGAATATTAGAACTCTATGTCTATCTATGTAGTCGCTGACTGTCGATCTTCAACTATATCAGTAGATACAGTGTTTCTGACCTGAAATCATGTAGTACATTTTAATGTATACCTGAAGACGTCGAGTGACATGACAGAAAAGTTGTTACAGTAGCACAGTTGAAAGGTATTTTTTTTTATTGTACCTTAAATATTGAGTTTCTTATTTCATACTCACGAACAAATACAGACGAAGACAGCAAATGTAGCAGTAGCCTCTGCATCGATAGGCCTCAACGTACACAAAGGTAAAAGCAAGATTCTCAAATACAACACGAAGAACACCAACCCAGTCACATTTGATTGAGAAACTCTGGAAGATGTACACGTACCTAGGAAGAATCATCGATAAGCAAGGAGGATCGGATGCAGATGTAAAGGTGAGGATTGACAAAGCAAGGGCAGAATTTCTATAATTGAAGAACATATGCAACTCAAAACAACTCTCAACTAACTTCAAAGTGAGAATCTTCAATACGAATGTCAAGACTGCCTTACTGTACTGAGCTGAAACGTGGAGAACTACTACATCCATCGTCAAGTAGTTACAAGTAATTTTTATAAACAGTTGTTTACGCGAAATACTTAACATTCAGTAGACGGATACTATCAGCAGTAGCGTTTTATAGGGGAGGACAAACCAGCTTCCAGCTGAAGAGAAAATTAGGAAAAGACGTTGGAAGTGGATAGGACATACATTAAGGAAATCAACAAACTGCATCACCAGGAAAGCCCTAACTTGGAATCCTGAAGGTCAGCGGATAAGAGGAAGGCCGATGAACACATTACACCAGGAAATACAAGCAGATATGAAAAGGATGAATGTTAACTGGAAAGAACTGGAAAGGATTGCTCTGGACAGGGTTGGATGGAGAATGATGGTGTGCGGTCTATGCTCCTCGACGTGGGGTAACAGGCGTAAGGAAGTAAATAAATATTGAGTTAAATATTGTTTAATCTTCACTACTCATGTTTACCATTGTAGTTGATTTCGTTCTTTTCTACCTTACCTAAGTTCATATTGATTTCTTCTTTCATCACCCTAATATAAAGTGTATCAACCTGAACTGATACACTTTCATTTCATACCCTTCCTTGACAATGATTAACTGATCAGATCTTCCTATTGATTACTTCTAACCTTAATTGGTTTTGTTGTCTTTTCAGCACTGTAAATCAACAAACATATCGATGGGATGAACTATCAAATCCAACAGCATTGAATAAATCAATACAACTTCGGCGTATTCGACATATTCATGATTGTAACAATATCATAAAGAATAATAATAATACTGTACAAATAGTTGAGAACATTTTCTATCCAACAAATAACAATTCTGATATTGATATGATAACATTGAATACGGATCGTCAAAAATCCAGAAAGAGGTATGCTCTTTAACAGTTTACTCTCATTAAAACAAGAGAACTTGATCATGGTGAGTCAGTTCTGTTATATATTGGTAAAGACATAAGTACGGGTAACTCCCAGGACTTATTAATGGACGATTATTCTATATATTTTTTAAAAGTTGAAATCATGAGTCAATTGAAGCTAGACCACCATTGAAAACCTGGAAACACTGAAAGGCCGTTTCTTCCTCAGCAGTGCGAAGCCACGATCCCGCACTCGCAAGATTCGAACCCAGGACCTACCAGTCTCGCGCCAGAGTACTTTACCGATAGATCAATGAGCTGGCCGGCATCCAACTTCAACCGACCTGTCGGTTAAAAGCTATGTCTCGAGACTGGTATGTTCTGGGACGAAACGGCCGTCCAGTGCTTTCAGGTTTTCCATGGTGGTCTAGCTTCAATTGACTCATGATTTCAACTTTGGAAAAATACTGAAATCTCCACAAAACCCCTTCTGAATATTTTATATATCTTCTAACCGTTTAACTATTGAGTAATTAGATTGTGTATATTTATATTCATCTTATTATAAGCTTCATTTTGACTCATAGACTACTGTACGATTTACCATTCCTGAGTTATACTCAGTCTATTAATTACTGTTCCCCCTATTCACAGCCACAGTTGGCTTAATCTTGTACAAATGTTATTTTCTATTTCATGGTGTGATGTGGTCTGTCAATCTGGTAATATAAACCGAGTATACTTGAAATAAACGATTCACTTAGATTCGCATAGTAGAAGCTGTAATTGGTGTTGTGGAATCAATTGGAAGTGCTAAGTGGACAAAGGACCAATAAGGGCGCTGGACTGCTCATACCGGTCGAACGTCATTGATTTGGCACAATGCTAAGATTGGAAAAGTTGTATTTCGACTGGTGGATAATTCACGTGATAATAAGACGGACATAAAGATCAATAACGAATTAGCATACGTTCTATTTTTTATGAAATCACAACAAGTTCAATAAATGACAGTATGTTTATAACTCAAAATTCTGTATCAACGTTTATTTCAATCGTCCATTGGTCATCAGAAAGTTTCTTGTCCATATCTGCTGTTCACTAGCCACTTGGCTAGTGAATTGAAGCTAACTACCTATACACTTTTATAAAATATATATATATATCATATATTGAGTTCAATTACTAACAGACTAAAGAAGTATTATCAAGGTGACTCGAATGAATTCCTCTCTTTCCTTTTTCTGACCTCTAAAGGTATGAAAGGTGATTATTATTAAATTTTGTAGATTAAGTACATTTGACAATCGAAAGTACTGCCATGAGTCATTTGAATGTATGTGGATGATGACATTTCCATCTTATGGTATTTGAAAATTGTGCCCATCTCTTGGATTATCGAATTATTACTACAAAACAACTATTCACTTCAATTTATTCAAAGTATAATTATGGATTGATGTAAATCAAACCCTTAAATATCCTGGTACGGTCCAGAGTGAGGATAGTCAGCTTTTCCACTTGAAATGCTTTCATATGGTCATGCGTATACAGTCACTGTCAGAGATGTCCTACTTATTGCCTTCTCGTTGCCTTCTCTGTTGTTTACGAAATTGAGAGGAAAAAAAAGCGAATGCCCGGATTTCTAACCAGGTTGGGGGATATAAAGGATCCACCTAATGGATTAGGAAAAACCATGATTCCAAACCAATGGTGAACATGGGCTCCAGGATCTTAAAGAAACAAATAGTGTATGAACCTATTGTTGGTCATCGGCTAACATGGAACTGCATCGCCTAATGTTGCTCCATTGTCTTGTGGATTAGATCTTTAGGTTAAAGGCTCAGCCCCCTAAGAAAACCACTTGCATCGGTTCGGGCACCCAACTAGTATCACAGGTCTCACATAAATCGAATGATGAAGTATGAAGCATATCTGTTTGGTACCTCCTTGTACCAATGTTTATGTATTTAAATAATAATATAATGATAACAAGTTAAGTGAAATGTACTTTTCGATCCATTTTCTATACATGAAAATAAATCTTTATCATTCGTCCTGTATTCTTCTATTCGTGTACTTATTCGTATAACTCCAGAAGTAAATGTTTAAAATAGAAGCATTGTGTTAGGACTAGTATATGGAAAAGTGAACCTTCACATAAAAAGGCATTTAAGTAGAAATGTCACATAGAAAAGAAGCAGTCATCCTATTCCTTTCAAGTTGAAACAATCGTTTCAGATTGACTATTTGTTTAGAGAACTTATTAATACATCAGAAGGGGTTTTCGTGGAAATTTCATTATTTTCATAGTTGAAATCATGAGTCAATTGAAGCTAGACCACCATTGAAAACCTGGAAGCACTCAACAGTCGTTTCGTCCTATTATGGGACTCCTCAACAGTGCTCATCCACGATCCCACACTCGTGAGATTCGAACCCTGGAACTACCAGTCTCGCGCCAGAGCACTTAATCGAGTCCCATAATGAGACGAAACGGCCGTCCAGTGCTTCCACGTTTTCCATGGTGGTCTAGATTCAATTGACTCATGATTTCACTTATCGATATATGACTGGATAGAGGAAATTTTATAATTTATTACTATTATTATTATTGCTATAATTAATGGCTTTATGAAGGTATGACTGAAATCAGTTGAAAGATTGCTGAAAACGCGGAAGATGCCTATTCTGTCATTACGAGTCAAAATATAACAGTATACATTTTCAATTCTATTATAAACCATTGGAAACCATTTATCATAAGTTATCTAATTCTTGACATTAATTACATCTCTATAGGCAGTCTACACGAAATCCTACCTAATCTAACTTTGTACTATTTGGCACTCATCAGCTAGAGAATGCTTTCAACTCTGAGAGTTATGATGGTCTCTGAACATTTTAAATCGGCATCACATATTTTCACAGTTTGAGACTGATAAGTCTTGCTGATTGAACGCTATACTCGGATCCTAATCTAGTCTCGTAACTCCCAAGCTAAATCTACACAGCGACTTGAACACGAGAGAAAAGGAACAAAATATGAGGGAAGCACTTCACTTCAAAGGTTCATTGATGTACAGAAAATATAGGGTTTTTATAGTATTTAAGAAGTCCTTAGGCTTTCTTGAAAATTCTAGTATACCACTAAACATAGTAACAGTGTAGTGATCAGCCAATCAGAAATTCTACATGTGACGTTTCAGTTTCGTGATGTTTCTAGCAAAACTTCTAATCAAACACTGATTGGATAAAATGCTCCTTAATGTTTCCTGAGCTTGTCATGTCTACTGCGAGAAATTTGCAGGATCATCCCAACAGAAACGTTACCATAGTGATATTCGCTCCGTGACTGTTCTCTTGCTACTCTGCTAAATCATAATTTCAATTAAATGCTGACCCTATGAATATATAATTATTGGTATGCTAGTTTTTAATAGTAGTAGTAGTAGTAGTAGTAGTATTAGTAGCTGCAAGTTCATAGCTGTTTTTTCTTCTCTCTCGATGATTATCAACGATATATATATATATATATATATATATATATGTATATATATATATACTCATTTTACTATGTCTTATGTTCTTTACCTTCCATAAGGAGTAGGATTAGTCGTTTCTCTCCACGATGTTCTTATATTCCAAAAGAAAAATCTTCAAGTTCAATATCTAGTCTTGATGAAAATGAAATAGATGAAGTTCAAAAGAAGTTGAACAATCTTAAATCATTATTTATACAAGTTAAAAATCAAATCAATTCTTCATCCACTGACAATGACGACAATCATAACACAAATAAGATTGATGAAAGACTATTACCGAATACGTCAACAGAAGTGAACCCCCCTAAAACTGATGTGAAGAATACTGAAGACGGCGGAGAAAAAATTGATGAGTGTGATCCATATCAAAATTTGCCTAATTATGCTACATTTTCTGTGAAAAAATCACATGAATATGCTGTAAGAAATTGGTTACTTTCAAATTTTAATCATATTTAACTACTTATATCTATATAAGTAGTTTAGAAACAATTGTATTATTTAAATTAGAATGTTACTTATTAACTTCTATAACACTAATATAAATAGTTCTTTTTTAAATAAATGTTTTCTAAAACTTCTTCATCTCATTATAATTAGTGTTTTTATGCATGATATGCCTTGGATATTACTTACTTACTCACGCCTGTTACCCCTCGTGGAGGAGCACAGGCCGCACACCAGCATTCTCTATCCAACTCTGTCATGGGCAATCATTTCCAGTTCTTTCCAGTTAATATTTATCCTTTTCATATCTGCTTCTATTTCTCGGCGTAATGTGTTCATCGGCCTTCCTCTATTCCGCTTCCTTTCAGGATTTCAAGCTATGGATAGGCTCGTGATACAGTTTGGTGATTTCCTTAATGTATGTTCGATCCACTTCCAACATCGTTTCCTAATTTCCTACTCAGCTGGAAGCTGGTTTGTCCTCCCCCATAAAACGCTGTTGCTGACAGTATCCAGCCAGTGAATGTTCTATATTTTGTGTAGACAACTGTTTATAAATACTTGAACCTTCTTGACGATGAATGTAGTAGTTCTCCACGTTTCAGCTCCGTACAGTAGGACAGTTTTGACATTCGTATTGAAGATTCTCACTTTGAAGTTAGTTGACAGATCCTATACCATACTGACAGCAGTTCATCCTAACTTTACACATCAATGTTAATTGTAAAGTTTTTCTGGAAAAATTTATTTATTTAGATACTTATGAGTGTAGACTAGATCGATATTAATGGATAGTATGGCAGATTTACTGAGGAACAAGGGTTTCTCAACCTTACCAACGAAACTCAGAATGGGATTAGACCAACTTCGTGATAGTTATTGTTCAATATCTCAATATTACTGGAAATAAGTTTCAATCCTAGTAGCTCAGTACCAACTTCTCTGATCGATATCAAATGTCATGGGTTCAATTTACTCAGAGAACATCAATCCTCTCAAGATTACAGATACATCATGCTGACAAGTTCTACTCATTATAAAAAGTTGGATAATGACGATCTCCTATCGATGGAATCCTACCACTTGACATAAATAAATGATCAATCTAAGCACATCATATTACGTGAATATCGAACCAATAAGGAGAGTTATACGATAATTCTGCATGTTTTTCAAAGAAAACTATTCATTTGAAAACAGGTCACTTAAACGTAGCCTATCTAGAATATTGTTCAGTTCATAGCTCTATAATTACATAAATAACTAGTGATATATTTTCTTCATAAGTAGGTAACTGTAATAAATAAGAGATATGTTGATATAGAGAGCTAATCATAAGTAGCCTAATCCAAAGGTCAACCGATGGTAACCTGAAGGATAACTGCATTTCATTGTCTATGAAATGAATCAATTTTCTTAGGGATTAAAGTGGTAAACATATATAAATGAGTACTTATGCATTTTATTCTATAGCCTAATACACCTTCTCTATCCCTTTTGTATTTTCACTCAAGTAGTCAATTAGGGGTAGATAGCGCGTAGCACATTGTGTATCAGTATCAGATTTTGGACACCACCAATCCTCACAATATATATCGACTGGACCGTAAACACGTTGCTTCGGAGAGTCAGTTTCATACCAATGTATCATCTAGTAGTAACCATTATCACATTCACTAGTCAACAGTGCATCCATTCATATAAATCACCTTGACGTGGTGGTCGGGCTTGCCTATCGTGATGAACCAATCGAGCTATACTGGCTGGAACAATCGTTCCTCAAGGTTCTACCATGCCAGCAGGTCGGTTGAAGAACGGTAAGACTAAAAACAGCAAACTCAAGGTCCGAAGGCGAAGTCGTACTGCTGACTGTACAGAGGTGTGACGGCAATAAAGTGTTTCATTCAGACAACCAGCATAACAGCGATGCTGCCTTCCCACGAGTAGGGGTGGGGTTAGAAAAGGTCGACACTAAAAATGCACACCTCACCTTATCCCACGGATATCCGTCTCCGGCGGTAAGGTTTTTTTTTGAAGAACGGAGCTAACACAAAAACTACCCACAATAAGGTCGTGTGTGACCGACCTCAAGCAGTTGTTCCTTGGGCACTGCGGTCGCGCTCCCAGGTCATTAAGACCACTTCTAACTCAATTTCTTTTTCAGGTACCTCTAGAAGAACCCTTTGACGGTGTGGGCAACCGGGAAGTGATAACTGCCTTCATACCTCTAACAGCACTCAAGACCACTGTATTCAATCATAATCTGATTATGAAGTTCTATTTTTCTGATTTAAGGGGTTTGAAGATAATCAACTAATACTTCTAGATATAGGTTTCATGCTTTGCAAAACTCATTATCTGACTTTTTGACAGGAATGATGTTCTTATAAATTTCCATCTGACATCACTGAGTGTTACAATCAAAAAAGTTAAAGATGTAATATTCATTACATGACCGACCTCCTGTAAAACTATCACATCCACACTAAATGATAGAATTAGATCATGTCAATATAAAAATACTTCAACTTCTGTTTTGTACTGGAAATCTGATTGATGCCTACCAATCATACTGTTGGGTTTAACAAAATGGTAAGTTTGTAGAAGTTAAATCTGTTTTAGACTTTAAAAAATTATACATATTATGAGGACGGGCCACAGGTGAACTCGAGAAAGCTGTAAAAAGCTCAGAAAGAGCAGAAGATATTCCATCCAATCATCTTTTGGAGAAATATTGCAGAATCCCTACGTGTGACTTTCCTATTGCACAATTGTTGATAACCCTATGTATGCGAATTAGAGGACTATAATGATGATTTCGTTTTCACTGAAAACCATAAATACCTGACAGTTTTGTACAGGAAGAAAGATAGATATGGAGCAATTTTAATCTTAAAGTTTAAGGGAAGATAGGGAGGGTATACAGCTGCGACATTGTGAGCGATTCTCAGTCATGCCGCTTAGAGCCTCTAACCATTAGGTTCGATAGTCACGCGGACCCCAACCAAGTAGTCTGCATCCACTAGAAGTTATTAACTTAATGAACTGATGCTAAATTTTGGTTTTAGCGCCCCTAACTTTTTTTCATCTGTATCCAACACTAGTGAACATTATGCGATGTGCTAATCGGTATTCAGGCATACGTGACAGGTGGCTCAACAATCTCAGTGAATGAAGATTAATGACCTCATCAACTGATTTACCATCATTCCCTAATACCCTGCGTCTAACCTCACTACTACTTACCCAGAGATCCCAACAGATGCGAGCAATATTTCTAAGGAATCTATGGTCAAATACTAGTAACTTACGAGTATCCTCTACCATTATTGGCCACGTTTTACAGCCGTAAGGTAAAATAGATAGAACTGCTGTGCAGTATACTAGTCCCTTAATTGATAGACGAATATCTCGTCTTCGCCATAAGTGACATAAGTTGGCAAAAGCCTAACGAGCCTTTTGAATCCGTGCTGAGATTTCGTCAGACACCAACCCACTAGAGCTGATCAAACTTCCAAGATTAGTGAAGTTATCGACGCGTTCCACTACTTCACTTCCTATCCTTAGATCAGGTGTTGACTCAGACCAGTCCTGGAGTAACAATTTACAGTAAGAGGGGAAGAAACGCATTCCAAATATCCTGGCATTGTTACTCAGTTCCAACAGAAGACTCTGCATTTTGTCAGTGTCTTCATCAAACAGGACTATGTCACCTGCGTATTCTAAATAGATAAGTGGACCTCCTGGTAGGATATCAATTCTTGAAAATTCATTCGACGAGAGTGTAATTTCCAGAAGTAGGTCTATGATGAAGTTAAACAAAAATGGAGATAGTGGACAGCCTTCTCAGACACCAATTCAGATTGTAAAATCAGATGACACTTCTTTATAAACTCTCATTCGACTGGTAGTGTTCTAGGAAAGAGCCTTCAAAAAGTTTGTATACTTCTGAGCTATATGTTTGAATGACAGACACTGCATTGGACCTTTCAGTTTATAGAGTACATGGTATAATAAGAATCTAAACTCTAGATATAATATCGTTGAAGTTAGACATAAAAAAACACCGTTGGATGCCGGCCGGCTTAGTGGTTTAGAACTTAAGCGCTCGCACGTGAGACTGACAGGTCTCGAGTTCGAATCTCACGAAACGAAATCTTAGATGCACACTGCCACTGAGGAATCTCACAATACGACAAAACGACCTTCCACTGCTTCCAACTTTCCCATGATGTTCTAACTTCCATTGATTCATAAGTAAAAAAAAAAGTAATAAAGAATAAATTATCTCTTTTTTTTAAAAAAAAAAATTTTTTTTTGTTTATTTAAATTTTGATTTTTTTGTTTGAACCCGATTTTGAACTTTTAGATGATTTTGTTCTTTCACGTTTTTGTAGTGTTTCAATTGGACTTAACATTGTTGTCATAGTAACAGATTCATTATTGATTAATTGATTAAATTCTTTATTATTTTTATATTGTTTAATTATATTATTTTTATAATTATTACATAATTCATAATATTTATAATGAGCTTCATCATTTAAAAACTATTGAGAAAAAAGAAAAAAAAGAAAAAAAAGAAAAAGAAAAGAAAAAAAGAAAATGAAAACAATACAAACAGTACAATCTTATATATATGGACATTTAATGGAATAACTACGGAAGCTATTTTTGGGAATATTATTTCATTTTAATTCAAAGCTTGTATAACAGTAATATTTACAAGCATGGTAAGCAGAGATGGATAGTGGCTAGCAGTGGAATCCAGGACGCGCGTTTCGTCCTATTTGGGACACGTCAGCTGGATGTACCTGCATCTCAGAGTTGATGTTCACTCTGGGACTCGAACCCAGTACCCTCGCTTTAAACGCCATCGCGTTATCCACTCAGCCACTGAGTCCTGATAGCCACTTGCTTGTGCGATGGGGTGAAGTTTGAATTCACTTAGTATTGTTTGTTTGGATCTTCCCATCGATGTGTTTAGGACTGCAACTGGTCAGTCTCTGCTTACCATGCTTCTGAATTAAGGTATATCGAGGCAATACGCACAGTATGCACATATGCCAATTAGAGACTGACCAGTTGCAGTCCTAAACACATCGATGGGAAGATCCAAACAAACAATACTAAGTAATATTTACTTTTGCCTTAAGTCTATTCTATAAATCATAAGATTTTATTTGATGTATGATTTACTGACATACCCTTTACTGTTCCTTTCAAAGCTACTTGTAATTTAGACGTAATCTTTTTGTACTTTATTTTCTACTTTAATCTCTCAGTTTTAAACATAATTGTATTTTCTTAATTATTGTATATTATGGTCAGGTTAGTCATCTATTTATTCATGTATCTTTTTATACTAATTTGAATTCGGGTACCAAATCGGAATTGGGAATAAATCGAGTAATGTTCCGCTTGTCTTATCTTCTCTCTCTCTCTCTATCGTGCCTGTCAGTCAATTAGGTAAAAAGTATAGTTTTCTTCTTTCTAATCCACTTCGAACTCACACATACTAGCCTGAAGATTAAGCCAGTCAGCCTATCGCATCAAGGTCTTAGTCCATATTAGACAAGTTATCCTCGGTACGAAAGTGGGTAGACAGACCAAGTACATAACAATAACCAATGAAAGATATAATCAAAATAAAGAAGTAAACAATGATAGGATATTAGGGATGTGGCGTGGCCTGTTTGAATATCTGGGTTACCTGTGGAGACTTTTTAGTGATTTCTTATATATAATTGAGACCATGAGTCAATTGAAGCTAGACCACCATGGAAAACCTGGAAGCACTGGATGGCCGTTTCGTCCTATTGTGGGACTCCTGAGCAGTGCACATCCACGGTCCCACATCGCGAGATTCGAACACCAGACCTATCAGTTTCGTGCAGGAGCGCTTAACCACTAGAGTACTGAGCCGGCCGGCATCCGACGGTGTTAATGTCTAACTTCAACCAATCCACGAAATTCAGCGATACATTAACCATTGTGTTACTATCTCACAACAGACCCGGTTGAACTCCATTGATTTCAACTAAAAAATTACTAAAATCTCCACAAAACACTCACTAGTGACTGACTTCAGGAGGTATTTCCTGGAGTTCTATTGAGAAGTAATGATCAGTAGAGTTCAACCAGATCTGAACACAATAGTGAACGGTTGCTCAATTTCTTGGATTAGTTGAAGTTAGACACTAACACCGTTAAATACCGGCTCAGTGGTCTATAGGTTAAGCGTTCGCATGTAAGACCGATAGGTTTTGATTTCCAATCTCACGATGCGGTATAGTGGATGTACACTTCTGAAGACTCCTACAATAGGACGAAACAGCCATCCAGTTATTCCAAGTTTTCCATTATGGTCTAGATTCAATTAACCCTACTCATTCACTTACTTGTATAGTTTTTATTATTTCAATATAATTTTGTTTAAATTGATTAAATTTATTATTTGAATTCATTAAATTAAATTTAAAATTTTCCATTAATTCATTGAATAATTCATATTTCATTTTCATTAATTCATTCATATTTTGTTTAGATAATAATTCAATTTGTTTTAAATAATGATTAATTATTAACCATTGATTCATATTAATCATAAGAAGATTATTAGTAGTATTATAAGTAGTATTGTTACTAGTAGTATTAGTAGTATTATAAGTAGTATTATTATTAGTAGTATTATTATAAGTAGTATTGTTGTTAGTAGTATTATGAGTAGTATTGTGAGTAGTATTGTTATTAGTAGTATTGTTACTAGTAGTATTAGTAGTATTATAAGTAGTATTATTAGTAGTAGTATTATTATAAGTAGTATTGTTGTTAGTAGTATTATATGGATAAAATAAATTTTTTATTTGTTCAATTTGTTTTAATTTCATTTCATTAAATTTTAAATAAAATTTATTAAAATTCATTAATTTAATTGGTTTAATTGTATGATTTAATTGTGATGGTAAAATTAAACAATAAATTTTAGATGGATCTAATGTTGATATTGGATTATCTAGATAAAGATAAGAAAGTTACAAATAAGGAATTGTTCATTATTATTATTAATAATTGCAATTTTAAACAAGAAAATTAATATTGTAAGCAAAGATGGATAGTGGCTACTAGTGGAATACAGTTTGACGAGCGTTTCGTCCTATTTGGGACTCGTCAGCTGGATGTAACTGCATCTCACAGTTGGTATTCATTCTGAGAGGAACTCGAATCCAGTACCCTTCTATTGAAACGCCATCGGATTATCTAGTTAACCATTGAGTCCTGATAGTCACTGGATTGTGCAATGGGTGAAGTTTAAATTCATTTGGTATTTAGAAGGGAAGCACCTGGAAGCAGTGATTTCAGGTTTTTGATAGTGGTCTAGCTTCAATTGACTCATAATCTCAACTCTATAAATTACTAAAATCTCCACAAAACCCCTTCTGATAATGATCATGTGCTCAATAGTGACTGACTCCTTGAGGTATTTCCTGGAGTTCTAGTAAGAAGCAGTAACCGGTGGAGTTCAACCACGTCTGTTTTGAGATAGTAACTCACTGATGACATTGGTGAATGGTTGCTCAATTTCGTGAATCAGTTGAAGTTAGACATTAACACCGTTGGATGCCAGCTCAGTGGTCTATCGGTTAAGGGCCTCGGCTCGAGACTGGTAGGTCCTGGGTTCGAATCTCGCTCGTGAGTGTGGGTTCGTGGATGCGCACTGCTGAGGATTCCCATAATAGGACGAAACGGCCGTTTAGTGCTTCCAGGTTTTCGATGGTGGTCTAGCTTCGATTGACTCATCATTTGGTATTGTTTGTTTGAATCTTTCCATTGATGTGCAACTGGTTAGTCTCTAATTGGCATATTAACGGTTGAATATGTGTATTACTAGTTGGTAATATATGTATATATATAAAAATAAAAGGTCAACTCGATTGGAAATAGCGGGGGGTAAGAGGAGACAAGGATAATAGTGAGAAAACAACTTGAAACCTATTGACAATGGATAATAATTTAAAACTGGTAGGTCCTGGGTTCGAATCTCGCGCGAGCGGGTTCGTGGATGCGCACTGCTGAGGAGTCCCATAATAGGACGAAACGGCCGTCCAGTGTTTCCAGGTTTTCCATGGTGGTCTAGCTTCAATTGACTCATGCTTTAAACTATGAAAAATACTAAATCTCCATAAAACCCCCTCTGATAATGGATAATAAGTTTATATTACTAGGGTAGGGTTAAGGTTAGAATATATAAAGGGAGTTTGAATTTTCATGTTGCTAAGCTAAGGCTTCAATATACCTAAGTATATGTCCATTTACACTTTTATACACTTTTATACCACAAAAGTCGAGTTGAGATCAATCTCAAGGCCTGTTTCGATTATGTGTTTATCAATAGAGGATGATGACTGTTTATCCTCTACTCTTAATGGGTCATTTGGTTTCATTTATTTATAAAACCATTTTGTTACATGTGTACATGCACTAAGTTGGAGATCACGGTTACTCCTCCCTATGTATGTGTGACCACACATACTTGAATTGGTAAACACAGGGGATGTGACACCATCGTCCTTATGTCTTTTAGGTTTTCCATTAAGTATGAACCTTGTTCTTTCATTGATAATGACCTTTACTGCCTAGTACGTTCTGGTGAAGACTGATTTAAGCCTTTGTTTCAAGAAAAGTCTATTTGAATCACCTTTAAAAGGTAAGGTCATGTAGACAGGCTTTTTTTCCGCCAAGTATACAGTAGGTCTCACTGTACCATGAACCTTCCATCTATTTATAAGTTTGAGTGGATAACCATTCCCCGTTAATGTCTTGTCTTACAACTTAACATCATCATCAATAAAGTTGTTTGTGCAAATACGATCAAGTCTGTTAAATAGGCACCTTATTAAACGCCGTTTGTATTGCACAATGTGATAACTATAATAACTAACACAGTGACCTGTCCATGTTGGTTTCGAAAACTGGATCGTTTGATTGAGCCATCTTGCCGTCTAGTTAGAAGTATATCCACGTAGGGAAGCTGGTCGTTCTTCTCCTCTTTGTATGAGAGACTGATGTAGGAGGAGTAATCGTGATCTCAAAAATAGAGTGTGTAAACATTTATCAAAATGGTTGCAGAAACAAATAAAATCAAATGACCCAGCAAGAGTAGAGGATAAACATCCATCATCCTCTATTGCTAAACATATAATCGAAACAAGATTGATCTTACCTTGGCTTTTGTGGGGTTGTGCAATAGTATAAAAGGGCGTATACTAAGGTTCATTGAAGCCTGGGCAATACAAAAATTCAAACCCACTTTATGTTTTGTGGGATTCGAACCCATGCCCACAGAGTGGACTGTGACCTGAACGCAGCGCCTTGGACCGCTCGACCATCCTGACCACCTTAAGCCTACTCTGGTAATATTCGCTTATTATCCAGAGTGATTAGGCTTCAAAGTGTTTTCTTCTTCTGATTATTATTATTATTGTTACTATTATTATTATCATTGTCTCCTCTAACCCCCATTTCAATTCTAGTTGACCTTTTGTTTCTATGTATAAACGCGCTTAACAAGCATATGTATGATAAGATTGTTCGAAATGTATTGCGCTAATATATCAATCAGATAGTTCTGATAATCTTCGTCTTCCTATTACACTATCGAAATTTATCAAAGGGATTAATCACTTTAACAATATATGGTTAAGATATAGATTTCATAGAACTATCATCAAGCTTAAGACCTTGCAACACGACCTTGAAAAATTTGGGATACATTTAAAATAATCGGGAAGAACTTTTAAACATTTCTCAACTAATTAGAAAGCAGCTTTTTGTAAACTGATAGTGCTGTATGTGCTATCGTTGTCGATAGTTATAAGTAATATGTATCAACAGTCGAAAGTGAAATACCTGAAGGCAGAAGTTTAAGAAGATCGAAGAGAAGATTGAACGAAAACAGCGAATGATTAGTGTGGAAATGCAAGAACAATGAAGTCTTAGACAATTGATTGACATTTTGCAAATGAAGTATTCATTGTAGGGTTTTCAGACTTTACTAAGATGTTCTGTAATTTTGTATTTAAATACATTCGACTGTACCTATTTGTATTCTCGTTCACTACAGCACAACAATACTTGTAGATGACATATAAACACGATGAAAATAAGAACTGAAAAGTAGTAGTAGTAGTAGTAGTAGTAGTGTAGTGTGGTCTACTTATATCCATATAAGTAGCATATGGTGATGGTCAGACACAGAATGTATTTCAGTAGAAGATCGATAGCGAAAGAACGGGAACGAAACGCAATTGGTATGAAAGTGCATGAACAATGAAGTCAGAGAAGATGAACTGATGTTTGCAGAAGAAACAGTCAAGATTGAGACAATTGATTGATAGTTTACAAATTAACTATTTACTACATAGAGTTGAGATCATGAGTCAATTGAAGCTAGACCACCACCAAAAACCTGGAAGCACTAAACGGCCGTTTCGTCCTATTATGGGAATCCTCAGCAGTGCGCATCCACGAACCCACACTCACGAGCGAGATTCGAACCCAGGACCTACCAGTCTCGAGCCGAGGCCCTTAACCGATAGACCACTGAGCTGGCATCCAACGGTGTTAATGTCTAACTTCAACTGATTCACGAAATTGAGCAACCATTCACCAATGTCATCAGTGAGTTACTATCTCAAAACAGACGTGGTTGAACTCCACCGGTTACTGCTTCTTACTAGAACTCCAGGAAATACCTCAAGGAGTCAGTCACTATTGAGCACATGATCATTATCAGAAGGGGTTTTGTGGAGATTTTAGTAATTTATAGAGTTGAGATTATGAGTCAATTGAAGCTAGACCACCGTGGAAAACCTGGAAGCACTGGACGGCCGTTTCGTCCTATTATGGGACTCCTCAGCAGTATTTATATTTATTATGTTTACTATATGGTTGTCAGATTTTAATGTGATAGTCTGTAATTTTCAAATATGTTCGGTTATCCCCGTCCGTGTTCTTGTTCATTACAATTCCATTTAACAATGCTAGTGAAGTCCCCCCATTCATTTTTAGATTGTTAGTAACCGATGATTGAATGTTCTAGAGATTCTTATTTCACAATATTGACAGTTATCATTCAGAACTCTTTATGAGTTTCATTTGAACATATTCGACTTCTGAACAGTTTGAAATCCACAAGGTGTAACACTTCCATCAAGATTATAGATATGCTTGGTTTATAAGAGATGACTGACATCAAACCAAGGCTAAATAGGGTTCCTTGATGACTCTATATTTACTAAAGACAATACTTACAATCAACAATAAAAATTAATTAATTTATAACTAACCATCAGATTTCATTGTAATCTCTGATCCTGAATCATCAACATAAGTTTTATGATCCGGTTCATTCATTAGACCATATTCTTCAAGATAACGTGCTCTTGATAATTCAGCTCGTATTGCTCTACCAGGTTCCATTTCTTCCCAAGCTCTTTTTAAAGCTTTAATTTCCGACATCTTATTATCCATATTCATGATTTTAATATCATTCTAATAAAATAGTAAAAAGAAGTAGAAACACTCTATGATCATAAAGGTAGACAGATCAACCATACTCTATTCTGTCATTCAACTTCTATTCTTCAGAATCAATTATAAAAATAGTATTGCCCTGAATGTAAAATCGGCGAGATTGTAATTTATGGACAAGCCAATCAGAAGAGTATGAGGGATTTCAAGGTTTCTGTGCTAATCACAATACCTGGTGCTCATGTACGATCGGTTCACAGAGAATTTTAGAGAAGACTTGACAATTAAGCGGCTACACAACAAATGAAACTACTAAGAAGTTCCTGTATTTGTAATTACTAGTAATTAATGACTTGTAGACATTGTGCAGACTACCGTGATGTTGTCCTTCGATGTAATATATGTTGAAGAATAGGAACCTTTATCACTCGATCCAGAGTGAGATTAAAGCATATTATAATAATTGTCTTACTTACTTACGCCTGTTACCCCTCGTCGAGGAGCATAGGCCGCTCACCAGCATTCTCCATCCAACTCTGTCCTGAGCCTTCCTTTCCAGTTCTTTCCAGTTACTATTCAGCCTTTTCATATCGGCTTCTATTTCCCGGCGTAGTGTGTTCTTTGGCCTTCCTCTTTTCCGCTTTCCTTCCGGATTCCAAGTTAGGGATTGAGTCGTGATGCACATTGGTGATTTCCTTAATGTATGTCCGATCCACTTCCAACGTCTTTTCCTAATTTCCTCTTATAATAATTGTCGCCAACTGTATAATATAAGCAACAGTAACATTGGCTGCAATAATCGCTGATGTTACTGAAGCTTCGGCTGTTCAGTGGTATGATTATTGTAGGGACATATCCATAATAAAAATGATAAACTTACACAACTGGAGTACAAAAACAATAACAAAGCTATGTGGTCGGGGCTGAGAGAGTTTTTGTGACCTTATCATGGCTCCAGAGACCAACTATTATAGAGCCATATGGATGAGTTCCTCTACCTTATGTTTTACGATATTGGAGCCTATGAACGTTTTTCTAACCTTGACAAGTTTTTGGATCATATAAAAGAAGTGTTGTATCCACTTTAATTCTTTGGTTTTGTATAACATATATTTTACTCTATAACTCCGCCTGTAGCTCTTCTAGAGTTACTGCCCGTCCCAAGCCCGGGTAAAGGAGGAGGGTTGGGCATGGGGTTGGCGACTTAATTCCGTAGAAAAGCTAACTCGCTAAAAAAACGCTAACCAGAAAAAATAATTCAAACCATTTAAACTCTGCCCTCCAAGTTGAAGGAATAATTATGACGTCTCATGATGAAAGCCGAAATTTTTCGGAAGTCACGAGACCGATGCACTTTCTAACAACCCGTGCAACACTCTTTATAAGTACATGGAACGTCCGGACAATGTGGGAGACAGGAAAGACCAGCCAAATAGCAATGGAAATGAAGAGATACAACTTGGCAGTACTCGGAATCAGCGAAACCCATTGGACACAAACTGGACAACAAAGGCTAGGTACAGGAGAGATGCTGCTGTACTCCGGTCACGAAGGGGAAAATGCTCCACACACTCAGGGAGTTGCTCTAATTCTGTCCAAAGAAACACAAAATGCACTTGTGGGATGGGAATCTCATGGACAAAAGAAGGGATAAAAGAAGCACCAACTTCAACGTGTCAGGAGGTTCTTGGTCCTAAGAAGCATCATCATAAGGAATGGATCTCTATGGGAACCCTGGCCAAAATTCAAAAAAGGAAGAACAAGAAACTAGCAATTAACAACAGCCGAACACGAGCAGAGAAAGTCAAAACACAAGCAGACTACGCAGAAGCAAACAAGGAAGTGAAGAAAAGCATTAAAGCCGACAAGCAGAAATACATGGGAGAACTAACAACGGCGGCGGAAAAAGCTGCAAGAGAAGGGAATATGAAACAACTATATGATACAACGAAGAAATTGGTAGGGAGATATAGCAAACCAGTCAAGGACAAAGAAGGAAAGACAATCACTGAGATTCAAGAACAGAGGAAAAGATGGGCAGAATACTTCGAGGAACTGCTGAATAGACCAGCCCCATTGAATCCAACGAACATCGAAGCAGCCAACTCTGACCTTCCAATGGATGTTACTTCACCAACGATCGAAGAAGTCAAGATGGCCATCAGACAAATCAAAAGTGGGAAGGCGGCAGGACCTGACAATATACCAGCAGAAGCACTGAAGTCAGACATTGAAATAACTGCAAACATGCTTCACCTTCTATTCAAGAAGATTTGGGAAGAGGAACAAGTGCCAACGGACTGGAAAGAAGGATATTTCATCAAGATACCAAAGAAAGGAGATCTGAGCAAATGTGAGAACTACAGAGGCATCAGTTTGTTATCAGTACCAGGAAAAGTTTTCAACAGAGTGCTGTTGAGTCGGATGAAAGATGCAGTAGGCACCCAACTTCGAGATCAACAGGCTGGATTCCGTAAGGATCGGTCGTGCACAGACCAGATTGCGACACTACGGATCATCGTTGAACAATCAGTTGAGTGGAACTCATCACTATACATCAACTTCATTGACTATGAGAAGGCGTTTGACAGCGTGGACAGGAGAACATTATGGAAACTTCTTCGACACTATGGAGTTCCTGAAAAGATCGTCAACATTATCCAAAACTCATACTATGGACTACAGTGCAAAGTGGTGCATGGAGGACAGCGGACAGATGCATTTCCAGTAAGGACCGCAGTCAGACAAGGCTGTCTACTCTCCCCATTCCTCTTCTTTCTAGTGATTGACTGGATTATGAAGAATTCGACATCTGAAGGGAAATACGGAATACAATAGACATCTCAGGATCAATTAGATGATTTGGACTTCGCAGATGATCTAGCCCTCCTCTCTCATACACTCGAACAAATGCAGATGAAGACAGCAAATGTAGCAGCAGTCTCCGCATCGATAGGCCTCCACATTCACAAAGGAAAAAGCAAGATTCTCAAATGCAACACGGAGAACACCAACCCAATCACACTTGATGGCGAAACCCTGGAAGAGGTGGAAACATTCACCTACCTGGGAAGCATCGTTGATAAACAAGGAGAATCGGATGCAGATGTAAAGGCGAGGATTGGTAAAGCAAGGACAGCATTTTTACAATTGAAGAACATGTGGAACTCAAAAAACTGTCAACTAACTTCAAAGTGAAAATCTTCAATACGAACGTCAAGACAGTCTTACTGTACGGAGCTGAAACTTGGACAACTACTACAATCATTATTAAGATGGTTCAAGTATTTATAAACAGTTGTTTACGTAAAATACTCAACATTCACTGGCTGGATACTATCAGCAACAGCGTTTTATGGGAGAGGACAAACCAGCTTCCAGCTGAAGAGAAAATTAGGAAAAGACGTTGGAAGTGGATAGGATATACATTGCTGAAGTCACCAAACTGCATCATGAGGCAAGTCCTAACTTGGAATCCAGAAGGGAAGTGGGAAAGAAGTATGCCAAAGAACACATTACTCTGGGAAATAGAAGCATATTATGAAAAGAATGAATAACACAACTGGAAAGAATTGGAAAAGATTGCCCAGGACAGTGTTGGGTGGAGAATGCTGGTGAGCGGCTTATGCTCTTCGACGAGAGGTAACAGGCGTAAGTAAGTAAGTAATATTTTACTCTATACTGACTGCTTACTGATTGGCTAATATTTCTCAATGTCACTTTAGATTCGTTCAAAAGTCGTCCATAAATTTTAGTCTCGTCGTAAAATCTAATGCATGTTCGTTGTAGATAACCGAAAAAATTAAAGTAGTTGATGTTCCAAGGTTTCCATTGATGAGATGAAAACAACAATGAACAATCAACGTTAGATACAAATAACAAAGAAGAAATTGTCTAGTCCAAGATGACCAATTGTATGACAGTTACATCAATCAATAAGACGAGAACTTGTTTTTTTAATTTTCCTTCCGTCAAGTCGGCACCCGACTACTGTGAAAATATCCCTTCAAATTTTCATTTCAAACAAAATATTTTATTGAAAAGTCTATTGTCATTCTTAGCTACAATACGATTTACATTTATAAATGAATAATTAAATTCATGAGTTGATTAAAGCTAGATCAACATGGAAAACCTGGAAGTACTGGATGTCCGTTTCGTCCTATTGTGGGACTCCTCAGCAGTGCGTGTCCACGATCTCGCCTCACGAGATAATTTATCTCAGAAATAAATAATGACTTGATTAGATTATCAATTTATTACAAATATATTTCAAAACATGAATGAAAATCATTCAATTTATGTTCATTCATTAAAAACAATCTAATAGTTTATAATAAAGATGAGTAAACCAATGGTCGACGGTTGGAATTCAGACCACGAACAGACTTCATGTAACACTATTGAATACACAGAAATAAACTTAAGAATGATTTACATATATAAACAAACATTTTAATGTATAAACCTCAATGAGTACTGCACAGTCGTTATGTTCTAATATGGGACTGGTGAGCAGTGCGTATCCGTGATCCTGCACGTTGGATACGAACACAGGATTTTCAGTCTTGATTTTCAATGATGGTCTAACATTCATCGATTCATGATCGCAATCAGAACCTATTTATGTTGAAGCCTTCATATAAGAATTGGATTCATATTTCAATAGGTTTTATATGATAAACGTAAACAACAGAATAACTGTTGGGGACGTTAGATCTCCACAACGCCCTCGGTAAATACCTTATTTTTGTAATTTTATTTTGAATTCCTTTGTTTTCGCGCCAAAAGCGCCCGTTTCACCTTCATATCGTATTTCCCACTTGAATAATCTTAAACACTATTGGTCCGTTATATCTTTTAGTATGCTGTTTTGTAACGCTTCCCAAGGACAGTATTATGTTATATATATATGTTTAATTTATGCCTGTTGGATCGCTTGTACTTCTGGCTGCTTGTGGATTATGTTTATTCCCCGTTGGGACTTCGATTTCTCTCTCTAGTTAGTGGGGCTGAGACGCATTGGAATAGCTAACTCATTGATCTTTTGGTCACAAGTCTTTGTTCCGTTCGCAGACTAGGTGAACTCGTAATCGCTTCAAACATAACTATAATATTAATTCATATTTATGCATTGTTCATAATTGTACTTTACTCTTACTCCCATCAATAAATGGATTGTATTCACTTACTAAGTAGTTAACTTATAGCGTTTCTCTTGTTTTCCATCTTTCAAGATCACTACACACAAGATCACTACAACTCTTACTGGAGTTTTTTTTATGGGGTTTTCTTCTCTGAGCTGGATGGTTTGATCGTGGAGCTTCGTCATTCTTCTGAACGACATCATCAGTATAAACTTCGGATAGAATTGAAGTGTTCGAATTTCTCCATATGTGGTTCACAGCTTGTCCTGTACACGTTGATGTTGATTGGTTCTTGTTGATCTTAAATCTGTTATTGTTTATTTCTTTGTTTTGTTTGTGTCTCTTATTGATTTGATTTTTGTTCCTATGCTTCTGCATGATTTTCCTGATTGGTTGATAAATTGGATTGATTTCAATGTGCTTGTTTATTGCCAAACTTCTAAAAATTCTCTGATGTTTTTAGAATTGCCTCTATCCAAAATCTATACATTTTTCCAGTGGAATGTGTGTCCGTAGTTTTCCCGAAGTTTTTGCTGATGATGTCGTTCAGAAGAATGATGAAGCTCCACGATCAAACCATCCAGCTCAGAGAACAAAACTCCATCAAAATCATCCGCCTGATCTACAAATCTTCTCCACCATCTCCTCCTGGAGTCCTCGAATGGTTACCACTGATCTCGAACCTGGTTAAAGAAGGGTTGAACATAGGCTCAATGATCTTATTCCGTAGAAAAAGAACCTGACTAAAAAGATGCTGAGATGAACAGCATATAGATAATGAAACAGTTCCAGTAAAGAAATACATTATATCTAAGAGTAAATCTTACAGAATTATTACATATTATTCTCATTTTCCAATGAGCTTGATTATAATCAATTTTTGCTGAAGTACCCCGAGTGGAACCAGATTTTTGACCAGTTACACAAATTGTTTTGTTACCAGGTGATTTTGTTGCTGATTTAATAGTTCTACTATCGGAACTTTTATCAGCTGAAGTACTTCGAGAAGTTGTATTATTTACTGTAAAAGCAAATCAATTAATTAAGGATGGTTAGGAAATGTATTCAATTTTCGCAAACGATATTCTAACGTTGTTGCTCTTTCTTACAATGAGATGATACCTTAGTGGTTAAAGCATTCATATATCTACTAATAAGTTAAGGTACACTTCTTAAATACTTGATCAGTCTACAATGTAAAACCGAAAAAAGAACAAATATTTCCTGGCAAGGTGAATTCACAAAGTAGAAGAGGAAGACCAAAGAACACATGAGAAGAATGAACAAAAACTGGATAGAACTAGAGAGGAATGCGCAGGATAGAGAGACTTGGAGAATGCTGGTCGGCGGCCTATGCTCCATTGGGAGTAACAAGCATAAGTAAGTAAGTAAGTAAGTAAGTAAGTAAGTAAGTAAGTTAGTTAGTTAGTTAGTTAGTCAGTTAGTTAGTTAGTTAGTTAGTTAGTTAGTTAGTTAGTTAGTTAGTTAGTTAGTTAGTTAGTTAGTTAGTTAGTTAGTTAGTTAGTTAGTTAGTTAGTTAGTTAGTTAGTTAGTTAGTTAGTTAGTTAGTTAGTTAGTTAGTTAGTTAGTTAGTTAGTTAGTTAGTTAGTTAGTTAGTTAGTTAGTTAGTTAGTTAGTTAGTTAGTTAGTTAGTTAGTTAGTTAGTTAGTTAGTTAGTTAGTTAGTTAGTTAGTTAGTTAGTTAGTTAGTTAGTTAAATTCCCACAACGATTCGAATAGTAATTCATACAAATCTATCGTACATATACGTGTCAGCACTGACCGACACAGAGGTATGTAAAGAATTGTCTTGATCAGATGACATACAAGAGTCCATTCAAACTTTCATTTATCGATTGCCATAAGATCATTCAACAGTCAAGTATATTGGAACCCTTCCTCAATTTTCTTTCATTTCAGGCAGCTAGGTAGTTTCATTAGCATGTACAGTATGATTCAAAATCGAGTATATAAACCAGCATTTAGTAAATCAGTTACCTAAAATTGAAAAGGCCTTTTTTATATTTAAATTATGTAATGATAAGCATCTCTTTTAGACAATCATGTCTAGAACTCAGAACATTCTTACTTCTTCAATCAATTTCAGAGTCGAACTGGACTACATGATATTAGTCGATTTAATTAAACGTTTTCGAATTCTTCTTTAAACACATAAATCTTGGTACAAAGGCACACCAGATACATATGCGCCACACAAAAACTCTCATTTAATTTGTGTGAGAGCTGTGATACTAGACGGGTGCAGAAACCGAAGCAGGTGGTTTTCTTAGGGGACCACACGCAGAGTATTTGACCTAAAGATCTGATCCACAAGGAAGTGGAGCATCGTGAAGAGATGCAGTCCCATGGTAGATGGTGACCAACAATTGATTCATACGCCATTTGTTCCATCAGGATACTGGAGCCCATATTCACCATTGGTTTGGAATTAGGGTTTTCCAACTCTCCTAGGTGAACTTTCTGTGTCCACCAACCCGGTTAAAGCGCCGGATATTCGTATTTCGTCCTCTCAATTTCGTAAACAACATTAGTGCCGTGAGAAAACAGTGAGTAGGACTTCCCCGGTAGAGGCTATATATTCGCTGGCCATGTGAGAGTATTTCAACAGGGAGAGCGTACTCTCCCCACTCTCTACTGTTCCAGAACATTTGGGGGCACTATGAAACTAGACAAGAATGATATTGATCAATCAATGTAAAATAGCCTTGACCAAACCATGGACACTTTTGTTTCCTAAAGCTTACTTAAATTAATCGGTTTAATATAAGATGAACAAACAAATAAAGAAGGAGATAATAAATGACAAAATAAGGTTATCAATAATTACCCTGACATTCTTCAAGTTTATTACAACGTTGTTCTTCTAAAAATGACCAATTACTTATACTTAATGGCCAATTTTTACCATCTACATAAGCTTCAATCCAATAATATCGTTCTTCTTCTTCTTGTTCTTGTTCTAATCGTTGACTATTTAACATATATGAATGTGGTGAACTGGTATTGGATTGTTCATAATGATGTGTTCGTTCTATATTAGCACTATTTGTACTACTAGAACCTCGACCACTTCCTGTTGTACTACCACCAGTTGAACTGCTAGAACTACTCTAAATTTTGAATTGATTTGAAGAGAAGAAACATTGTTGTTAATTATTCAAATGAGTAGAATACTAAATCAAGCAAAGTTATTTAATATATTAGAAATTAAATTCACTCGGTATTGTTTGGTTGAATCTTCCCATTGATGTTTAGGATTGCAGTTGATCAGCCTCCACATGACATATGTGTATACTGTACAAATTGCTCCGATATAGCCTTAATTCAGTAGCTGAGTGGATAACGCAATGGCGTTTGGAGCGAACGGTACTGGGTTCAAGTCTCAGAGTGAAACATCAACTCTGAGATGTAGGTATATCCAGCTGACCAGTCCCAAATAGAACGAAACGCGAGTCAAACTGGATTCCACTTCTATCCACTACCCATCTTTGTTCATATTAGAAATTATTTTGATAACTTAATTAATGGCAATCTATCCAAACATTTGTGTTACCTATTTTGTAAGATTGTAGTGAACGAGAACATAAATAGGGATAATCGAATGTATTTGGACACAGAATTACAAAACATCTTACTAAATTCCGAGAACCATACAGTAAATACTTGATTTGCAAAATGTCAGTCAATCGTCTAAGATTTCATTGTTCTTCCATTTCCACACCAATCATTCTTTATTCTCGATCTCTTCTCTTCAATCTTCTTAATCTTCTGCCAACAGCTATTCCACTTTGACTGATGATACATACTACTTACATCTATGGATATCAGTAGCACTAACCATACAATATCTTTTAAATAATCATTCTGTTTTACATTTTTATCAGAAGGGGTTTTTGCGGAGATTTATTATTTTCATAGTTGGAAGCGTGAGTCGATCTCGTGAGGCGAGGTCGTGGATGCGCACTGCCACTGAGGAGTATCACAATAGAACGAAACGGTCGTCCACTGCTTCCAAGTTTTCCCTGGTGGTCTAGCTTTAATTGACTCACGCTTCTAAATATTTTTTACATTTGTTTGAAGTGAATAATCAGCAAATGTTTGAAGTGGTCGGGTGTAGTCGATAGGAAACTCTAGACCCTTACTTGATGCTATTTATGTCTCATTAACAAAGAGTACCTGTAAGCCTTAGTAAAATGGTGCACCTTGATGAACTTGATCCCGAGTCACATAACCTTGGGATCTCAGACGTTACTATTGAGCTGTTTACCGTTCTCATTCTGGTAGAACTTATTCTTCCTATGAGATTATAACCCAACTCATAATGTACTGAAATAAAAGACATCGACTGTTTTCTCTTAGTTTGTGACTAACCAACCGTGTACAGACACAACGTTAAACTGCATCGATACCAGAATCTTGACCTTTGACAGCTAGTATACTAATCCCAAGTCAAGGAATTCACTGATCCGAATTCTCAGCTATAATTAATATGTGATATATTATGATCTTTAACCAATGTCGCTGATGAGTTTATAATTCATTCTCAGGTTGAATGATCTAGATAATCAAAGTCTCCCATTTTAAAGAGTTCTAGAAATTTATGCCGAAACTACTCATAAGTAAGTATAGAAATATTATCAGATAGGGTTTTGTGAAGATTTCGGTATTTTCATAGTTGAAATCATGAGTTAATTGAAGCTAGACCACTAGAGAAAACCTGGGAGCACTGGACAGCTGCTTTGTTCTATCGTGAGACTCCTCAGTAGCAGTGGGCATCCACGATCCTACCTCACGAGCGAGATTCGAACCCAGGACCTACCAGTCCCGCGCCAGAGCACTCAACATCTAGACCACTGAGCCGGCCGACATCCAACGGTTTTTATGTCTAACTTCAACCAATCCAGTCCCATAATAGGACGAAACGGCCGTCCAGTGCTTCCAGGTTTTCAATAGTGGTCTAGCTTCAATTGACTCATGATTTCAACATCAAATTATTATTAAGTAACTTAAAGTTGTTGAATTGTTTGTAAATTTTTAAATTAATTATCACTATTTGGTGAACCACTGAAAGCAGTTATCATATGATCACTGATTCCTTATAGTTCTCTGACTGACACCAGTTCATCATGTAAACTAACTTCTAACTGTATAAAAACTCGCAAAGCTAATATTTGGAGAATTAGCCTGTATCACTTCAATATAAATCTATTAATTATTTGACTTGGTGTTGTTTACTTGTATCTTCTCATTGATGTTTAGGACTGCAATTGATCATTCTCTGATTAGCATATATGCATACTGTGCGTATTGCCTCGATATAGCCTAAATCTAAAAGGATGGTAAGCAAATATGGATAGTGGCTAGTACGAAACTCGGGTCCAGGGTTTCCTGTTGACCACCTCCAACCACCATGTTACCCTAATATATATAGTGCACGCAGTGTTGAGCCACCTAGACTGGTGGCCACATTGCAACTTGATCGATAGCATTCGATCAGCGCTAAGGACTTGACACGCATGAGATTGATCACCACCCAGTGATCAATCAATTGTGAGCAGTGAAATTCAGTTTGACGCGCGTTTCGTCCTATTCGGGACTCGTCAGCTGGACGTACCTGCATCTCAGAGTTGATGTTCACTCTGGGAGGAACTCGAACCCAGTACCCTTCGCTTCAAACGCCATCGCGTTATCCACTTAGCTAGTGAGTCCTGATAGTCACTTGCTTGTGCAAGTTCCAAATAGGATGAAACGCGCGTCAAACTGGATTTCACTGCTAACCACTATCCATCTTTGCTTATAAAGCTTGTGAATTCAGGCAATATCGAGTCAGTCCACACAGTATGCACATATTCCAATAAGAGACTGACCATTTGCTGTCCTAAACATCTATGGGAAGATTCAAACAAACGATGGACTTCTTGTTATTAACTCAGTCAAATTCATAATATATAACATTATAAATCGTAATATATTCGTAATTTATTCAACTTACTCCTGGTTTCATATTTTTCTTAACGGATGCAGATCTTCTTGGAGATATCTTGGAAGTATTCAATTTATTCAATGTAACTTTTGAACTGACTACATCTTTTATACTTAATTTAACACCGTCACCTTTATTAACTTCTAATAGACGTCCTGAATTCGGGGTTTGACGTTTCTTCTCTTCTATTATTGTATCAGCTAATATGATATAAGCGAAAATACATGCACCACCATAACCTTCAGCAAAAATCATTTCTTTATTACCCATTTTAATGCATAAACGTGTATAAACATTTGGTACAGATAATCGTAAATGAACAGTTATCAAACTATCATTACTGGCCTATAAGTAAAGAGAAAAGAAGTTTAAGGGAAAAAAAAGAATAAGTGGTTGTTTTCTTCAGTTGGAAAAATAGTAATAACCGTAGGTAATCTGGATAGCTGTTTGTTACTTCATAGTTGAAATCATGAGTGAATTGAAGCTAGACAACTACGAAAAACCTGGAAGCACTGGACGGCCGTTTCGTCCTATTATGGGACTCCTTAGTGGCAGTGCGCATCCACCCTAACACCGTTAGATGCCGGCCAGCTCAGTGGTCTATCGGTTAAGTGCTTTGGCGCAAGACTGATAGGTCCTGGGTTCGAATCTCGCTCGCGAGGCAGGATCGTAGATGCTCAGTACTGAGGAGTCCCATAATAGGACGAAACGGCCGTCCAGTGCTTCGTAGTTTTCCATAGTACTCTAGCTTCAATCGACTCATGATTTCAACTATGAAAATACTGAAATCTCCACAAAACCTCTTCTGTTTGTTACCTATATTACTGACGCTACTATTATCATCATTATTAGTTTTATTAGTAATGAAGCGTGTGCTACTGATGTCGATATATATAAGTAGTATATATCAATAATTGAAAGTGAAATGCCTGGTGGTAGGAGGTTAAGAAGATGGAAGAGAAGAAAACGAAAACTGAGAATGATTAGTGTGGAAACGAAGGAACAATGAAGTCTGAAATAATTGGTTGACATGAATTATTTGCTGTACGGTTCTCAAATTTTACTAAGAGATGCTGTAATTTAGCATTTTGCTAACTCCACTGGTGTCCTCATTCACAACAGTAGTGGTCGTAGCATTAGTAGTAAATGTTGTTATTGTTGTCGTATAAGAAGTTTGTTAAGATCATTGGTCATCATAGTTTGAACATAGTTAGACAACCACTGAAAGACGTGGACGACTGTTTTCCCCAATTACAGAACTCAACAGCAATGCTTATCCAGGACTCCACAAAGAGTCGAACTCAGGAATTTCAAGTAACGAGGTGTTATATGTTAGACCACTTAATCGACATCTAATGATTTACATTTATGATTCCAAACAGTTCGTAACATCTCGTGACTATCTTATCAGTGTTTGAAGTCACTAACTACTAGTCTGAACCATGTTGGTAGGCGAAGACTACTTAGTTGCGGTCCGCGTAACTATCGTAATCAATGGTTGGAGACTGTAGGTGACATGGCTCAGAATCGATCACAATGGGGTAGGTGTATACACTCTTTATCTTCCCTTAAACTGAGAAATTAAAATTGCTTCATATATGTTTTTCTTCCTGTACTTTATCCTTATACACAATCTTTCTTTCGGCATTGCCACTATTAAATTATCTACTTCTATGAATTTGGTGTTCATCTTGTTGAACTAATGAGGTATGACAACTTGGACCGACCAATATACGTGCCTGGTCCTACGTTGTAGCTGACTAACTGACTGAATGACTGACACTCAGTAATGCATACCCAATATCCGACCAGAGGTACAATTGTAAGTTATCAAGTCTTACAACCAGATCCTTACTTTGAAGTCACATACTTAGAATTCAATGAAATATCGATATGGTGTAAGAACATTTGATAAATTTGTAAGCAAAAAGATTATGAAAATTCTTGAATTCCTAATCATTTCACAAATAGTTGACTGTAACATTTGAATAATGTTTGCAGATTATAAACATAGAGAGGATTCCCAAAAGTTCAAGATCAACTGGACGAGTCCTTAAGACTAGTGTCTAAAGTATTAATCAAAGAACCATTAAAAGCTAGAAAGCACTTGACATTCATTTATTCATAACTTGCTTCTTCACAGAAGTAAACAATGTAGCTATAAGGAATTGATAATAGGGACTTCAAATTCAATAAACTGGAATATACCCTATAATAATCATCATATGTTTACTAGTGACTAACTTTAAGAGGTAATTCCCGGGATTCAAATAAAAACCTATAACTTTTAGAATTCAGTTATGTTAAGCGTGAAATAAATGTCACTAATACAATGGATAATGATTGTAAAATATTACGAATTGACTGAAGGAAGAAATCAGGAAGAATCACTGGAAGTGGATAAGACATACATTGAGGAAAGCAGTCAACTGAGTCACAAGGCAATACCTCACATGGATTCCTGAAGGCCAAAGGAAAAGAGGAAGACCAAAGAACACATTCCTTCGAGAAAAAGAAACAGATATGAAAAGAATGAACAACAACTGGATAGAACTAAAAAGGAAGGCTCAAGAAAGAATGTGTTGGAGAATGTTGGTCGACTGCCTATGCTACATTGGGGGGAGGGGGGTAACAGGCGTAAGTAAGTAAGCAAAAACATAAACCTTTAAATCCAAAGGTTAAGGGCCTCCTCAGAGACTTGAATTTCCCTATGTTCAGTCATGGAAGTTCTCCGTTGATAGGTCACATATTAGGATGAAGTAATTGTTCAAGGTTTCCTAGTTTGAAAATAATTCCCTTAGCAACCAATATTTATTAAGAAAGTTACCATAACTTACTATAATTCTACGTCGAAACAATAAATTCTTTGAATTTGGTTCATAATAATCTTCTAATTCAATAGTATAAAAATTTGAACATAAATTAAATGTTGTACCCATTGGTTTAGGTAGATTTTCATTACCGATGATACCTGGTCCTAATAATTGTAAATTCCATTTACCACTTGGAATTGGTGCTAAGTGATTATTGATTATACCCAACAGACTGTAACCATGATGATTTACTTTAAGATTTAACCAACTATAAGGATATTCAATGGATGGTTGAATAATTTCACCTTAAAACATAAAAGAAAAGAGAATGTTCAATTGATTATAATTAATGGATGATTTCAGATAGTTTTCTTGATATTAGATGTACTGCTGTGGTATGACAGGTAAAATCCGACTCACACATCCTCGTCATGCCTTCTAGATCATAGTAACCATCTCATGTACTAACATGAGCGGTAATGAGGGCGGTGGAGATTGGCCTAATCAACCACTCTACCAATACCTGAGAACGATTACGAATGCTACAAAGAGTCATTTGCATAATTATTGAGGGTTTAAAAGATTGGTAATAAAATGAGTCTGCCCAAACAAAAACAAAATGGGTTGTGAGTGTTATGTAATGGTTCTGTGTGAGCAGTGCAGAAAAAGCCATACCGCCCTGGTAGTTGTGTCGTGCTTCGATGTAGAACTCTTCTCCAGAAGGGCCTACTAGGCTTCACCATTCTTTATGGCTGGAAGAGGTAATTAAAAAAAGATATCATATCTGATAATAATGGATAGTTTAAGATATTTTTCTTGATATTAGATGTACTACTATAGTGTAGGTTACTTATATTCACATATTGCACAGCAGTTTGCTCTGTTCTACTTTACGGCTGTGAAACATGGTCATTAAGAGTAGAATATACTCGTAAGTTACTAGTATTTGACCACAGATGTTTTATAAATATCGCTCGCATCTGCTGGAATCACCGGGTAAGTAATAGTGAGGTTAGACGATAGAGTATTAGGGAATGATGATAAATCAGTTGATGAGGTCATGAATCTTCATCGACTGATGTGGTTGAGCCATGCTGACTAGTACTGGTGATGGTTGGAAGAGAATTAGGGGCGGCTAAACCAAAACGTGGCATCAGTGCTTAAAGTCACCAACTTCTATTCTGAGTCATGTTGGTAGATGCAGGTTGCTTGGTTGGGATCAACGTGACTATCGTAACCAATGATTGAAGACTCTGGGTGACATTGCTCAGAATCGATTACAATGGTGTAGGTGCATACACTCCCTGTCTTCCCTTAGACTATAAGATTAAAATTAATTCATCTGTTTCTTCCTGTAATATATCCTCATATACAACCTTTCTTTTATATATAACCACCATTAAATTAACTACTTTTATGTATTCGGTGTTCATCATGTTGTGCGAACGAGATATGGCAACTTGAACCGATGCATATTTACCTGATTCTACATTGTAGCTGACTGACTGACTGATATCAGAATTACTAAAAACTAGATAAAGCTAGGTGGCTCAATGTTAACATTCTTGTATCATACGAGCTACTTAAATAGATCTATCAATTGAAGCTAGACTAACATGGATAACCTGGAAGCATTGGACGGCCGTTTTCTCCTACTATGGGACTCCTCAACAGTGCGCATCCACGATCTCGCCTCGTGAGATTCGAACCCAGGACCTATCAGCGCTTAACCACTGAGCTGGCATCTAGTATTTAATTAACCAATCAAACTATTCACATAACATAACTATATACTACTTATATAAGTAGTTTACTCAAACTTACCATTATCATTATTTATCAATAGAATATAACTGTTTGATAAAGTCGTTTTTAAACGAAATGAATATTTTACTTCTTCATTAATCATTAGATCATTTTTTAACATTGTTGATGAATAAATACAATCCCTAAATAATAAATGAATCCAATCTTTATGAAATGATGTATCCATATTAGTTAATTGCGATTCTCCTGTATGATGCATTAAAGAAGGTGATGGAATTTCTGAATAGTTCCCAGAATATTCTTTAATACTTAAATAGGAATTCAAATCTTTATAAAATTTACTTTGTAGATCAGAATCATCATTATTGGTAAGAATTAATTTTTCAATTATTTGATTTCCCGCTTCAAATTGAATTTGACCTTGTTGTAATAGATTTAAACAATTCATCCAACCAATAGATAAACGTTTAATTCTTAATAAAGATACTTTATGTAGAAACCGATTGTTTATAGTAGTAGTAGTAGTAGTATGTTGATTGATATTTGACTTATTATGAGAATGGATAATAGATAATAAAGTTTCTATCATATAATTTGGTTGATTTAAACGAATTGCATTTCGTATACGATAACCACGAAATAATGATTGTATACGTACTATAGCAACTAATATATCCGGATCAATTGGTTGATTCCAACGATTAATAATTGTATCTTCAATTGGATTACTGTAAACATAAAAAAAAGAAGAGTTATTGATGAACTTATAGGGTCAGTGAAATGTCATTGAACCCTGGCCAAATCATCCGGTAGTTGAGTTATTAAATATTGAACAGATCATCGATCTCCGTCAAGGTCAAGAATAATCAACGCGAATCAGTTAATCATACGACATAGGCTGGCTTATGCGGCAGTGATTCTATTTTCGCTTGTATCTACTTTAACTAATATATTCCTGTAATAACGTCCTTTGTGTTGTACAGTCTTCAGAGCAGCTATGGTCGCTTGATACGTCTATAGGGCAATCAACGTAAGGTGCTGATTACGAGGTGTAACTTCGAAGTTAGCTTCTTCGTTACACTGTTCCCGTCTAACTCGAGTAATCCTCTCATCATTCGACATAGATCATCAACGTTGATGGTCTACAAACCAATCAGATATAAGATAACAGGCCTTGGATTTTAGTGCAGAATTCATTCATTCATTTGGTTAAATATAGTTTTGGCATTATAGCTGATGTCAGTTCCTAACCTTCATAATTTTAATTCATCACATTGGTTTATAACCCTTATTAGATCCTAGTTATTAGATGGACACTCTCAAGATCAATTTAGCGTTACTCAAAGATCGTCTATAAAGTACAATCTCATTCAGTTATTTTGTTCAATATGAACTGTCAGTGAATAAATAGAGTTACATTATCAAGTTCTTTGATCAATAGATCGAATCAGTTCTCAAACAATCAAAGCTTGGTCTAAAACAAGAGAATATCATGTGACTGATCATAAGCAATACGTACATTAGCACCATTGGATGCCGGCTCAGTGGTCTATCGGTTAAGGGATTCGGCTCGAGACTGGTAGGTCCTGGGTTCGAATCTCGCTCGTGAGTGCGGGTTCGTGGATGCGCACTGCTGAGGAGTCCCATAATAGGGACGAAACGGCCGTCCAGTGCTTCAGGTTTTCGATGGTGGTCTAGCTTCAATTGACTCATGATTTCAAATTTGAAAGATAAATAATTGTGTTAAACTTATAGGTCATGTTGTCACATAAGTAATATATGTACTTGATAAGAAAGGGATGATAAGAAGATGAAGTAAGTCAGGGTAATATTCTTTTTATTAATTCAATAAGAACTTTGGTCAGAGTGTGAACTAGGTTTAAGGTGACAATCTATTTTGTATCAATTTAGTATAAACCATGTTCTATATGACGACTATGAACTCTGGTTTATTGTGACAATTCAGGTAAACTATATTTCTTGTATGTGTTTTTACAGTAATTGTATTTACCTCCGCCTTTATGTATTATACATTTGATATATAAATGATTGTATTATATAGTTGAATTAATGAGTTAATTGAAGCTAGACCATAATAGAAAACTTGGAAGCACTAGATGACTTCAAAAGGTATTTCCTAGAGTTCTAGTGAGAAGCAATGACTAGTAGAGTTGAACCATATCTATTAGAGATAGTAACTCACTGAACACAATGAAGAATGTGTCGCTGAATTTCGTGGATTAGTTGAAGTTCGACATTAATACCGTTGGATGCCTGTAAGATCCTGAGTGAACAAATGGCCTTTAAATCAATCGTCGGTCACCGGCTACCATGAGACTGAATTACCCACGATGCTCCACTGCTTTGTGGATCAGACCTTTAAGTCAAAGGCTCTGTGTGTGGTCCCCCAAGGAAACTACCTGTTTCAGTTTGGGCACTCGTGCAGTATCACAGCCCTCACACAAATCAAATGAGATTTGTGTGGCTCATATATATCTGGTGCACTTTTGTACCAATATTTATGTATTTAAATATATAAATAAATAAATAAATGACTTCTAAAACACTATAAAAACCCTATATTTTCTGTACATAAATGAACCTATGAAGTAAAGTGCATCCCGTATAGTTTGTGCTTTTTCTCTCGTGTTCAAGTCGCTGTGTAGATTTAGCTTGGGGGTTACAAGACTATCTGAGGATCCGAGTATAACGTTCAATTAGGAAGACTTATCATAAATAAAGAATCATATCAACTTCATTCATTCATTTATCAATGCGGGAACACTTTTCTTATCGCATGAATTTTATACAAAACATGAAAATCAACTCACATTTTAACTGATTGATTAGCTTTCTCACCACCTATTAAAATGGAAAAAATTGATAGATATATTAGTAATATTACTATGAATAGTACTAGTTAGTAGTAGTGGTAGTAGTGTAGTGAACAGAACACTAGTTGGGGACAATCGAATGTATTTAATCAAACATTACAGACTATCTCGGTAAATTCTGATAACCAAACAATGAACAGTCAATTTGCAAATTAACAACCAATTGTTTCAATCTTCACTGTTTCTTCTCTAATTCCATTGCTCATGCATTTTCCAAACGATTGCGCTTCATTTCAGTTCTTTCTTCATCGGTCTTCTGCGAAAATACATTCTATGCCTGACCCACACCATATACTACTTATATAGATATAAGTAGACCACACCACAGTAGTAATCACTACTTTAATCACACTTAATTATTCTTTCTATTCCAACGGATTCATCTATATATTACATTCATTCTTAATCAAATGTAGTTCAGTAAAACATTGACAAATCTATTTTTCAGTTATGAATCTGCTATGTTTGAAAATATGACGAGACCACCTAAATCAGTGAACAGAACAAAGACTTGAAGACACAATCATAAGACAGCTAAATTATGTCCATACGTCCCAGCTCCGTTAACTAGTGAGAGAAGTCCAGGTTTAGATATGGAAAATTATATTCCGCAAGCATCCAAAAGCACGAACAACAACAAGCACAAGCGTATATATATATAGCATAAAAATGTCTTTGGGAAACGTCACAAAATAGCATTTTAAAAAGAGGCAACCAACCAATGACATTTAGTATCCTTTCAAGTGGGAAATACAACATGAAGGTAAGAATGATCCAGTCTTTTACAACTATGGCATACGAGTTCGCAGTAATGTCTATGAAGTGTACAAATCTGAAACTGAATGTGAATGAGTTAATTACAAAGCCCTAGAACTGAACGTTCAAAATGATACATTATTTCAATCATTGTAAAAGTTGTTAAATTTGTGAGTGGTGGTTATTAGCGGGAGGCTTTAAACACATATTTAAGGAAGCGGAAAAGAGGAAGGACAAAGAACAAATTATGTCGGGAAATGGAAACAGATATGAAAAGGATGAATGTTAACTGAAAAGAACTGGAAAGGATTACTTGGGACAGATTTGGATGGAGAATGCTGGTGGATGGCCTATGCTCCTCCACGAGGGCTAACAGGCGTAAGTAAGTAAGTATCACTTAGATAAAAGATTTGACAGGTAAAATTGGAAATAAAAAGGATATCCATTCTTTGAGATGGTAATGTTATAACTTAAATCATACAGTGATAACGTTAATAACTCATCCAATTCAGAATTTTCTAAGGATTACAACTGTTTTTCGAGATAGAGATGTACTATGATAATAACCAGAAATAATCTTAAAGGCTAGATCCATGGACATTTTTGGGAGATTATCTCATAGCAAGTACGATGTGTTACAATTTATAACCAATTTACTAAATATCCTTACTCAAAATCGGATAGAAACAACAGGCTTCGTACTTGTACAATGAATGAAGACTTGGGTAGGGAAAGTTAGTTGATTGTATTATGAAAAACCATACACTGTATTTGTAAAATATAAAGGTAATCCAACGAATATACCATTTAATCATCTTCCTGAGAATTTCATAGTCCTTTCATCGCTGTTCACAATTTTGATTGATTTTTGTCTTATCTTATCTTCTTTTTATTTTCCTTTCCTATCCGTAAGAATTCTATTTTCAATTATTAATACATACTACTTATATCTGTCCATATAAGTAGTAGACAACATACTAGGAATTATTTAAGAAGATACCGACTAAAAGTGTTCAATAAACACTTTCTGAGTTTTAAATTTCTTAACATTTATAATTTACTAATAGAAAGAATTTCGAAAAGTGATGAAAATTAATAATATTTAGAAAATCTTCATGGTATCTAGAAAAAAACCGTCAAGTGTGATTCGATTGGTGCGTACTATGTTGTATCGGAGAATCTTGCTTTTCCCTTTGTGTATGTTAAAACCTACTGCTGCTGAGGCTGATGCTACACTGGTTGTATTCTCCTGCATTTGTTATTGTGTGTGTGATAGAAGAGTCAGATCATGTGCGAAGTCTAAATCGTCAAGCTGCATCCTAGCTTTCCATTGTATCCCGTACTTCCTTCCAGATGTTGACGTCTTCATCATCCAGTCGATCACCAGGAGAAAATAAAAGGATGAAGGTAAGCAACCTTGCCTGACACCGGTCTTTACCTCAAACGAGTTTGTGAGCTGTCCTCCATGCACGATTTTGCAGTTTAATCCATCATAGGAATTCCCTATGATATTGACTATCTTCTCAGACACGCCGCAGTTTTGAAGAAGCCTCCATAGTGTTGTCCTGTCAACACTATCAAATGCTTTCTCATAGTCAGTGAAGTTGATGTAGAGTGATGAATTCCATTCAATTGATTGTTCCACAATGAACCGTAGAGTTGCGATCTGATTTGTACATGATCGATCCCTACGGAATCCAGCCTATTGATTTCGAAATTGGACATCTACGAAGTCCTTCATTCTGTTTAACAATACCCTGTAATCGAACGAGAACCATATCACGTTGAAAGCAGCGGTTCATGTCCACTGGACCATAACAAGAGTTTAATTGTACACTTAATGAACAATAACTAATATAGAAATATGATTTATTTCAGTTCAAACCAATCTGATACTTACGTGAACTAAGTACTTTTGATTTTTGTTTTGTTATAGCCACAGGAGGGGGATTGGAGACGGTTTCTGAAAAAGAATGATTTTTAAAAAAAAGTCTTCTATGAAAATGAATTGATTTTTCTGGATATAATTCCTATGAATGTAAACTATATTTCTGTCATAGATGGATAGGGGATAGCATTGGAATCAAGGATGCGCATTTCGTCCTAAACATCAATCGGGAGATTCAATTAAACAATACTAAACGAATTTAAACTTCACCCCATTGCACAAGCAAGTGGCTATCAGAACTCAGTAGCTGAGTGGATAACACGACAGCGTTTTAAGTGAACGGTATTGGGTTCGAGTCCCAGAGTGAACATCAACTCTGAGATGGAGGTACATCCAGCTGATGAGTCCCGAATAGAATGAAACGTGCGTCAAACTGGATTCCACTGCTTGCCACTTTGGTTACTATTAAAAACCATCAAATCATTAAAAATCTGGAAAGATTACATAACCATTTCATTGTATTTTCTTAACTACATAGTATTATCTACTTCGAATCTCGCGAGGCGGGATCGTGTATGAGCACTGCTGACGAGTTCCATAATAAGATGAAACGGCCGTCCAGTTCTTCCAGGTTTTCCATGGTGATCTAGCTTCAATTGACTTATGATCTCAACTATATCAAAAAGACCATTTAGAAGGAATTTTTTACTTACTTACGCCCGTTACCACTTGTCGAGGAGCATAGGCTACACACAAGGATTCTCTATCCAAAATTATCATATAATTTATCTTATCGGTCTCTTGAACCTCATTTAATTAATGAATCACCCACCACTTATGTTTTTTAATTCCAACACTAAATGACCTCCGATCTGTTCTTGTACATATATACTTATTTACATACTTATGCCTGTTATCCTTCATGAAGTGGTATAGACCGCATGCCAGCACTCTCTATTCAACCTTGTACTGGACAATCCTTTCCAGTTATTTCCAATTGCTATTTATCCTTTTCATAACTGCTTTCAATTCTCGGCACAGTTTGTACTTCAGCCTTCCTCTGTTCGGTTTCCCTTCAGAATTCCAAGTTGGGGCTTGCCTCATGATGCAGTTTGGTGATTTCTGAAATGCATATCCTATCCACTTCATTGTCTTTTTCTAATTTCCTCTTCAGGTGGAAGTTGGTCTGTCCTCTCACACAGTAGATTGTTGGTGATGGCATACGCTCGACGGACATTTAGTATCTTGAGTAGACAACTGTTTAGAAATACTTGTACATTTTTCATGATGGTTGTGATAGTTCTCCAAGTTTCAGCTCCGTATAGTAGAACTATCTTGACGTTCGTATTGAAGATTGTGACTTTGATATTAGTTGACAGTTGTTTTGAGTTCCATATGATATTCAACTGTGAGAATGCTGTTCTTGATTTACTAATCCTTGCCTTTACGTCTGCATCTAATCCTTCTTGTTCATTGATGATGCTTCTCAGGTACGTGGAAGATCCCACATCTTCCAAAACTTCTCCGTCAAGTGTGATTGGTTTGGCACTCTCCGTATTATATTTGAGGATTTGACTTTTTCCCTTGTGTGTGATGAGGCCTCCTCAGGATAGCGTTGAATGAAGAGTGCTGGTGGGAGGCCTACGCTCCTCTACGAGGGGTAACAGGCGTAATTAAGTAAGTATATTGAACCCTACTCATACAGAGGCTTCTGCTACACTATTTACCTTCGTCTGCATTTGTTCAAGTGTACGGGGTAGTAATTTTAGAGCTCACTAATAATTTGCTTTTATATACATACCCCATTTCTATTCTAAAAAACAACAAACTCTTAATCGTCAATCTATATCTCTTAAACTTCATGTTGAATAAGTAAGATCATATTTCATTACCAGTCATTCTAAAACCAGTTAATAATGGAAAGTTGTTTCAACCTCATACGAGATTTTGTAGTAGTAAACACCTACGACCTCCACACTCATTTAAAGCCAATACCTTCATAACCTTTACCATCGTTGTTATCTATCTCACTTTCAACATCATTGAACCCCATTGATCATGGATTATAACTAGATCTTCAGAGATCTATCTTATAAAGAAGAACTATAGCTTATGTGGATACTTTTCTTATTGCTGAGTCCTCTGTGGTAAATGGTCCAATCGAAGAATACTTATTGTTGTTTTGGATAACATCAGTGAATACTTCATGTGAAACAAGAATAGAACTTCCACGACTAATCTACTCGCTCAGATAATTCAACAACAAATGATTATGATTGTGATAGATATTAATGAAGAGATCTTTAAAATAACTATCTAGTATGATCTAGTGAATTTCAATAAACCAAAAAGAACAAGAACTCTGCCTGTAGCTCCTACGGGGGCTACTGCCGGTCCCAAGCCCGGGTAAAGGAGGAGAGTTAGGCATGGGGTTAGCGACCCCATCCCATAGAAAACCAACTCTCTAAAGAAACGCTAATCAGAATGCTGGTCGGCGGCCTATGCTCCATTGGGAGTAACAGGCGTAAGTAAGTAAGTAAGTAAGTAAGTAAGTAAGTAAAAGAACAATTATTTCATTACATTACCATGACCATAGGTTACTCGAAATGGATTGATTGTAATAAAATCTTTTTGTAATATACGCCAAGCATAGTTCATATCTGATGTTCCAGAATTTTCAGTTAAACGTTGCAGGATTGACAATAAAGTTGGTTTAATTATCTAAATAGAAAACCATAGAATAATCAGGATTATAATAATTAACTTAAACATAATTATGATCTTAATGTAGGTTTGTTCTCTGAACTGGATGGTTTGGTCGTGAGGCTTTCATCGTCCTTCTGAAGGACACCCACCTGAGCTACAAATCTTCTCCACCATCTCATAACTATAATCCTTAGAATGAAGTTTAGGGAAAGTCATTTGACTTGAAATTAGTTGATATCATGGACTGGATTCAGTAGACAAATCGTTGAATACCAAGTAGTACTGAACATGTACTTTGTCCTAGTTCGGAATTCATATGAAGTAGACATCAACAAACTTCTAGGGATCAAACTAAATATCCCCAAATCTATTGGAGATTGTTGGACTGTTTACTAAAACGTTCTATGTTCCGACAAAATATCTATCTAGTGTTCCTTCATTTTCAATAGTCGTCTAGCTAGTAATAAGCCGTGATATAAACTACCTTCAACTGACAATTTACTGGGAAATCTAATAGAGATTCCAGTTTACAGATCTTCAAAACTGGATTACAGATTATGTTATAAATAGTGCAGTTCAGATAACTACACATCCTGTTCACTTTCTTGATCAGCTATATGAACGAGAAGATTAGTAAATGACTAAGAAACTGTGATTATCAAAACTTAAACATCAATTACTTAAATAAGTAGTATATACATACATTTGTTCTTCTAAACTAGACAAAAGTATACAAACTGAGGATTTGAGTAAGTAACAATTTCTTCCAATACCGCGTCTGTGGCTGTGAATATGGGAAACTGTAATTAATAGACCGGGGATAACTCAAAAACGCTAAATCATATAATAATAATTTCGATATTTGAGATCATGAGTCAATTGAAGATAGACCACCATGCAAAACTTGGAAAAACTGGACGGCCGTCTCGTCCTGTTGTGGGAGTCCTCAGCAGTGCACATCCACGATCCCACCTCACGAGATTAGAACCCAAAACCTACCAGTCTTGCGCGCGAGCGCTTGACCTCTAGACCACTGAGCCGGCCGGCATCCAACAGTGTTAATGTTTAAATTCAACCGATCCACGAAACTGAGTGACACACCCACCATTGTCTTCAGTGAGTTACTATCTCACTATCTTTCTGTTAAGTCAATAATGAAATGAAACAAAATTAAACTCAAAGTATTGAATTAGTCAACCTGTTCAAGTTGATCAATTGAAATTAAACATTAACACCATTGGATTCCGGCTCAGTGATCTAAAGGTCAAGCATCCATGCATAATACCGAAAATCCTGGGATTCAGTCCCTTTGGTGCGGGATCATGGATGCTCACTTTTGAAAAATCTCATACTAGAACAAAATGGCCATTCAAAACTTCCAGATTTTGATGAATTTAACTTTAAACATACCTCAATCTTCAAAAACTCGTATTCTGATATTATAATTAAATCAAAAAGAAACAGATATATTCACCATGAGCATTGCTGATGAGCCCATAATAAGACGAAACGGCAGTCTAGTGCTTCTAGGTTTTTTACCATGATGGTCTAGCTTCAATTGATTCATGATCCCAACTATTAAAATTATTATAATGTCCAGAAAAACCCCTTCTGATAATAATCAACATATGCTCACTAGTGACTGGCTCCATGAGGTATTTTCTGGTGTTCTAGTGAGAAGCAATGGCCAGTGGAGTTCAACCAAGTCTGTAGGAAGATAGCAACTCATTGAAGACAATGATGGATGTGTCGCCTAACTTCGTGTATTTGTTGAAGTTAGACATTAACACCGTTGGATGCCGTCCGGCTCAGTGGTCTCTAGGTTAAGCATTCACGCGCAAAACGGATAGGTTCTTGGTTCCGAATCTCGTGAGATGAAATCGTGGATGTGCACTGCCACTGAGGAGTCCCACGATAGGACGAAACGATCGTCCAGTGCTTCCAGTTTCTTTTCCATGATGGTCTAACTTCAATTGATCCATGATTTCAACTAAATATAACATCTTAAAATCACAATTTTAAAGAAATTTCTTACTTTTTGATTAGGCCATATAGATAATAATTGTTTCAGTTCTTCATGTTTATCATTGAAACTTTTGATAGCATTTGTCAACTTCTCTGTAAATTCTAATTCATTCAATTCTGGATTGTTTATCATAGTACTATTATTGTTACTATGAGCAGTAGTAGTTACTAGGGTCTCATGCATATGTTGTTCATAGGTTTCAGTTAATTGTACTAATACTTCTAATGCTTGTCCAATACTAACCATACAACTGATCAATTGATTTGCATAATATCTTATTAATAATGGATATGTTGTTATACCATTTAATAAAATAGAATCATAATCATCTAACATTACATTCATGGATGATTGATGAATACCTTTCATGAAGGAATTGTACTTTGTATTGATGATTGATGAACGTATACGTCCAAGTATAGTAATAACATAACCTAATGGTGCTGTAATTAATAATTTATAACAATAACGACTAAATGGTAATAATAATGATATAGAACTACTTCCTGTAGTTTCAACATATTTAATTGGATCACCTTGTATTGATTTATTCCAATGATATGTTTCAATTAGAAGAGATGATGGAGGAGTAGATGATGATGATGATGATGATGAGGATGTTGAGGAGGATGTCTGTACTGATGGATTGATACCGCAAGTTGTAGATTGTAAGTCATCAGGTGAATTATTTTGTGAATGTGAATTATCATCTCTAACAAATGAAGCTAAAAAAGAAAATTGATTGAATAGAAGATATTTCAATATGTTACAACATTTGAATATTAAGATAAATCAATTAGTGTTCGTCATGGATCTATAACGCTCGTGGCATCATTTGAAGTTATGGTGCATTAAATAGATCTTTTATATAGTTAAGATCATGAGTTAATTGAAGTTATATCCACGTGGAAAACCCGGAAGCAGTGAAAGGCCGTTTCTTCCTATTTTGGGATTCCTCAACAGTGCGGATCCACAATCCCACCTTGCGGGATTCGAACCCAGGATCAGGATCTTTTATTTGAGTTCCAGATTTCTATTTCATCAGAACAAATTCAGAAATATCAAAGCTCTTAGTGGGTATGTTACCTATAGATCACTAATTTTGTATCCACTGATTTAGATGTCGTAATTCAGTCAGGACATTATCTAAACAACTTGAGATTGAGAGGCTCAACAGCTCTGAACAATGCAATATCTCGGCATTTACTTGACACCGGGCACATCATTGACATTCCTCAAGCATTCAAAATGATTAACAAACAAAGAAACACAGTATCGCTTCGGTTTGCTGAAGCAATAGCGATAGAAAAAATCTTGAACCTGATTTATATATCCAAATGGAGACAGTAATAAACATATTACTACCCTGGTAAATCTTTTTGTCATTATCTTTGTTTTGTTAGCGTTATATGGTCTTCCTTTACCGAATTCTTATTTTCTATACATTAAAACCACCCCTTCACTTATACATTTCCATTCCCTCAATACTCTCCACTTATGTAAACTTTTCAAATCCTCTCCAGGTATTACGTAACCCATCTATTTCTGAACCTTAATTAATGCATCATCCACCCCTTATGTTTTTTTGTTTCTAACACCAAACGACCTCCAAAAGAAAGAGAGAAGGAGGGATAGAGAGACAGCCATTATTGATAACCTTTGTCATTCTAATTGTTTTCATTCATCTGTGTCAATCGCTTCACATGTTATCATACATCAATGTTAATTTTTTTTGTAGTAAGATCACCCAATTCCTTAATGTGTGTCCTATCCACTTCTACCACTTCTTCCTGATTTCTTCCTCCACTAGATGGAATCTAGTTTGTTCTATCCCACAGTAGAATGTTGCTGATAGTGTCTGGTCAACCGATCCAAGGTATCTTGCGTAGACAACTGTTAATAAACACTTGCATCTTCTGGATGATGGCTTTCGTAGTTCTCCAAGTCTCCACCCCATAAAGGAGAATTATCTTCACATTTGTATTGAAAATTTTGATTTTGGTGTTGGTTGGCAGTTGTTGAGTTGACTTCCAGATGTTCTTCAATTGTAGATTGCCGATCCACGCCTTCACATCTGCACCAGATACACCATGTTCATCAATGATGCTGACCAGATATGTAAAGGTTTTTACCTCATCCAAAGCTTCTCCATCAAGTGTGATTCTATTGATGCATGTTGTGTTGTATAAGAGAATCTTACTTTTCCCTCTGTGTATTTTGAGACCTACTTCTGCTGAGGCTGCTGCTACATTGATCATCACTATAATATTGTTTTATTTTTTAATCCTTATGTTTACATACATACATTAAGGAAATCATCAATGTGTATTACAAGGCAATCTCTAACTTGGAATCCGTAAGAGAAGGGGAAAAGAGGAAGGCCAAAGAATATATTACATCGGGGAAATAGAAGCAGATGTGAAAAGGATGAATAACAACTGGAAAGAACTGGAAAGGAAGGCCCAGGACAGAGTTGGATGGAGAATGCTGGTAAGAGGCCTATGCTCCTAGACGAGGGGTAACAGGCGTAAGTAAGTAAGTATGTTTACATAGTTATAAACCTAATTCAAACAAACTTCATTTGTACATACCTGATGTGGTAGTTACCGGCAAGAAATGTATACTAGTACGTTCATTTGTTGGCATTGTTACTACATCATCCGTTTCAGGCATACAAGTTAAACCACGTGAATATGTAGTTGGAGTTAAACGTTTTGCAATAGGTATTGGCCATTGATAAATAACTGATAATTGAATAATAATCTCACATGGTTGAATACTATCACAAAATAAATAATGTACTTTTGATTGATTAGATGGCTGAAATAAATTTAAAAATATTATTTTATATAATCAGAAGGGGTTTTGTGAAGATTTTAGTAATTTTACTAGTTGAAATCATGAGTCAATTGAAGTTGGACCACTGTGGAAAACCTAGAAACACTAGATGGAAGTCTCATCCTATTGTGGGACTCCTCAATGGCAGTGTGCATCCACGATCCCGTCTCTCGAGAATCGAACCCAGGACCTATCAATCTCTCGCACGAACGCTTAACCTATAGACCACTGAGCCAACCGACATCCAACGGTGTTAATATATAACTTCAACTAATCAACGAAATTGAGTGACACATACACCATTGTGTTCAGTGAGTTGCTATCTCCCAACAGACCTGGTTGAACTCCACTGGTAACGGCTTCTCACTAGAACTGCAGGGAATACGTCTTGAAGCCAGTCACCAGTGAGCATATGTTGATTAATATTAGAATGGGTTTTTGTGGATATTATAGTAATTTTACCAGGTGAGATCATCCGTAATTTGAAGATAGAACACCATGGAAAACCTAGAAGCACTAGACGGTCGTTTCGTCTTTTTGTGGGGCTCCTCAGCAGTATGCATCCACACTACGCATCAAGAGATTCGAATTTCACTTTCAAGCTTGTATCCGACTGTAAAAGTGATTTTATGAACTATCAAATTTAAATGATGAACATTATTTTCAATAATCTCCCATTGTCTTTATTAGGAAACCTTACATCCAACACGCTCGATTTCTTCTAGTTATTCTATTATGTCACAAATATCAATGGACGCTGACTCAATGGTCTACAATCTACGCACTCAAGGTGAGATCTAAGATCTTGGGTTTGACCATCGTCAGAATCATGAATGTGCACTATTGAAAAGTCCCATATTAGAACAAAATAGCTATACAGACTTACCTGGTTTATAGTGGACATACAACCCTATTCGGTTTGTGATATCAATTATGAATGAGTTCTTCAGAAAAACTATGGAATTCCAAAAGTGGATATTAGGATTAATAACACTGTTAGAACATGTAACTGATTTGATGTTTTATCACTAATTCATATAATATTTCATCATATGCTCACTAGTGACTGGCTCCATGAGGTATTTTCTGGAGTTCTAGTGAGAAGCAGTAACAAGTGGAATGCAACGAGGTCTGTTGAAAGATATCAACTCACTGAAGACATTGATGAATGGTTGCTAAATTTCGTATATTAGTTGAAGTTAGACATTAACACTATTGAATGTCGGCCAGCTCAGTGGTCTCTAGGTTAAGCATTCGCGCACGGGATCGATAGTTCCTGGGTTCGAATCTCGTGAGATGGGATCGTGGATGCGCACTGCTGAGGAGACCCATAGTATGACAAAACGGTCGTTCATTGCTTCTAGGTTTTGCATGATAGTCTAGCTTGAATAGTACTATCCAAAGAGACCAAGATTTCTCTTATGTGTACACTGATATCATTTTTTCATGGATCAGATTTGTATCAGTATAGAAAGTGATGAAAATTTATATCATACATTGGATTACTTAATGATGTAAATGAAGACTCACTTTAATGTTGGAATATGTTTTCACAATTGAATATGTATTTGGCTTATGATAAATGTCCACCGTCCTGAATGGATTCGGAAAAAAAACGAGATATATAACATGGTAATAGAGATTCAAATACCGTTCGTAAATATAGGTATTTTTTAATGAAGTTGCTATTAAAAGCTGGTGCATCGGCCTCATGACTTCCGAAGGAACTCGGTTTTCATCATGAGACGTCATAATTATTCCTTCTACTCCCAGGACAAAGTTTAAATGGTTTGAATAATTTTTTCCTGGTTAGCGTTTTTAGCGAGTTGGTTTTCTACGGGATAGGGTCGCTAACCCCATGCCCAACCCTCCTCCTTTACCCGGGTTTGGGACCGGCAGTAACCCTCGGAGGAGCAACAGGCGGAGTTGATAGTGTAATTCATATCCCGAAGAGAATTGTGAATGGTAACTTTTGAGAACTATTTATGTGCCAATATGATACGTATATTTCCTAATGTATAATTGCTAAGTAGATTATTTATTCATATTCGTGTCCCTCTTATTATAAGCTTTATTTTGACCTTTAGACTATTATTATACGATTTACCATTCTTCAGTTATCCCCAGTCTATCAATTACTGTTACCCCTATTCACAGCCATATTTGGTTAAATCATGTACAAATGTTATTTCCTATTTTATAGTACGATGTGGTCAGTTTGTTTGGTATATAAACCCAGTATGTTTGAGAATAATGATTCATATTACCGAGGCGGTTATTGGTGTTCTGGACTTAACTGGCTGGGCTAGGCAGAAAGCAGGACTGATAAGTAATCAAGACTGCTCATATGGCTTTTGTGTATCACTGGTCTGATCGACAAATCACTGCTCTCTAATAGGCGAGCCACACAATATAACAGTTATTCATCCTAAGCAAAGGTGGACAGCGGCTAGCATTCGAATCAAGGACGCACGTTTCATCCTATTTGGGACTCGTCAGATGGATGCACCTGCATCTCAGACTTGTTGATGTTCACTCTGGGACTCGAACCCAGTACCTTTGGCTTCAAACGCCATCGTGTTATCCAATTAGCTACTGAGTCCTGATAGCCAACGGCTCGTGCAATGGAGTGAAGTTTAAATTCACTTGGTGCAGTTTACATATATCTCCCCATTGTTGTTTAGGACTGTAACTGATAAATCTCTTGTTGGCATATGTGCATCCTCTGCAGATTCCCTCAATATTGCCTTTATCAATGTTTTCATTCTATTTTAAACTCGTTTCATGTTTATTATCTAAGAACATTTGAACAGATACTTCATCATAGACAATGACTTACTTGAATATTTCACAGAAATCTTTTATATCAATCCATGTTTCTTTAGGATTAGTTACAGAAATACTCTTTATTGATATTTCAGGCATAATATCTTCACCGGATGATTTCATATGTAATGAGTTGGTTGTACGTGAACTAGAATTTAATTGACTACTTCCACTTGTTTCTGGAGTTTTGTTCTGTCCTTTAACTTCTTTTGATTTATTCGTGATCCCTGAAGTAGATTTTTCTAATTTAAAAGATTTGAATGATAATGCAAAAACATGAATAAATTCATTATTCAAATAGCTAACAGTATAGTCGATAAGGCTAGAAAAGAGTACCATATTTTGGCGATTTGGTAACCTTAAGTAGCCAATAAGAATACGAGTATTTACATGTATACTAAGAAATATAGGCAGAAATGTATACAGATTTTAAGTTTATAGGTCCAATATCTGGCAAGGTCATGAACCTCCAATGCTGAAGAGATTCTTACTGGAATTGAACACGTGCTCAATACTTTCCGACTTTTAGTGCTTGTGTAGATTATATCGGTTCATGATGTCAACTACGGTGATGAAGTTTACTTTGTTTGTTGAATGTCAACGATCCATCAAATCAACGATAAAGAAATTTACCCTAAGGCCAATTCAGATTTGATTAATACAAATTCATTCGTGACAGACTTTTTATGAAAAATGTCTTCACGTTGAAATGTGTTGCTGACAGTTCACCTTTTTCTGTTACAGAATAATCACAAAAGATCACCAGATTAATAAAAACATCTTTAAGTCTACATGATCCACAGTAGATCCTTTATCGAACTTGTTCAAAATCCTGTCACTCAATGAGCAAACGACCAAAGAATATCCAAGTCCATTCTGATTAGTCATCACTATGATCCTTCAAGGATAATAAACTCTAATGGATTAAACATTTTCTTTATAGCTAATGTAACAATAAATACTATATGTTGTAGAATAATAGACTCACTACCTGAGGACGCTGAAGATTAATTCCAAAAATAAGTTGATAATGTGATCGGATTCTTAAGTACTTTGTTTTCTAATAGTTAAATTCATGAGTCGATGTAAGCTAGACCTCTATGGAAGACCTGGAAATACCGCACGACCGTTTCGTCCTAGTACTGGACTCTTCAGTAGTGCACATCCACGATCCCGTTCGTGGGATTCGAACCCAGGATCCCGGCTGTTGATGAGATACTTATAAAAATAGACTCATTTCAATGAACTCCAAAGACAACGTTCTTCCATAACACAAGTTTACTCGTTTTAGCAACAAATAAAATCAGCTTCTTAGTCGGAAATGGCAATGATTTAGTCTAATGGGATAAAACAATGTACTAGGCTATTTAAAACACCCTCAAAAATACTGTGCTAACAATACCATCCATAAGTTCTTAGATGTTTGATCACTTACATTACTACTCATTTCATCTTTATAAGTAGTTTACTTTGTACAACCTACCTTTCTTTAGTATGTCTTCACGTGAACCCCTTTTCTAGAAAAAATTTAAAAAGAATTAATACTGTAGGCTACATACTAATAACTAATATGAAAAAATTAGGTCACTCATTTTAATCACTAGCACTGCTGAGGAGTCCCATAATAGGACGAAACGGCCATCCATTGCTTCCAGGTTTTCCATGGTGGTCTAGCTTCAATTAACTCATGATTTCAACTATGAAAAAAAACTGAAATCTCCACAAAACCTCTTCTGATTATAATCATATGCTCACTAGTGACTGACTTCAAGATACATGTCCTAGAGTTCTAGTGAGAAGCAGTGACCAGTGGAGTTCAACTACTTCTGTTGTGAGATAACAACTCACTGAAAACAATTGGTGAACGGTTGCTCAAACATCGTGGATTGGTTGAAGTTAGACATTAACACCTTTGGATTACGACCGGCTCAGTGATCTATCGGTCAAGTGCTCTGGCGCGAGACTGGTAGGTCCTGGGTTCGAATCTCGCCAGTGAGGTATCAAGGATGCACACTGCTGAGAAGTCCCGTAATAGGACGAAACGGCCATCCAGTGCTTCCTGGTTATCCATTGTGGTCTAGCTTCAATTGACTCATGTTTTCAACTATGAAAAAAAGTACTGAAATCTGCACAAAACCCCTTCCAAATAAAAACGAAATAAACCTTCATCGGGGTCAATCTGTTCCTTTAGGATTACTGATAAGTGTCAGCCAGCACGAAACTTAAGTTGACAGTTTCTTATTGACTGCCTCCAACTATCTAAAAACAACTCCGTACTGAGTTGAAATTAGAACAATAATAACTCTTAAGCCATTGAAATGGATTAATAATCGAGCATTATCACCCACGATAACTGTTTCACTTCTAGCATGATTAAATAATAACTCCGCCTGTAGCTCCTCCAGGGGCTACTGCCGGTCCCAAGCCCGGGTAAAGGAGGAGGGTTGGGCATGGGGTTAGCGACCCCATCCCGTAGAAAATCAACTCGCTAAAAAAACGCTAACCAGAAAAAATCATTCAAACCATTCAAACTCTGCCCTGGGAGTAGAAGGAATAATTATGACGTCTCATGATGAAAGCCGAGTTCCTTCGGAAGTCATGAGGCCGATGCACTTTCTTACAACCAGAGCGACAATTTTTATAGGTACATGGAATGTCCGGACAATGTGGGAGACCGGCAGAGTCTTCCAAATTTCTGCGGAAATGAGGAAATACAACCTGGAAGTGCTTGGAATCAGTGAAACACATTGGACGCAGGTTGGACAACAACGACTGTCTTCAGGGGAACTTCTGTTATACTCCGGTCATGAAGAAGAAAATGCCCCACATACACAAGGAGTGGCACTGATGCTGTCTAGAAAAGCACAAAATGCACTTATAGGATGGGAATCTCATGGACCGAGGATCATCAAAGCCTCCTTCAGAACAAAGAGAGAGGGCATTACAATGGACATCATCCAATGCTATGCGCCGACCAACGACTACGATGAAGACGCTAAAAACCAATTCTACGATAGGCTGCAGTCAATCTTCGAGAAGTGCCCAACCAAGGACCTGACCATTCTAATGGGAGATTTCAATGCCAAGGTTGGAAAGGACAACACTGGATACGAAGACGTCATGGGACAATATGGACTGGGAGGAAGGAACGAAAACGGTGAGAGATTTGCAAACCTATGTGCCTTCAATAAACTGGTCATAGGTGGCACCATATTCCCACACAAAAACATACACAAAGCCACTTGGATTTCACCGGATCACACTACACAAAATCAAATCGACCATGTCTGCATCAACAAAAAGTTCAGGAGGACGATGGAGGATGTGAGAACCAGAAGAGGTGCTGATATAGCATCCGATCACCATTTGCTGGTCGCCAAGATGAAACTAAAACTCAAGAAGCACTGGACAATGGCGCGGACAACATCACAAAAGTTTAATACGGCCTTTCTTCGAGATGCTGACAAACTCAACGAATTTAACATAGCCCTCAGCAACAGGTTCGAGGCCTTTCATGACCTACTCAATGGAGAGGGAACCACCATAGAGAGCAGCTGGAAAGGTATCAAGGAGGCAATCGTTTCAACATGTCAGGAGGTTCTGGGCCAAAAGAAGCACCATCACAAGGAATGGATCACTGTTGGTACACTGGATAAAATTGAAGAAAGGAGGAACAAGAAGGTAGCAATCAATATCAGCCGAACAAGAGCAGAAAAAGCCAAGGCACAAGCCGAATACACAGAGGCAAACAAGCAAGTGAAGAGGAGCATCAGGACCGACAAACGTAAATATGTGGAAGATTTAGCGATGACAGCGGAAAAGGCTGCAAGAGAGGGAAACATGAGACAACTGTATGATACAACAAAGAAACTTGCTGGAAATTACCGTCAACCAGAAAGACCAGTGAAAAACAAGGAAGGCAAAGTAATCAACGATATTGAAGAACAACGAAACAGGTGGGTAGAACACTTCAAAGAACTCTTGAATCGACCAGCTCCACTGAACCCACCCAACATCGAAGCAGCACCCACAGACCTCCCAATCGATATTGGCCCACCAACAATTGAAGAGATCAGCATGGCCATTAGACAAATCAAGAGTGGCAAAGCAGCGGGACCAGACAACATCCCGGCAGAGGCACTGAAAGCAAATGTAACAGCAACTGCCAAGATACTCCACATCCTCTTCGGTAAGATTTGGGACGAAGAACATGTACCAACAGACTGGAAAGAAGGACTTCTGATCAAGATACCAAAGAAAGGCGATCTGAGCAAGTGCGACAACTACAGGGGCATCACTCTCCTCTCAATACCAGGAAAAGTCTTCAACAGAGTATTGTTAAACAGGATGAAGGATTCCGTGGACGCTCAACTTCGAGATCAACAAGCTGGATTTCGTAAGGATAGATCGTGCACAGATCAAATCGCAACTCTACGTATCATTGTGGAACAATCAATCGAATGGAATTCATCACTGTACATCAACTTCATCGACTACGAGAAGGCATTTGATAGCGTGGACAGGACGACACTATGGAAGCTTCTTCGACACTACGGCGTGCCTGAAAAGATAGTCAATATCATACGGAACTCCTATGATGGACTAAACTCACCGACTCGTTCGAGGTAAAGACCGGTGTTAGGCAAGGTTGCCTACTCTCACCCTTTCTCTTTCTCCTGGTGATCGACTGGATGATGAAGACGTCAACATCTGGAGGAATGCACGGGATACAGTGGACAGGCAGGATGCAGCTTGACGATTTAGACTTCGCGGATGATCTGGCTCTTCTATCACAAACGCAACAACAAATGCAGGAGAAAACGACCAGTGTAGCAGCAGCCTCAGCAGCAGTAGGTCTCAAAATTCACAAAGGGAAAAGCAAGACTCTCCGATACAATACAACATGCACCAATCAAATTACACTTGACGGAGAAGCTTTGGAGGATGTGAAAACCTTTACATATCTGGGCAGCATTATTGATGAACACGGTGGATCTGATGCAGATGTAAGGGAGAGGATCGGCAAAGCAAGAGCAGCATACCTACAGCTGAAAAAAATCTGGAGCTCAAAACAATTGTCAACCAACACCAAGGTTAGAATTTTCAATACAAATGTCAAGACAGTTCTTCTGTATGGGGCAGAGACGTGGAGAACTACGAAAGCCATTATCCAGGAGATACAAGTGTTTATTAACAGCTGTCTACGCAAGATACTTCGGATCCGATGGCCAGACACTATCAGCAACAAGTTACTGTGGGTGACAACAAACCAGATTCCAGCGGAGGAAGAAATCAGGAAGAAGCGCTGGAAGTGGATTGGGCACACTTTGAGGAAATCACCCAATTGTGTCACAAGACAAGCCCTCACATGGAATCCTGAAGGTCGAAGGAGAAGAGGAAGACCAAAGAACACATTACGCCGAGAAATAGAGACAGACATGAGAAGAATGAACAAGAACTGGAAAGAACTAGAAAAGAAGGCCCAGGACAGAGTGGGTTGGAGAAAGCTGGTCGGAGGCCTATGCTCCATTGGGAGTAACAGGCGAAAGTTCATAAGTTCAAGTTCATGATTAAATCCTAATAGTCATGAATCGCCTACGAGACACATCAGTAGTTCATATAGAAATTAAATAACTACTAAGCAAATAACTTTCACTTAAATTCATTTTGTATCATTTATTTGAATCCTCCCTTTGATGTTTGGGACTGCAGTTGATCAGATTCTTTTTGGTGTTTGTCCATCCTGTACGGATTGCCTCGATATTGCTTGAAGTTAGAAGCATTATAAGAAAATATGAATGGTAGCTAGTGGTGGAATCCGGTTCGACGAACGTTTCGTACTTTTTGGGACTCATCAATTCGATGTACCTGCATTCCCAGAGTTGATATTCACTCCAGGATTTAACTCGAAAGATCGTGGTGATCAATTAAACTATTAAAACAGTTTGATGAATAGGAACTGTCAAACACTACCTAACTTCAATGTTTCTCTAGATGACATAAATTCCTGTTAAAAATGATTATGAAATTTTCACATTAAAATTTGTACTACAAATTTAATAATGTTAACCAACTTGAGTTTTAGTCGGACTTGGATTATTTGAACTGGATTCACGTCGACGACGTGTTGGTGATGTTTGAGAATTTGATCTAGTTTTCATTATTCCACTAGTTTGTTTTCCTGTATCAGGTGAAGAACTTGATACATAAACTGATTCAACAGTAGAAGTTGGAGGACTTAATCTAAAAATAAAAGTAATAATAATAATTATTATTCAAACTATGTCATGTTATGAACAAAAGGGTATGGGTTATTCAAACTAGTAACTGTTATATTCCATTATTAAGTTTATAATTCAGTAGTTTAGTCAGTAGTATGTTCATGGTAAGCAAAGAAGGATAGTGGCTAGCAGTGGAATCCAGGACGCGCGTTTCGTCCTATTTGGGACTCGTCATCTTTGCTTACCATGCTTGTGAACTAAGGCTATATCGAGGCAATACGGTACAGTATGCACATATGCCAATTAGAGACTGACCAGTTGCAGTCCTAACACATCGATGGGAAGATTCAAACAAACAATACTAAATGAACTTAGTAGTATGTTCACTTTTCTCCAAGTTGAAGGTGAACTGATATTGAATGATTCATTGTTGTTTGATTTCTAGTGTTAGTTTCTATAACTTATGATATATAGGCGTTTGAACAAGAAGTAGACGATATTTCCCTGTTGAGGCGATCCTGAAAATTCCTCGCAATAGACATGATAAGCTCTGGAAACATTAAGAAGCATTATATCCAATCAGCATTTGACTAGAAGGTTTGCTAGAAACATCACAAAAGTAAAAAGTCATATTTAGAGTTTTTGATTGACTGATTACTACACTTCTACTATGTTTAGTAGTATTCCAGAATTTTCAGGAAAACCCAAAGACTTCTTAAATACTATAAAAACCATATATATTCTGTACATAAATAAACCTTTGGAGTAAAGTGCTTCTCGTATATTTTGTGCCTTTCCTCTCGTGTTCAAGTCGCTGTGTAGTTCTAGCCTGGAGGTTAAGAGACTAGCTTAGGATCCGAGTATAGCGTTCAGTCAGCAAGACTTATCATTCCCATACAAAACTAGGAATATATCATTTTTGAAAGGTATGTAATCGTATCACAATGCAAAATTCACTTAAAATTACCCTAACTAATTGAAACAAAGCCTTAAGAGTGATATTAAACAAGATAAGATAAATTAAGTCGAAAGTCACAAAGTTATTAAGGAATATTGATGTATAAATACATACATATACTTATCAGAAGGGGTTTTGTGGAGATTTAGTATTTTCATAATTGAAAGCGTGAGTCATTTGAAGCTAGACCAACATGGAACACCTGGAAGCACTAGATGGCCGTTTCGTCCTATTACGGGACTCCCGACAATTGGTGAACGGTTGCTCAACTTCTTAGATTAGTTGAAGTTAGACGTTAACACCGTCGGATGCCGGCCAGCTCAGTGATCTATCGGTTATGTGCTCTGGTGCGAGACTGGTAGGTCCTGGGTTTGAATCTCGCGAGTGCGGGATCGTGGATGCACACTGCTGAGAAGTCCCATAATAAGACAAAACGGCCGTCCAGTGCTTCGTGGTTTACCATGGTGGTCTATCTTCAATTGACTCATGCTTTCAATTATAAACATACATATATCTTCTAGTGAAAACTTTAATTTATTAAATAGAGATGGATAGTAGCTAGAAGTGGAATCCAGGATTCACGTCTCGTCTTATCTGGAACTCGTCAGTTGAATGTACCTGCATCTCAGAGTTGATGTTCACTCCGAGACTCAAACCTAGTATCATTCGCTTAAGGATACAGTAGCTGAGTGGATAACGTGATGGCGTTTGAAGTAAATGGTTATTGAGTTGAAGTCGCAGAGTAAACATCAACTCTTCAGCTGAAGAGTCTCAAATAGGACGAAACGTATGCATCCATCTCTATTTGATTGATAGTTTCATTTAATTGGCATCATTACAATTAAATCTATATAAGTATTTATAACATACATAACTTTCTCCGATTCATAAAATATATGCTCTTGTACAGGTGTCCATAGAAGCAATGAACGTATTGGTTCTTTCTCCTTATTACTTTGTAAATCGCCATTGTTAGATGAATCAAATGGAAAATCAGGTGGTCTTGGTCTGATCAACTTCCATTGAGGTGTAGGTTGTATAGGTGATGGAGGAATGATTGGTATAGTACGACGTTTAGCTATACATATTGGATATGAATCTGTATAACTGAATCCAAATTGTTTAAGTTTCATGGTAATTTCCTCCTTAAATATGAACAAATTTTATTGAAAATACATTAATGACCACTTGGAAAACACATATATATAAATGAAAACTTAACTCCGCCAGTAGCTCTTCTAGAGTTACCGCCGGTCCCAAGACCAGGTACAGGAGGAGGGTTGGGAATGGGGTTAGCGACCCCATCCCGTAGAAAACCAACTCGCTAAAAAAGCGCTAATCCGAAATGAAAACTTATACCTCACTGTTCATACTATCTTCGAATCAATACCCTTAACAAGTAATTCGATTAATATTTCATACAACTTTTCCCGTTTATAGACTTTGTTACATCCTTGGATATATGGTTATCGCGAAATACAGTTGCCAAATATAGATACGCTAATTTATACGACATAACTAATGACGCATACATCAGCACCAACAGTCTAGAGTTCCAATTAGTCCTTTTTCCACCTAGTCCTACCTGTTAAATCCAGAACACTAATCTCAGTCTCCACGATACGAATCATATAGTTGAATTCATAAGTCAATTGAAGCTAGACCACCATGGAAAACCATGGAAGCACTGGACGGCCGTTTTGTCCTACCATGGCAATAGTTAGCACTGGGTATCCACAACCCCTCACATGGGACTCGAACTCAGGACCCAGGAACACTGTCGGATGTCAGATCAGTGGTCTAGAGGTTACGGATTCACGTGAGAGACTGAAGGTCCTTGGTTAGAGTCCTGTGTGAGAGATCGTAGATACCAACTGCTAATCAGTCCCATCCTAGGACGAAACGGCCGTCCACTGTTTAAAGGTTTTCGATGGTGAACTAACATTCATCCATTCATGATATCAATCTAAATTTCTTAATTGTATTTTTTTCTTTTTTTGAATTGACAATTCAAGAAACCAATGAAATCTGTCTAATGGTCAATAATTAAATAACTAACCATATAAGGACAATATGGAATGAGTAGAAAATTACGTTGATCATAAGGATAGCTAAAACATATATATTTATGTAGTGCTTATACATACATCAACTCCGCCTGTATCCCCTCTGGGGGCTACTGCCGGTCGCAAGCCCAGATAAAGGAGGAGGGTTGGGCATGGGGTTAGCAACCCCATCCCGTAGAAAACTAACTTGCTAAGAAAACGCTAACCAGAAAAAACTATTCAAACTATTAAAACTCTGCTCTGAGAGTTGAGCTATACATACATCATCATTGATGACTGAGTTAGAATTCTCAAATGAACTCAAAAATGATAATCATTAATAACTGAACAATAAACTCAATCTAATAATGATTTCATACAATAAATCTAACCTTTGTTGCTGAAGGTACAAAAGATGCCAATGATGAAACTGTATTTTTACATGATGCAAATATAATTGTTTCAGGAATTTTAGGATTTATTAATTTTGTTGTATTATGATCAGCTAAATGTAATAATATATAGAATTAGTAAAACAGAAGGAAAACAGAATATATATAATGCTTATGATACTTATAATCAATTTGTTATCATGAAAAATGACTGTGAAATGTTATCAGTGAATGACGATCTCACTCTTGACAAGATAGAACTTCGACAGTTACAAAGTTTTATTAGGACTGTTATATCTAGAGCTTTGATTCTTACTATACCGCGTACTACTAGACTACTTGAACAATAGAACCCGCAACGTCATAAGAGAGAAGACAGAAGACTAATAAGTAGGAACTTAATTCCTCAAAATATAGTACAGAAAACTCATGTATTTATAGTTTTTTTGACTGAGAGTAAATCATCATTTCAGACAACAAATAGGCAAATAGAGGTCATCCTTATCCATTCAATAGGGAAGCTACACGTCGACATTCTAAGATATTCCCCTAGCAGTGATTGGATGGAATGTTTGCGGCTCTTTCTGGGCTTTTTAAGGCTTCTTAGAGTCTACCGACGAGCCGTCCTTACAAGGACTTTAAGAATTCAGTATGAATTCATTGACTAATGTGTATACAGCTATTATGGATATATGAATCGCCACTCAGTGTTTTAGATGTATCGTGCTTGTTAAGGATTCAAAAAACAACCTGGGTTTGATCTCATATACAACCGTACTGGAGTATTGACTAGTGGATCCAAACTAGAACGAAGCAGATGATTAATACTCCCACTGATCAATGTTTCTCCAGCTGATGAGAATCCGTTACAAATCCCCTTACGACATTGATATTCAGGAGAACGTGAGTTTAGAATGACTAAACAACAAACGTCAATATATCTAGCCATTCTAATTACAAGAAACTATTATATATAAAGTTAATTCACCCTAATTTTTCCTTGTGTTGAATTTCTGTACTTGGTATCCATAATCTATTGTCTATTCTAATCTAGTTCTCAATTGTCCTTCAGATAAGTTAGTCTTACGTATAACGTGATATTGCTTTATCATCATGTATTGTGATCTAGTGTTCAGCCTACTATCAATAGTATTGGAGTGACTAGCTTTTGCCAACCTCCGTTATTTATGGCGTAGCGAGATATCCGTCTAGCAATCAAAGGACGGGTTTACTGTGTAGCAGTTCATTCCGTCCTACTCTATGGTAGTGGAACATGACCGGTAAGAGTAGAGGATATTCGTAGGATACTAGTGTTCGATCATAGGTGTCTTCAAAGTATTGCTCGTATATCCTGGGATCACAGAGTAAGTAATGCAGTTGTTAGGAAACGGGTACTAGGTAAGGATGGCAAATCGATTGATGAAGTAGTGAAAGTTCATCAGTTGAGATGACTGGGACACGTGTTACGTATGCCATACTAACCACCAACTGCCCCGACGTGCAATGTTTTATGGTGTAGGAGTAGGTTGGAAGAGAGCTAGAGGCGGTCAGACCAAAACGTATCACAAATCCATGGAGTCACTGACAAGTGAACTGAACCATGTTGGTCGGTATAGACTACCTGGTCAGGATCCGCGAGATGATAACAACCGATGGTTAGAGACCTTGAATGACATGGCTCAAAATCGTTTGCAATGACGAAGGTGCATTCATTCTTTGTGTTCTCCCAAATTTTAATCTTCTGAATTCTTCATGTCCCTATCCTTTTTCTCTTTCCAAATTTATTTCACTGGATTATACTCATTAAATAACATCTTCAAACCCTAATCTTTCGGATTACTGCTTATACTCTTGCTACTTCTACCATTATGGGATTTGAATCGACAACTGTATCTCTGTGCTAATGTGATATGGTAACTCGAACTGATGTACGTACATACGAAGTTCTACGTTATAAACGACAGACCTCAAGAATCTATTCATTTCGGCTATAGCAGATACAGAAAAAACTGGTACATACAGTAGATATAATACTTCGCTTCCGTTACCCTTTTTATATGTTTAAAATCGAAGTGTTTATGCATTATATTCATTATATTCATTAGCCTTCCGTAATTTTTAATCATGATTTTCAAACTACTACTACTGTGGTGTATGCTACTTATATCGGCAGACATAAGTAGTATATAAAACTTATCAAAAGTTGAATGGTTGGTAGTGGAAGGCTAAGAAAATCGGATTGAAGAAAACATAAACGGAAGAAGAAAGGAATTGCGAATTGGAAGAATAATATAGAACGCAAAGGAAAGTCAATGGAAGATTTGAAATTGAAGCATTTAATATGTGGTTCACATATTTTATCACGATATTATGTAATTTTATATTGAACAATGAAATGGTTGTCCACATCTCAGTGTTCGCCCGCTCTCAGCACGCATTCAAAAAGCTCGTTTAGCATTTGCCAACTTACGTCATCTATGGCGAATATGAGATATCTGTCTATCAATTAAGGGACAAGTATACTGCGCAGCAGTCCGCTCTGTTCTACTTTACGGCTGTGAAACATGGCCATTAAGAGTAGAAGATACTCGTAAGTTACTAGTATTTGACCATAGATGCCTTAGAAATATTGATCGCATCTTCTGGGATCACCGGTAGGTAATAGTGAGGTAAGACGCATGGTATTAGGGAATGATGATAAATCAGTTGATGAGGTGATGAATCTTCATCGACTGAGATGGTTAGGCCACTTGTTACGTATGCCTGAACACCGATTACCACGACGCGCTATTCTGACTATTATTGGGGATGGTTGAAAGAGGATCACAATGGTGTGGTTGTATACACTCTCTGTCATCCCTTAAACTGTGAGATTAAACTTGTTTCATATGTTTCTTTCTTCCTGTACTGTATCATTATACACAATTTTTCTTTTATATATTACCATCATTAAATTAACTACTTCTATGAATCCAGTGTGTCATCTTGTTTTGCTAACGAGGTATGGCAACTTGGATCGATGCATAAATGTGCCTGGTCCCACGTTCTAGCTGACTGACTGACTACTACAACGTTTATCATCATATCATTATTTGCGTTGACTTAAATCAGTATTCATGTGGTCCTTAAAATATGGTAACGTTATATGATTTACACCTATTCTTATTGATTATTCTAACACTCAAAACACTATCTACACTGTGATGTTACACTTTTACTTGTCTTTCTTTAATATCAAAGCGCTCTATTGCATGGTCCTGTTGTCCTCACCTCTTGTGTCCACATGAGTTTTTCATTAATGAAGTTATCAATTTATTCAATCACATTAGATCCAATTTTCATATAAGAAAGATATTACAATCATTCATAATTTGGTATTGCCGTACTATTTCAAACTATATTCGAATGTAACTTGATAATGACAGAGTTGGAAACCATCCTTGTTTATAAACACAACAGAGTTGTTCAATAGTTTCTTGATACCAGATGTTTGGAACCAGTTGTTAGCGTATAGCCTAAGCCCTCAAATGCCCTGGTACGGCCGAGAGTATAGAGAGTCCGCTCTCTCTCTCTCGAAATGCTCTCACATGGCCACGCATAAATAGCCTCTATCAGAGAAGACCTACTCACTGCCCTCTCGTGACATTACTGTTATTTACGAAATTGAGAGGACAAAAAGCGAATGTCCGGCGCTATAACCGGGTTGGTGGACACGGAAAATCCACCTAGGGGAGTGGGAAAACCCTGATTCCAAACCAATGGTGCATATGGCTGGCTCCAATATCCTGAAGAAACAAATGGCGTACGAACCAATCGTCGGTCACCGGCTACCATGAGACTGCATCTCCTCACGATGCTCCACTACCTTGTGGATCAGACCTTTAGGTCAAAGGCTCCGGGTGTGACCCCCCTAATAAAACCACCTGCTTCAGTTTGGGCACCTGGGCAGTATTACAGCCCTTAAACAAATCGAATGAGTTTTGTGCGGCACATATGTATCTGGTGCTTCCCTGTACCAATATTTATGTGTTCAAATAAACAAATAAAGTATAGCCTGAACTGAGTTTTAATTATATGTAGACTGTATATATCAACAAGATATATGTACGATCTTCAAAAAATCTATGCTCCTCGTGAGATTCAGATCCTCATCACTTGATCAATTGTAACTAATGTGTAATACTAAAACATCCAAAGTCCAATTACTGAACATGAAAACATAATACATGAACTGTTGATTAACTCAGTCAACTGATTAAATTTTTTAGGAATTTGATCAGTACTACTGAAAACTAGACAAATATGATTTTATTAACTTTTTAATGAATGATCACTTACTTTGATCCTTTTTCTCTTTATTAGTTTCTTTATTTTTTTCCACACCTATAAACAATAAAAACAATGATTAGACTTAGTTTTTTTTATCTAAGAAGACAGTCAATATCACACGGAATTCCCATGGTGGATTAAACTGCAAAACCATGTATGGAGGACAGCTCACAGGCTCGTTCAAAGTAAAGACCGGTGTCAAGCAAGTGTGCTTACATTCATCCTTTCTCTTTCTCCTGGTCATCGACTGAATCATGAAGACGTCAACATCTGGAAGGAAGTATGGGATAGAATGGACAGCTAAGATGCAGCTGAACGACGCAGACTTCGCAGATGATCTGTTTCTTCTATCACACACGCAGCAACAAATGCAGGAGACAACCAGTGTAGAAGCAGTAGGTCTCAACATACACAAAGGGGAAAGCAAGACTCTTCGATACAACACAGAATACATCAATCGAATTACACTTGAAGGAGAAGCTTTGAAGGATGTGAAAACCACTACATATCTTGGGAGCATCATTAATGAACACAGTGGATCTGATGCAGATGTGATGGCGAGGATCGGCAAAGCAAGAGCAGCATACTTAGAAATGAACAACATCTGGAAGTCAACTCAACAACTGTCAATCTACACCAAAGTTGGAATTTCCAATACAAATGTGAAGAAATTTCTACTGTATGGAGCGAAAACTTGGAGAACTGGAAAAGCCACCATCCATAAGATACAAGTGTTTATCAACAGTTGTCTATGCAAAATACTTCAGATCCGTTGGCCAGACACTATCAGCAACAACCTACTGTTGGAGAGAACAAACCAGATTTCAGCGGAGGAAGAAATCAGGAAGAAGCGCTGGAAGTGGATTGAGGAAATCATCCAACTGCGTCACAAGGCAATCCCTCACATGGAATCCTGAAGGCCAAAGGAGAAGAGGAAGACGAAATAACATATTCTTTCGAGAAATGGAAACAAACATAAGAAGAATGAACAACAACTGAATAAAACTAGAAAGGAGCGCTCAGGATAGAGTGTGTTGGAGAATGCTGGTCGGCGGCCTATGCTCCATTGGGAGTAACAGGCTTAAGTAAGTAAGTAGTTAAGTAGTTAAGTAAGTAGGTAAATAAATAAATAAATATACAATAAACTACCTTTCTTTTCTTTTACTTTTTCTTTATTTACTACTGATTTACTACTAATCACACCATGATGTTCTATTTTTTCAATCATTTCAATTTGTTCCATTTTTAATAATTTCTCATTTCTTTTCATCATGATATCTTCAGGTCTTTCCCAATCTAATAAATAATCACTAAGATAATTCCATAATTTATCGATTGATTGTTTTCTAATAAATAAAATAAATTTAAAAAAAGAAAAATTATCAATATCAAGGGGAGGGGGGAAAGAGGAGGGAAGGGGGAAAGGGGGACATTAATGATAATGATATTTAGTTACTTTACTACAATGGTATGTTTAATCCATCCAGTTAAACATTGTATAGTACTGAAATCACCAATTTCAGTAGTAGTATTATGAATAGTTTTACAACTATAATGAATTATATTATGGATATATCAGTTACTCAATGGATACTATTTTTAATAAAGCTTTAGTTAGCAACATTGGCCATAATTCATGAGGTTGTTTACTTTGTGGTAATAATGGTTTATTATTTTCATCAAATGGTATTGAATCATCAATTATGATTTTTCTCCAACAACCCTATAAAGAAAAAATAGAAAAAAAATTCATTGGATAGTTACTACTGAAATATCTATATAAGTAACTGAATGTCATATTTCACTTGGTGTAGTTTACTTGTATCTTCCGATTGTTGTTTTGGGACTGCAATTAATCAATCTCTTGTTACCTGAGGAGTCTCAAATAGGATGAAACGTGTGTCAAACTGCAGTTCACTCCTAGCCACTATTCATCTTTGCTTATAATGCTTGTGAATTAAGGCTATAACAAGGCAGTCTGCACAGGATGCACATATAACCAATAAGAGAGAGACTGATCAATTGCAGTCCTAATCATCAATGGGGAGATTCAAACAAGTAATACTTAGTGAATTTAAACTTCACCCCATTGCACAAGCAAGTGGCTATCTGGACTTAGTAACTAAGTGGACAATACCATAATGTTTGAAGTGAACGGTACTGGGTTTGAGTCCCAGAGTGAACATCACCTCTAGGATTCAGGTATATCCAGTTGACAATTCCCAAATAGAATGAAAAGCGAGTCTTTGATTCCACTGCTAGCCACTATCCATCTTTAATGTAATATTTGTAGTGAATGAGAACACAGGTAGAGATAAGAGAATTTATTTGTATGGTGTGTGCTATTGATGTCGATAGATATAAGTAGTATGTATCATTAATCGAAAGTGGAATGACTGTCATCAGAAGGTTAAGAAGATCAAAGAAAAAAGAACGATAACAGTGAATGACTGATATGGAAACGAAGGAACAGTGAAGTCTCAGTCGATTGATGAACATTTTATGAATGATATATTTACTGTATGGTTCTCAGATTTTACTAAGATGTTTTGTAATTCTGTGTTCAAACATATTCGATTCCCCACTTATGTTCTTGTTCACTACATACTCAGTTAGTCAGTCACAACATAGAACTTCGTACGCACGTACATCAGTTCGAGTTGCCATACCACATTAACACAGATATGCCGCACAAAACCCATTGGATTCGTGTAAGGGCTGTAATACTGCCCAGATGCCCAAACTGAAGCAGGTGGTTTTCTTAGAGGGTCACACCCGGAGCCTTTGACCTAAAGGTCTGATCCATAAGGTAGTGGAGCGTTGTAAGGAGATGCAGTCCCATGGTAGCCGGACACCAACGATTGATTTATACGCCATTTGTTCCTTCAGGATACTGGAGGCCATGTGCACCATTGGTTTGGAATGAGGGTTTTCCAACCTCCCTAGATGGACTTTCCGTGTCCACCAACCCGGTTAAAGCGTCGGACATTCGCTTTTTGTCCTCTCAATTTCGTAAACAACACCCCCGCCACGAGAAGGCAGTGAGTAAGACTTCCCTGGCAGAGTCTATATACGCGTGATCATGTGAGAGCATTTGGAGAGGGAGAGCGGACTCTCCACACTCTCGGCCGTACCAGGGCATTTGGGGGCTCAGGCTATACTCTAAAGACTGGTTCCAACCATCTAGTATCAAAAAATATTGATCAACTCTGTTATGTTTATAAACAAGGATGGTTTCCAACTCTGTCATTATCAAGTTACATTCGAATATAGTTTCAAATAGTATGGCAATACCAAATTATGAATGATTGTAATATCTTTCTTATACGAAAATTGGATCTAATGTGATTGAATAAATTGATAACTTCATTAATGATAAACTCATGTGGACACAAGAGGTGAGGACAACAGGACCATGCAATAGAGCGCTTTGATATTAAAGAAAGACAAGTAAAAGTGTAACATCACAGCGTACATAGGAGAACACAAAGAGCGGATGCACCTTCACCATTGCAAACGATTTTGAGCCATATCATTCAAGGTCTCTAACCATCGGTTGTTATCATCTCGCGGATCCTGACCAGGTAGTCTACACTTACCAACATGGTTCAGTTCACTTGTCAGTGACTCCATGGATTTGTGCCATGTTTTGGTCTGACCGCCTCTAGCTCTCTTCCAACTTACTCCTACACCATAAAACATTGCACACCGAGGCAGTTGGTGGTTAGTAGGGCATACGAATCACGTGTCCCAGTAATCTCAACTGATCAAGTTTCATCACTTCATCAATCGATTTGCCATCCTTACCTAGTACCCGTTTCCTAACAACTGCATTACTTACTCTGTGATCCCAGGATATACGTGCAATGTTTCGAAGACACCTATGATGGAATGCTAGTATCCTACGAATATCCTCTACTCTTACCAGCCATGTTCTGCTACCATAAAGTTGGACGGAACGAACTGCTGCACAGTAAACCCGTCCTTTGTTTGGTAGATGGATATCTCGTCTACGCCATAAGTGACACAAATAAGCAAAAGCTAAATGAGCCTTCTGTATCCGTACTGAGATTTTATCAAACACACAACTTCAAGAGCTGATGAGTCTCCCAAGATAGATGAAGCGGTCGACATGCTCAACTACTTCACTCCCTATCAGTATATATATACAAATTCCATCATCAATATAAAATCTTTTTAAAGAGTATTAAACATTGAATGGATTATTATTAAAACCAAGATACAAACAAAAAACTATTCAACATACCATCCAATATAATTTAACAATATATTTCCCATAAGGATTATATTGTGGTGTATTATTACTATTATCTTTAGTAATTTTGGTCATTGCATAAATATGTTCCCATGGTTTCCATTCATAAATATAATTCGGTAAATGAGACATATTCATCATCGGTTCGTTTAACTCTATTGGATTATTATTATTATTATTATTATTATTATTAATGAGGGGGGTTGATACAGGGACTGGTACTCTACAGGATAACCATAAATTTTGTATTTCACATATAATCCATCTTAATAACTAAAAAAAATAATTGGTTGGTTTGTTTGTTCTTTATAAGGATTCGAATTTTGGCGCTTACTTCAATTTTAAATAAATGTTCATTATAATAGAATAAATCAACATAATTGACATATTCTGGATCATATACAACAGGTACCTATTGGGAGAAATAAAGAATAAATAAGAGAGATATAATGGATAAACTGAATTTAAATCAGAAGCTCCTCGACAGTGCGCATCAACGATCTTGCACCTTCGGTCTCGTGAGCGAATTCTTGACCTCTAAATCACTGAGTCGATATCTAACAGTGTTAATGTTTAACTCCAATCGATCCATGATCTTGTACAATCATTCATCCATTATCTGAGATAGATACCTGTCTCTACCCGATACTGGTTGCACTTTACTGGTCACGGCCTGTCACTAGAACTCTAGGAACACATTTTCGAGCCATTCACTAGTGAGTATATGATGGATCGATGGAAGTTAGACATTAATACTGTTGGATACCGGCTCAGTGGTCTAGATGTTAAGCGTTCACGCACGAGACTGAAGGTCTTGGTTTTGAATACTGTGTGCGGGATCTTGGATGCTCACTGCTGAGGAGTCTCGTACTAAGGTGAAACCACCGTCCAGTACTTCCAGTTTTTCATTTGTAGTCTAACATTAATCGATTCATGATCACAATCGAAAACTTAGTAATCTCTACAACCTCATACTGATGAAAATCAGAGAGACTACAATTTATAGGCGAACCGATAATATTTGAAATAACAAGTACTTGATTTCAATAATTTTACATCGAATTTAACCTATTTGCGTCACCTTTTTTGGACGGTTTGAGTAACTAACCTAACTAGTAATAAAGAAAATGTGACTGTGTAGGAGGTTGTATTATCAAAGGGGAAATTAAGTTACTCCCGAAGTGACCACATTGATAGGAACAGAGTCAGATAGTCTATAACATTGAGTTATCATAGATCCCAGACACTTGAAATTGAGTTATTGTACAGATACGGTGTGATTTGTTCTTTTCCATTCCATACATTGACTTTCTTATTATCAAGTTTGTAATCAAGATTTCTGTTGGTATTTATGTTTCTAGTTGAGTTAACGATGAACATAGGAGTTAATTCTTTTGTTCAATATTGAGGTGATGCATAGAAACACTCGCACTTCAGATTGAACTTCACACTCAATACAACGAACATTCATTATCATGAATAGACAATTGTACCTTATTGATAATGGTTGTGACAGTTCTCCAAGTTTCAGCTCCGTATAGTAGAACTATCTTGACTTTCGTATTGAAGCTTGTGACTTTGATATTAGTTGACAGTTGTTTTGAGTTCATATCTTCTTCAACTGTAGGAATGCTGTCCTTGTCCATTGATGATTCTGTACAGGTACGTGGAAGATTCCACCTCTTCCACAGTTTCTCCATCAAGTATGATTGGATTGATCTTATCCGTATTGTATTATAGTTACATTATACTTTAAATAAATATAAATAAAAAATTACAGATCATATTTTGATGGAGTTTCGTTCGCTGAGCTGAATGGTTTGATCATGGAGCTTTCATCGTCCTTCTGAACGACATCATCAGCACAAACTTCGGGTAGAAGTGAAGTGTTTGAATTTCTCCACATGTGGTTCACAGCTCGTCCTGTACACCTCGATGTTGATTGGCTCTTGTTAACCTTAAATCTGTTTCTATTTATTTCTTTGTTTTGGTTGTATCTCGAATTGGTTTGATCTTTGTTCCTGGGTTTCTGCATACTTTTCCTGATTGGTTGATAGATTGGATAGATTTCAATGTGCTTGTTTATTGCTGATTGATCTGAATGCCAAGCTTCTAAAAATTCTCTGGTGTTTTTAGAATTGCCTCTATCCAAAATCTCTACATTTTTCCAGTCCACAGATGTTTGTCCACAGATCATATTTAAAAATAAAATCTATAATCAATAATTATAAGCAAAGATGGATAGTGGCTAGAAATGAAATCCAGTTTAACACGCGTTTCGTCCTATTTGGGACTCGTCAGTTGGATGTACCTACATCTGAGTTGATGTTCATTCTGGGACTCGAACCTAATACCGTCCACTTCAAACGCCATCGAGGTAATACGCACAGTATGCACATATGGCCAATAAGAGACTGATCAGTCGCAGCCCTAAACATCAATGTGAAAAGATTCAAACAAAGCAATACCATGTGTATTTATAATCAATCATAATATTTACCTTTTCCGTAATAAATTCATTAGGTCTTTTAATACTAAATGGTATAATTGATGATGGATATAGAATTTGGGATTCTGGATCAATAAAATATGATGAGGATAATTGCTAAAGGAAGATTTTTTGAAAGAGGTTTCAATGACATTCTTAACATACCGCTGATGATGATGTTGACAATGATGATGATTTAATCTTTTCTTTAGTTTTCTGTGTTGAATCCTTTTAATGAAATGAGGATGAGAATGATTATGATGATGAATTGAATATTGATCTACCCATTTTTCATTATTAATATCTTGATCATTCCATTCTGGCCATAATGGTGGTATAGTTGTTTCTCTTGGCGTAGATGATTGATTAGTTAAAGTAATTCTAAATGAAGAATAAATGGTTATAAATTGTATGGTTATAATTTGATTTAATGGATAGTGGCTAGAAGTGGAATACAGTTTGACGCGCGTTTCAACCTATTTTGGGAATCGTCAACTGTATGTACCTGCATCTCAGAGTTGATGTTCACTCTGGGACTCAAACCCAGTACCGTTCACTTCAAACATTATGGTATTGTCCACTTAGTTACTAAGTCCAGATAGCCACTTGCTTGTGCAATGGGGTGAAGTTTAAATTCACTAAGTATTACTTGTTTGAATCTTCCCATTGATGATTAGGACTGCAATTGATCAGTTTCTCTCTTATTGGTTATATGTGCATCCTGTGCAGACTGCCTCGTTATAGCCTTAATTCATAAACATTATAAGCAAAGATGGATAGTGGATAGCAGTGGAATCCAGGATAGTCCTAAACATCAATGGGAAGATACAAGTAAACAACACCAAGTAAATATAACTTCACCGCATTACACAAGCTAAGTGGCTATCAGGACTCAGTAGCTAAGTGGATAACGTGACGGCGATTGAAGTGAACGGTACTGTACTGGATTCAAGTCTCACAGTGAACATCAACTCTCAGATGTAGGTCCATCCAGCTGAAGAATCCTAAGTAAGACGAAACACGCGTCAAAATGGATGCCACTGCTATCTTCTATCCATCTTTTCTTATAGTATTACATTTTGTTATATAGTCATGTACTTATTGTTAACTAATATAGAGATATATTCAGGGAATTCTACTGAACATTTATGACGAATGGATATCAATTATGTTAAATGTGAGATTGTGAAATGCGGACATTAAGAGTAGAAGATACTCGTATGTTACTAGTATTTGACCATAGATGTCTTAGAAATATTGCTTGCATCTTCTAGAATCACTGGATAAGTAGTATTGAGGTTAGATGCAATGTATTAGGGAATGATGGTAAATCAGTTGATGTGGTCATGAATCATCATCGACTGAGATGGTTGGGCCACATGTTACGTATGCCTGAACACCGATTACCACGACACGTTATGCTGACTAGTGTTGGGGATGGTTAGAAGAAAATTAGGCGCGCTTAAACCAAAACGTAGCATCAGTCTCTAAAGTTACTAACTTCTGGTGTGAGACATGCTGGTAGATGCAGACTAATTGGCTGAGGTCCACGTTACTATCGTATCCAGTGGTTGCAGACTCTGAGTGACATAACTGAGAATCAATCACAGTGGTGTAGTTGTATACACTCTCTGTCATCCCTTAAACTGTGAGATTAAACTTGCTTCATATGTTTCTTTCTTCCTGTACTGTATCATTATACACAATTTTTCTTTTATATATTACCATCATTAAATTAACTACTTCTATGAATCCAGTGTGTCATCTTGTTGTGCTAACGAGGTATGGCAACTTGGATCGATGCATAAATGTGTCTGGTCCCACGTTGTAGCTGACTGACTGACTGAAATGTAAGATTAGTAATAATTAACATTAGTAGAAAAACATATAGCTCCCGAATGCCCTGGTACGACTGAGGGTGGGGAGAATTGGATCTCCCTCTCCAAATCCTCTCACATGGCCACCTGTATACAACCATTACAAGGGAAATCCTACTCACTACCTTCTTGCGAAATGGGGTATTGATTACAAAATTGAGAGGATGGAAAGCGAATATCCGGAGCTTTAACCGGGTTGATGGATATGGAGGATCCACCTATGGGAGTTGAAAAACTCTCATTCCAAACCAATGAGGCATATGAGCTCCGGGATCCTTAGTGAAAAAAATGGTATATGAACCAATCGTTGGTCACCGGCTACCATGAGACTACATCTCCAGAAGTTTCTCCACTGTCTTGTGGATTAGACATTTAGGTCGAAGGATCGGGGTGTAACCTCATAAGAAAAGCACGTGCTTCAGTCTGGGCACTCGAGTAGTAACATAACCCACACACGAATCGAGTGAGTTGTGTGGAGTATATGTATTCAGTGCCCCTTTATACCATTATTTATTTGTTCAAATAATAATAACAATAAAGTAAAACATGCTGAAAGCCCAAGTAGAATGTAATTTCTAAGTCATTTATCTAACCTAGATTCCGTCTATGGGTGAAGGTTGATGAGGGGTTTTGTACTACTACAACTCTTGATTTTAAATGATTATCTTATTGAAATCAGTAAATGATGTAAACTAAAAGGATCAAGGTTATTGACTCAAATTCTTATAATCTATGATATATATCAGGAATAAGTTGAAATCACATTATGAAATGGGGCTATTTAAATGATTTATTTATATCTAATGAAAATAGTCGAAATCATGAGTCAATTGAAGCTAGACCACCATCGAAAACCTGAGAGTACTGGATGGCCGTTTCATTCTATTGTAGAACTCCTCAACAGTGTACATTTACAACCCCGCCTTGTGAGATTCGAACATAAACAAAAAAGACATGTCTGCTAACTAGTTAGCCAAGTTCACTGATAAATACACATTGAAGTCATTCAAAGATAAGTTTCTAGATATTCAAAATCTAGTAAAATTCGATAAAATGTTCATTATATTCTATATACTACTCATTTGTGTGTATGAAAAGAAATAATGTGACTTCTCTTTTCACTGTAGTTACATGTTATGTATTAATAATTAAATGTTTGATTTTTGAATAATCCAGAATGGGGGTTTATGGAGATTGTAGCGATTTTAGTAGTTGAATTCATGAGTTAATCTATGCTAGACCATCATGGAAAACCTGGGACTGTCGGATGGTCGTTTCTTTCTAGTATGAGACTTCTCAGCAATGTGCATCCATCATCACTCACCAAAGGAACTCGAAACCACCACCTTCAGTCTCATATGCGAACGCTTAATAGTGTTAATGTCTTACTTCAATCATTCTATGATCTTGAACAACCATTTATCCATTATCTGAGATAGATACCTGTCTCTACCCGACAGAGATCGGACTCCACTGGTTATGGCTTCTCACTAGAACTTTAGGATTGATTGAAGTTAAATATAAACACCATTAGATGCCGGTTTTTTGATAAGTATCATATTATCAACTTCTGAAATCATATAAAAACCAACGATGTCAATAATTTACCTTAATTCATGTATAAATCTTAGTTTCATTTAGACTACTCAAGAACCATGACCATATACTGTATATTTCATGTAGAGTATAATCTCATTACTATATTATCTTATCATAAACAGATATCAGCATAAGAATTACTGAGAATCAGTAATTTAGTACACTACAAGAGAACATTATCCAAGACTAAATATGAAATCTAATCTATAATCTTTAAGTCTTGAACTAATCATGATATTCACGATGTTGAGCAACCGTTGACCAATTGTCATCAGTGATTTGATATTTCACAACAGACCTGGTTAAACTCCACTGGTCACTGTTTCTCACTAGAACTCTAGGAAATATCTCTTGAAGTCAGTCACTAGACATTACCACAATTGAATGCCGATTCAGTGGTCTATCAGTTAAATGCTCTAGTGCGAGACTGGTAGGTCCTCGGTTCGAATCTCACGAGGGGGGAGTCGTGGATACGTATGGCTGAGGAGTTCTACAATAAGACGGAACGGCCATCCAGTGCTTCTAGGTTTTCCATAGTGGTCTAGCTTCAAATGACTCATGATCTCAACTATTAAAATTACTACAATATTATTCATTATTGATTCAAGGATAACTAGTCCCCTAAATGATTTGCATATCAACCAATAATCAATAATCAATTATTCATTACTATAAAACAATCAATGTAACTTACTCTTTTGTTTTACGATTAGATACATTACTTGGTGACTTTTTACTCGCCATCTGGAAATGATTCAATGGGGTTCAATAATAAGTTCCAAAGTAGAAAAAAATCTTTTTCTACTATTCAACTTCTTCAATCTAAGTAAAAACACCAAATGAATAAATGAATGAATAAAGTAAAGATGTATTATTTATTTTGACCTAGACAGATATTATCGTTACTAGGTTACGTACAAGGTAACTATAATCGATTTTCAAGGTCATTCGGTACTTTAAACACAATTAGTTCCATTGATAAATTTTAATAGTGTAATGAGAAGATAAAGATTATCATGAAAGGAGTTTTTGTGAAGATTTCAATATTTACATAGTTGAATTCATGAGTCATTTGATGTGCACTGCCACTGAGGAGTCCAAAACAATAGGATGAAACGTCAGTCTAGTGCATCCAGAATTTTCATAATGGTCTAGCTTCAATTGACTTATGATTTCAATTATGAAAAAATAAAGATTATCAGAATAATGTAACATAATTACGTAATATATTTTAAACAATCTAATCATGCATAATATACTTGTTAAGACGTTTCTATATGAAAAGTATAAGGTCAACTAGACAGATTAAAAGGTAAGTTGTAATAAAGAAAAATAAAGTACACAAAAACAATATGATAACTAATCAGAAGGGGATTTGTGGAGATTTCAGTATATTTCAAAGTTGAAATCATGAGTCAATTGAAGCTAGACCACCATCGAAAACCTGGAAGCACTGCTTTAAGGCCGTTTCGTCCTATTATGGGACTCCTCAGCAGTGCGCATCCACGAACCCGCTCTCGCGAGCGAGATTCGAACCCAGGACCTACCATTTACGAGCCAGAGCCCTTAACCGATAGACCACTGAGCCGGAATCCAACGGTGTTAATAACTAACTTCAACTGATCCACGAATTATGAGCGACACTTCATCAATTGCCTTCAGTGAGTTGTTATCTCACAACAGACGTGGTTGAACTCCACTGGTCACTGCTTCCCACTAGAACTCCAGGACATGTATCTTGAAGTCAGTCACTAGTGAGCATATGATTATAATCAGAACTCGCGAGAGCGGGTTCGTGGATGCGCACTGCTGAGGAGTCCCATAGTAGGACGAAACGGCCGTCCAGTGCTTCCAGGTTTTCGATGGTGGTCTAGCTTCAATTGACTCATGATTTCAACTTTGAAATATGATAACTACTATGTATTATCAAGGTAGGTTAAGGGTAAGAACAAATTGATTTTTAAATACATAAAGGGAGTTTTAGTTTCCATGTACCCAAGGCTTCAATAAACTTTAGTATACGCTCTTGAAGCCTTTTTGTACAACACTATAAATGCTGAGTTGATATCAATCGTGAGACCAGTTTCAACCAAATTTATTTATTATTATTTATTTAAACACATAAATATTGGTAAAAAGGGGCGCCAAATACATATGTTCAACACAAGTCTCATTTGATTTGTAAGAGGGATGGGATACTGACCGGGTGCCCAAACTGAAGCAGATGGTCCTCTTAGGGGGCCACATACGGAGCCTTTGGTCTAAAGGTCTGATCAACAAGGTAGTGGAGCATCGTCAGGAAATGCAGTCCCATGTTAGCCGATGACCAACGATTGATTCATACGCCATTTGTTCCTTCAGAATACTGGAGCCAGCTCATGTGCACCATTGGTTTGGAATCAAGGTTTTCCAACACCCCTTAGATGGACTCACCGTGTCCACCAACCCAGTTAAAGCACCAGACATTAGCTTTTCGTCCTCTCAATTTCGTAAACAACAGTAATGCCACGAGAAGGTAGTGAGTAGGACTTCCTTGTCAGAGACTATATACGCGTGGCCATGTGAGAGCATTCGGTGATGGAGAGCTTACTCTCCCCACTCTCGACCGTACCAGGGCATTTGGGGTTTTTGAACACATAAAGAAGGTTTCAGTTTTCATGTGGCCAAGGCTTTAATAAACCTTAGTATACGCTCTTGAAGCCTTTTTGTACAACACTACAAATTCTGACTTGATATCAACCGTGTGACCAGTATCAACCAAATGTTTCACAATGGAGGAAGATGTCTTTCAATCCTGTTATTTTATTTGACCATTGGAATTTATTGGTTTCTGAAGCCATTTAGGTATGTATTCTGCCACTCTTACTTGCAGATCACGATCGCTCCTCACTATGTACATATTTTAGCACGTACATAGAAATTGATAGGCACAATTGCTTACGTGCTGTTTGGGTTTTCAGTGGAAAATAAACCTTGTCTTTCCAATAATGACAAGTTGAGCTACATAAAATGTACTTTTGATGACTTTATTTCACTGGTGTACAATGTCCCACATAGAGAAGAAGATTGTGATCACAATAATGGTTCATTTTTCATAACTCTTATGATCACACAGCATTACTCAAGCGTTTTAGTGATTAACATTCATTCTGTCATTTATTTTCTTATCGGTCATTACTCTTCATTATGAAATATTAAACTGAAGTTAGAAATATGAATCACTGGATCGTGACTCATTAAAATAGATCATGCCCTTATCAAATTTAAAAAAATGCCGAATCGATCCAGTTTTAGAAGCTGTAGAAGCCGGTAAGAGTAGAGGATATTCATAGGCTACTAGTATTCGATCATAGGTGTCTTCGACTCATTGCTCGTATATCCTGGGACCACAGAGTAAGTAATGCAGTTGTTAGGAAACGAGTACTAGGTAAGGATGGCAAATCGATTGATGAAGTAGTGAAACTTGATCAGTTGAGATTACTGGGACACGTAATGCGTATGCCCAACCAACCACCAACTGTCCCGATGTGCGATGTTTCATGATGGAAGATTAGGTTGGGAGAAAGCTAAGGGTGGCCAAACCAAAACGTGACACAAATCCATGGAGTCACTGACAAGTGGACTGAGCCATGTTGGTAGGTGTAGACTACCTGGTTGGGATTCGCGAGATGATAATAATCGGTGGTTAAAGACCTTGAATGACATGGCTCAAAATGGTTTGCAATGGCGAAGGTGTATCCATTCTTTGTGTTCTCCCGAATTCTAGTCTTTTGAATTCTTCATGTCCCTTTCATTCTTCTCTTTCCCGATTCATTTTACTGGATTATACTCCTTGAATAACATCTTCAAACCCGAATCCTTCGGATTACTGCTTATACTCTTACTACTTTTATCACTATGGGATTTGAATCAACAATTGCATTTCCGTGGTAATGTGGTATGACAACTAGAACTGATGTACATACGTATGAAGTTCTACGTTGCGACTGACTGACTGTAAAAGCATTCTACTGATGATTAACGAACTATTATGAAACGGTAATTCAGCAGTTTTCCAGATCCTCCTATACTATTACGAAGAATCAATCGAAAGTTAATGTTTCTTCAACCATATAATATATGAAAATTTCTTACTGTTTATTGATTGTAACGTAAATATTAACATTATCGTATATCGAAAAATTTCAAGATAAACACATTCCACTGGTCATAATTTTCAGGTTACTCAAAATCGTGGATTGGTTGAAGTTAGACATTAACACCGTTGGATGCCGGCCGGCTCAGTGATCTATCGGTTAAGTGCTCTGGCGCGAGGCTGGTAGGTCCTGGGTTCAAATCTCGCATTGCCGAGGGATCCTACAATAGAGCAAAAAAGGCCGTCAAGTGCTTCTAGGTTTTTCATGGTGGTCTAGCTTCAATTTACTCATGATTTCAACTATGAAAATACTAAATTCTCCAAACAACCCTTTCTGATTTTTTCTTTATATTTTAAGGAACCCTCCGTATTACAGTCTAAAGACCACCCTAACTGCTAAAACATGAAATTCTAGGATTTACAATATATCCAATACTGATTGAAGTTGAAACGTATAATACTAGATACTAACCCAAAGTCTGATTATGTCACTGTTGTTTACTTTATTAGAGCCTTTTTAAAGTATCTTTCACACTACTTTACAATTTGTTAGTAGATTAATAATTTGAACAACATTTTTAAGGTGAGTAATGCAGATCGCTTGGAAGTATGTTCAGAAAACTTGGTATCATGTTACGAAACTACATTTTATTCCAACCTATAACACGAAGCAAATGGTTATTGATAAAGGTCAAGGGATGTGATACTACAGTATTCTATTCAATGAAAATATGGCAGGACCTGGGTTCGAATCTCACTAGGCGGGATCGTGAATGCGCACTGCTGAGGAGTCCCACAATAGCACGAAACGGCCGTCCATTGCTTCCAGGTTTTCCATGGTGGTCTAGCTTCAATTGACTTAAGATCTCAACTCTATAAAATTACTAAAATCTCCACCAAACCCAAGCCCACCTCTGTTTATCTTTGTTACCAATACGTTGTTTTACCATTAAATTTCTTTGATTTATTCATTACCCGGAGAGTGTATGATCAAAATCTTAATATTTGATATACATTTCACACTTGGTATGTGGTACTTCAGAATCTGTTGAATTCATTATCTAGTTCAGTATTATTAACATAAATGAATTAGTTTTCAGATCCGCTCACTTATCTAAAAAATGAATCACTATTTTTTGAAGATTTTTAAATTTCCTGACGTTTCGTGACTCAATGTAAGCCACTTCTTCAGAGGAATCTTGACTCACGCGAAAGAGCACCTTAAATATGCAAAGGAACCGCTTAATAATCCTGCAGTACTGGAAAGAGTTCAATATAAATTGGCAATAGCAGTTCATGCCATTTTCAACAATCATTAAATCAATATTCAAAGCATTGAAATAATACAAAAAGGCTTTACCAACTACAAAGAAAGGTGAGTAGCTGAAGCCAATCATATATTTATAAACTTTACTTCTACCCAAAGTTTGTGCGGATGATGTCGTTCAGAAGGACGATGAAGGCGACACGACCAAACCATCCAGCTCAGAGAACAAAACTACATCAAAATCACCCACCTTAGCTACAAATCTATTCCACCATCTCATAATCCCACTGCCCTCAATAGAAAAGAAGGCCTCACTATCCATCCGACTTGAACAATTTATCCGAGCTACCATGTCCTAGTCTATCTACATTTCACACACCGTTATCATACATACAATTTAAATTCTATCCCTCCGTAACACAAATCTCACTTTTTTTTCATCCTTTACCATACATACACACACACAAAGGTACGAACATGCCCCATG